CCCCACCGTCAAGGTCCTCGACCACTTTGACTACGAGCTCAACCAAGTCATGGGAGGCATCGCTACGGAAAATGGCGAGAAGCGCCGCATCCATGTCGCCTTGCTCGCCGGCGCTGACCTAATCCAGACCATGAGCACCCCCGGACTGTGGGCTCGTGAGGATCTGAGCAAGATCTTGGGCCACTATGGCGCCTTTATCCTCGAACGCAGCGGTACAGATATTGGTAGGTGATTTCCTACTCGCTTGCCTTGCAAATGCTGACTCAAAGCGAAATAGACGATGCCCTTGTTCAACTGCAGCAATGGAGAGACAACATCCGCGTCATCCCGCAACTCATCCAGAACGACGTCTCATCAACCAAGATTCGCTTGTTCCGCAAGCGCGGTAAGAGCATCCGTTACTACATTCCCGACAAGGTGGTCGACTACATCTACGAGCACGGCCTCTACAGCGATGACGACAAGAAGACTGCCGACAAGGGCAAAGCGCCCGCTGCTGCAGATGCTGCAGGTTCTTCCCAGGGCGTGACTGCTTCGTGAGCGCCTACCTCGGAGTCACAATCTTTTAAATCTGTCCACGCAGCGAGAGCTGCCATGCACTTCCTCTTCCGAAAGGACTGCCGCGCTGTATGCTGCCATGAACGCCGGTTGGCTACTTCGTATTGGGCGGCGACTGGCTTATCAGTTCTATCCAAGCGGTGCCATTGTTGCACCGTCACTACTACCACCCGTCGACCAACTTGCTAGAGAGGCACGGGTATGCCTTCGCGGGCTTTGTTGGCGGATAGGAAAAAGACGTATCCGCCATGGCGCATTTCTTTTGTACTTTTCACGCTATGATACCATACACACACACATACCTACATACATACTCAATGCACTATGATGATTTTTACACACGGCCGAGTGGGGGTCCAGGGGTCGCTCCCACGTGGTGTGATGTCATGTTGTAGAGGTGGACGGGTGGCTGAGCAGATCTGCCTGCCCTGTTGACGCAGGGCCTGGTCGACTTCTGTACCCGACAAGATGCACACTCCAGCGGTGTGCGGCACTTGTCGAATGACGTCCTGTCGTGGCTCAGAGGGCTGTCTGCACGGCTTAGGTTTTGACCGCTTGCGTTCTAGACTGGTTGGCACGCATGCAACTTTGTTAGGCACACGGCGGCACAAAATGATGTGTGCTAACAGATGAGACCGAGTACGAGCTGACGAGTCTGCAGCCGCAGCACATCTGCTTTGTTGACGCTGCGCAACAAATCACATCGTAAACTTGGTCTGAATCAAAGTTTGCCGCGCTTCCGAGATGGCATTCCAAGCAGTTTCCAGTGCCCAGCGGCTCGGCCACGTCAGGTAAGCCATCAACATCAATCACCCCAGCAACCACCTCAACATCCCAGCAAGCTTGAATTCGTGCATGTGGCCAGCCGCCCTTGTACATATTCGCTACCATTGCGTAGGCCCTTGATAGATTGAGAACCAGTCCGAGTCCTCCCCCCGCGTCGTGATTTCCCCGTCTCGGCGTATTTCTTTGTTTTTGTCATGTTCAAGCTTGCATGAAGTGCTTTGTAGCCCCCACGATTCTACACCGCGCTTTCGCATTCCCAACCTACAAGAGCTGCTTGCAGCCAACAACTCTCCTCCAATGAGCGACCGCGACCCCTCGCGCAGACGGCCCCATGGCGACGAGCGAAGACGACGCAGAGAATCGCACGGCGAGGTAGATCCTGAAAGACGCAAACGTAGAGAGTCTCAGGGCGAGCCCGCAGCACAAGACGCAGAGGGGCGGCGAAGAAAAGGCCACCGAGCTACCGACTCCCAAGGCGACGTACTACCACGGCCTCAGCGCCGCTCAAGACAACAGAGCGATACCGAATACGAGTCGTCAGCTCCCCGTAAAGCGCGGGGCTCGCGCCGCAACTCCAAGACAGATGGAAGCGGCAGCGGCAGCCGAGGCTCTGCGCCCTTGAGCTTGGATGCTCTCGCAAAGCTCGATAAGACCAATGCCAAAAAGTCGAGTGGCTGGGGAACCTACGACTACGATGAGGATTACTTGAAGGAAGTCCGAAGAAAGGAGAAAAAACTCGAACAGGAAAGGCTAAAGGAGGAGCGTGCAGCAAAGAGAAAAGAGCAGAAAGAGGAAGAGGCCAGGCGACGCGCCGCCGAGAGCGATGCCGTTATCCAGGAAGAAAAGGCAAGAAAGCGGCGCGAAGAGCGACGGAGAGCAGCTGAGCTCAAGGCCAGTCAGACCGAGGACGAGCTCGAGCGGAAGCGGGGCTCCCGCACCGATGACGAAAGAGAAGAGCGAAGACGACGACGTGAATCCAAGTACACGGCCTCAGAAGCTGAAGAGAGAAGGGACCGAAGGAGACAGGAGAAGCAGCACAGGACCGAGCAGAAAAAGCGGCGTGTCGTCAGTGGTCCATTGGCAGAAGAGGGAGGCATTGATGACGACTCAGAATACCGCTACATGATGGAGAAGCGTGGAGGGGGTGCGCCGACAGTCCATTCTGAGGAGGAGCTTGCAAGGAAGAAGAAGAAGCGCAAGCGCATACTGATCGGCGTACTGTCTGTCATACTTTTGCTGGCCATCATCATACCCGTGGGCGTAGTCCTTTCTGGCAAGAGTAGTAGCCCCGCCAACACAGGAAGCGGACCCACAGCTGGCTCGTCGTCTGGGCCATCTACTAGCAATCTCGCTGGCAAAGATCGAAACAGCGTGCCCGAACAGGATCGGGGTGGTATACTGGACCCATGGTCTTGGTTGGATACTCAAGACTTCAATGTCACCTACACGAACGAGCTTGTAGGAGGTCTCCCCATTATCGGACTCAATTCGACATGGAACGACGACGTCCAAGCCAACCCATCCGTACCAAAGCTGTCAGACAAATTCGAATATGGCACGATGCCTATCCGCGGCGTCAACGTTGGTGGATGGCTCAACCTCGAGCCTTTTATCACACCATCCTTCTTTTCGCAGTTTGGATCAAAGGATAATGTAGTGGACGAATGGACATTTCTTAGTAAGCTGGGGCCTGCCAAAGCCAAATCGACATTGGAGCAGCACTACGCGACCTTTATCACTAAACAGACGTTTGCCGACATTCGAGCGGCTGGCATGGATCATGTCCGTTTTCCGTTCGGTTACTGGATGGTCCAAACCTACGATGACGATGTATACGTGCCGCAGGTGTCATGGCGCTACCTCCTCCGCGGCATTGAATACTGCCGACAAAACGGCCTTCGCGTGAACCTCGATCTCCACGGCGTACCTGGTAGTCAGAACGGATGGAATCATTCTGGCCGTCAGGGTACGATCGGCTGGCTCAACGGCACCGATGGCGACACAAACGCCCAACGCAGTCTGGACATCCACCACAAGCTCTCCGTCTTTTTCGCCCAAGAGCGCTACAAGAACCTCGTGACAATGTACGGCCTCGTCAACGAGCCCCGCATGGTCGAACTTGACACGCAAAAAGTCCTCGCCTGGACCCAAAAAGCCATTGACCAAATCCGCTCCGACGGCATAACCGCCATCATCATCTTCGGCGACGGCTTCATGGGCCTCGACAACTGGCAAGGCAAACTCCAAGGCAACAAAGACCTCCTCCTCGACGTCCACCAATACGTAATCTTCAACACCGACCAGCTCAAGCTCAAACACCGCGACAAGCTCAACTTTGCCTGCGAGGGCTGGACCCAGCAATCCAAACGCAGCATGAACACGGCAACAGGCTTCGGCCCCACAATGTGCGGCGAGTGGTCCCAGGCAGACACAGACTGTACGCAGTACATCAACAACGTCGGCACCGGCTCCCGCTGGGAAGGCACTCTGCAATCCACCGACAAAACCAGCGCAGTCCTCGCCCCGCAATGCCCCCTCCAATCCTCCCAATGCTCCTGCACACAAGCAAACGCCGACCCCTCGTCGTACTCTGCCGAATACAAAAAGTGGCTCTACCAGTTCGCCATTGGCCAGATGGACGCCTTCGAGGCCGGTTGGGGCTGGTTCTACTGGACTTGGGAGACGGAGGGTAGCACACAGTGGAGTTATCGCCGTGGACTCGAGGCCGGTATCTTGCCCGATAAGGCCTATGACCGTAACTGGACGTGTCCCGGCGGCGGAGTCCAGAATTTGGATTCTTTTGATGGCTTGGCGGAGAATTATCGGCGTGGCGTTGGCGTTAATGGGAGTGCGGATTTGTGGTAATGGATTGAGGGGGGTTGGTGATTAGGCCATGAAAAGTGTGTCCCCTAGTGCGTCTTTTTTTTAGGGCGGGAGTTTAAAGAATGATGCGAGTAATGCTGTGATGTGAATGAGTATATGAGGAGCTGGCGGTTAGTGAACAGGGCGATTTTTTTTTTTTTTTAGTTCTGGACTTTCCTTTTCTTTTTTTGTGTGCCTACTTTTTTTGCATTGGTGTTAGGGACACGGTGTATATACGAATCGCAATACGTTTGAAATCAACTTTGGTACTGCAACGAACCCCCCCCCTCATTCGTTTGGAGAAAAAAAAAAGTCGTCACTGTCTCTCTGATATCGGTGCTATGGAAACTGTATCCTTTGGCAACACTGACCATCCCAATCTTATACGAATAAAAACCACTTTCAACCTTACAAGTGTTCTTTGTTTCTCTGGGGGTTCAAAAACAAATCTATTCATACAACACTTTCTTCACTATCAAACCCAGAAAAAGTCAACCCAAATCATTTCCCAAACAGAGACTATTCGTAATTTTCATTACCTAGCAAACAAAAAAAAAAGTGATCGTACACATGTTCTTCGCAAATATATCGTAGCATTCCCGCCTCATCATCGTCATTACCTTCTTGGGTCTCCATTCCCATGTTGCCCTTGCTTCCCCTTTCCATTCGTGTTTCCAACCCCCCCATCCTCTTTCTTCTCCGTCACAACTCGTCTTCTCCCACTTCTCCCTATCCCCCCCTGCTCTCATCAAGTCCCTACCATCTCCCAGTGCCTACATAGAGGGCAAAGGCATTTAGTCCTCCTCCTGGGAGTCCGCAAGTGCAGAATCAGCCTTGCCGGCTGCAGTGGCGCCCTTGTTGGCAGCGTTACCAGAGGCTTGGGCGGAACCGGCTTGGTTCTGGCCTTGAGTCTGCTGAGCGGATGCGGCACCAGCGTTGCCGGCGTTGCCAGACTGGGCTTGCTGGGCGTCTGCTACATTGGCATTACCAGCGCCAGCAGCGCCAGCAGCGCCGGCACATGGTTGGGCAGCGGCGTTGTTGGCATCACCAGCTTGGCCTTGGGCTTGCTCAGCAGAGGCAGCGTTGGCATTTCCAGCATTGGCGTTTCCAGCGTTGGCGTTTCCAGCGTCGGCATTTCCAGCATTGGCATTTCCAGCGTCGGCATTTCCAGCATTGGCATTTCCAGCGTTAGCTGCCTGTCCTTGCTGAGCACCACCATTGTTGGCATTGCCAGCTTGACCTTGGGCCTGCTCAGCAGAGGCAGCATTGGCATTTCCTGCATTAGCTGCCTGGTTTTGCTGACCATAGGCTGCGTTAGCATTGCCCGCCTGTGCCTGGCCTTGCTGAGCAGCAGCTGCATCCGCGTTTTCTGCTCCTTTCTGGGCAGAAGCAGTGTTGGCAGTACCAGCCTGTCCCTGCTGGGCGGCAGCAGAACCAGCGTTTTGCTGTCCAGCAGCTGAGAAGCGTTAGTATATGACCCCAAGTTCAGAATAGAGAAGACATACCTTGCGCATCATTTCCTGCGAATCCATTGATCTGAATATCACCTTCATCAGCGGCATTTCCCTGAGCCTGCTCATCCTCTCCCTCGATCTGAGCCTGCCCATTACCCGCAGCGGCATTTCCAGCTCCAGCAGCCTCAGTGCCATTGTTTGCTGCACCGTTCTCAGCACCAGCACCAGCATTGGCATTCTGATTGTTGCCAGCACCCTCCTGAGCGTTTCCAGAACCCTCCTGAGCATTGCCAGAACCCTCCTGGGCGTTGCCAGAACCCTCCTGAGCATTCCCAGAATCCGCCTGAGCGTTTTCGTCGTTACCACCACCGCCGCCAGTCAGTCCTCCAAGGAGATCACCAAGGCCGCCGCCATTCAGACTGCCGAGGAGACCATCGAGCTGACGCTTGGTCTTAATCTTCTCGCTTGTGAGCCTGCGGACGGTGGAAATGAAGTGTGCAGGAAGTTGCTGGGCTGCGGTTCCGTCCTGGAGATTTGTTAGTTATGATGGCCCGTATCAAAATACCGAACGCCACTTAGGGGCAACAAAGTGTAGACGCACAGGGAAGCGCTTCTCAATAGCAACATTGTTGGGCCTAGCAGCTGGAGCGGCGGCGGCGGAAGCAGCCAAAGAGGCAAGAAGAATGCTAGTGTCGAACTTCATGATGATGGTTGTGAAATATAGCGTATCGTGATAGCTTTCTCAAAAAGATAGTCGTGTCGAAAAGAAATAGACTGTCCGGCAGCGGTGTATGAAAGTACTTTGTGTAGGAATAGTAAAGACGAAGCTGGCTAGCAGCAGAATGTACAAGGCTGATGGTATATATATGTGTATGCGTGAACGGTGCTTGCAACCGCCTAACTGAACGAGTATCGAATACTTGACTTGATAACAAAAAAGCAATTGTCGACTTTCTAGCTGCCTTCTATATATTCATTCTTCTCTTGTAATGGAGCAAGGGTCCGCCATCGGGGCTGGACACGTCCGGTATCAAAAGGTTGACGCGTTCAAAATGGCTATTGCATTATTCCATCCTTGACTTGCTGTATTGGTAGCGATCCCGATTACAAGACTATCATGTTGCGTGTGCGCAAGGGTGGACAGGCCCTCAGGCGGGTGCAGGTGGTGCAAGGTATGCGCAATGCGGGCAGTCTGTGACCACGAGGCCTTGAGGGCGAAACGTTCATTACGTGGGTGGGTCCACTATGTTAATAGAACGATGACTATCTTTTTGGTACCTGTACATGTTTGTACAATGAGCAAGTTGATGATATTGCTATTGCGATATTCCAATTGCAAACTATAAAGTGTTCGAAAACATTGATTGAATCCTCATATCATTGAGTTTGGTGCTGGGCGATTACTCCTTCGCAATCAATGTGTATACACACCGTTTGTCAACGGGAGAGCTTATCCTTACCCAAAAAACAACTTTCGCATACAAATGGTGTAGCTGTTTCTGTCGCAGCCCCCATGAAACGGGCAAACGCGCCGCGGCGCCATACATGTCCGAGAGAGGGAGGAAAAAAACGCGCGTTTTGATTTTGAAACCCAGGCACGAGGGCAATTGCGCCTTGGCCCTGCGACTATTCATGTAGGAAGAGCTCATCGACAAGCTGTCGAGTGTTTCGAGATTTGTTCTTGCGTGCGTAATGGCCATGGGAAAAATGGGGGGACGGGGAAGGCGAGTGTGGGTCAGTTAACGGTGGGAGACTTGGCGCGGCGCTAATACGTCAAGATAGGAATAGGGGCATGCTATCTTTAACGCCCTCTGGTTTACACAACCGTTGTTGCAGCAATGTTCATCATTTGACATATCATTGCGCTTTTGCGCATGCACAAGGGTATATTGAAACAACATTGACACAGAAATGGCCTGTATACAACGCATCTTTTCCAGATCCAGGCTCAAGTTCATCTTCTTCTCGCTAAACCTGTGACGTACAACTCACCAGGCTCAGCTTCAACTTTCCAACCCTCGTTTACCAATGTCTTCAACACCGCAGGCCCCAGTTTACCTCGGCCGCCTTCGCTGTGCCTACCCAAACCTGTGATGATCCTGAAGACATCGCCTCCACCTCTCCGACCAGGGCCACTCCACTCGGGAATCTTGCGCTCCCCGAGGCCGTTCCACCAAGCCTGGGTGCGTTGCTTTGCTATCCTAGTCGCATCCGCAACAGTTACACCGTGCAGATCGAGGTACGTAGGTCCTGATTGCGACGAAACTAAAGAATCAGCTTCCGCTGCATTCATGACTTTCAGGTTGGCGTTGAGGTCACGGCCCTCTTGCGCATAGTATGCTGCAGCTTGCCTCATGAGCGGCGTTGATTTGCCTCTGCGATAAGCGCTGGATGCTTTTGTAAACGCATCGTTTCGAGCGGCAGCGGTGGAGACGGCGTCACGCGGTCTCGCAGAAGGCGCAAGCACAGGCAGTTTGGTTACTTCCAAGGGATCGGACAGATCGACTGGAGCATATCGCAAGTCAAGTTTGATGCCACCTTTGCCGCCCGTTTCGCTCGCCGGTTGTTGGGTAAGGGCCTTTGCGAGTTCTTTGGCTTTGATGGCTGATGGGGCAGTCAGGCGCACGACCGCAATTGCATGCTCCAAGTCGATCGAAGGAAAACTCTCGTTTAGGGTAATTGCGTCTTGCACCAGCGCAGTATCTGGCTGCCCTTCCTTCTTGTGCGCTTCAATGTCTCTTTTCACAATGGCCAACACAGTCGCTGACAAGGATGCGCCGTTCGCATGATAGAGCGACGAGACAGTCTTTGCTGGAACGCTCGTTCGCGACGTGACAAACTCCAATTCACGGCTGGTGTTCTGCCAGCGGTTTGTCGGCACATCTGATTCAACAAAATAATCAGCTCCAACGTTACTCAACGAAACTTTCTGCTTTTTCTTTGCCTTGCCCTTTTTTCCCTTTTGCGGTATATGATGGTCTTCAGAAAAGGCTTCGATACCCTTGGCAATAGGACCTTCTTCTGTCGGGCTCTTCCTACTATCGTCGAAGAAGACGTGATTGAGTAGCTCGTCCGTTGCTTTGTCGTAATCGTAACCGCACTTTTTCAACGTGTGCGTCACCTGGGCGAGCCGCAAGCCGGGAAACGTCTCGGCGAGCAACAGTTCCTTTGTAGGAACATCAAACTGTTCCGTGTCTTTATAATATCCACTCTCGAATGATTCCTGTGGGCTTCCCGAACTCCCGCTCACACTAAGCGAGGCAAAGTCGTTTGAAAGGGACGAGTGCTCTGTCGTTACCGTCTGGGTGCCCCATGAATCGGCGTCGGTGCTGCTTTTGTCTGGACTGTCTTGCACGGCGCCCCCGCTGCTACCAGAGGGGTCGAAATTAAGTGCCTCCACTTCGGCTGTGGCCTTCAGGGTCTCCAATAGTTCCCTGGTGCGGGCAACAGCATCTGGTTCCCCTGCATAGTCCGAATAGATGGTATAGAGAAGTGTGGGATCTATTGGCGGGCAATATTCCTCCTGTGAGACGCGTCCGTGTTAGCGGAGGGGCGTATTGAGTCAGTTTTCCTTGCTCACATACCTCAAGCATGCGCAAGTCCTCATCCATTTTGTTTGTTGCAGCGTTGACGTCCTCTGGTGTGTCGATATGGCGAGTGCATACTCCGAACTGGGTGGCCGACGCTGGGGAGTTGTGACTGAGGCAGTGTCGCGCAGCAGCCTCTTCTTGTAGGTTCCGTGATCAGTGCGATACGATGATATGCAATGTGACTGTGCGGCGCAAAAGGCAGTAATGCGTAGTGGTGGGGTGGTTGCGTTGGCGCGTGATGGCAGTTCAGCCGTGGCTGGGAGAATTGTAGCCGAGCTTAGCGCAGACGGGAGCTTATTGACCCCAGCATCGTTAATGTCAGCATATCATGAAGAAGAAGAGGCGGTGCTGTGTAGGATATCGAGCATGCGATATATTTTTGATCTACTCGGCCAGCTAGATGCCGCACGTCATATTCATTTAGGCCGAATCGCGCGTCATCCATCGGCGCTAGCGCAAGCGGCTTTGAGGCTTCTACTCACCACCTTTAGACATCGTCACATGTACTTGTTATCGCAAATGCACCTTTCTACGCAGTTGGCGGTTTCAGTGTAAGCCACTTATTATGCAAACATGCATTTGATCGGGACCGCTGTAGACACTGGGTAGGCGTGAGGGCGCCTCCACATCATCACCCTTGTGGCCTGCTCGTCGCCACTATATTTCTCTGATCCGCACCCAGATTTCCTCATTTTACCGTTCTATTCTCGGCCCTACTTCTAAGCCCCTTAGATGTCATATCCGTTCAAGCAAGCCTGGCAAATACAATGGGCAGATAAACATTTAGGCCCCCAACAAGCTGCAGACGCTCCACTACATCCTGCCAATGGCTGCGTCAGGCCAAGTTCGTGGCTTGAACGCATTACATAGCCACTCCAAGCCAATGGGTTGTTTAAATACACCAAACCCCCAGGTTCCTGGTGGGCGGTTCTATGTACAATAGCAACCCGACACCAGCTTGAAGACGTGACAGGCTATACCGCAAAATATGGCGCCCCTTCACCGCCGCACAAATCTGAAACCCACAGTCATCGGAGGTATCGTTGGCCTCGTCAGTCTGGTCATAGTAGGGGCATTTTGTACCGTCATCTTCTGTGTAATGTGCAGAAAACAACGACAGCGCAAGAAGGCCATACGCAAAATGCAGGAGGACCAGCTGACACCGTTCGTGGGATACCAATATACGGTACCAGCCGGTGCGCAAAGCAATCCTCAAGGAGCATTGCTACGTCCACAGGAACTCGATATCCAAGAGCCATACCGTGGGCCTCAGGAATTGCAAGGCAGTGGGAGACTGGCTCCTCTGCCTCCCCAGCAAATTGATGGATACGCCGCAGCGGTTCGTTTTTTTCGTCTCAAGTAACATTGGCTGGGAACACGGTTGAACTGACTTACTACAGCCGACTTTTGACGACGATAGGCCACTCGAACTGCCTGCCGGCGCTGCATACCACGGCACAGACGCCAAACGTGGGATATACAGATGAAAAATCGCCATCTTCCATTGTTCGTAAATATCTTGACCAAACCTCTGGACAGCAGTGTATCAACAGTACCTTATTTCCAACCCTGAAAGCCACACACCACCGTACAAAGCCGCAGGTCTAAAAAACAACGCCGTTGTACAGGATACGCAGACACACCAACCGGACATGCAAAACGTCATGTAGAAAAAATCCCCCGTCCATTGACACCAAAGAACTGCTTCACAACCCGCCACGTCAACACCACCACTAGAAAACCCACTTACCCACCTTCCTTCCTCCTTCTCCACAGCTCCTCCAACTACCCAACCCAAAAAATGAACACAACAACAGTCACAGCCCTCAAGCAAATCATATACATCCCCTTTTCTCTCCTGGCCGCCATACCACGGCCTAGCTTCTCCTACGTACCTGCTACACACATCAAGCTCAAGGCCGACAGCATAGCCATGGTGGTGCTCGTGCTCGCGCGCCATGTGTGGATGTATGTGCAAGGGTGGCAGGATAGTGGGTTACGCAGAGGAAAGGATGGGAAGGAAGATGTAGTAGGAGGCAAAAAGGCGAGGAGACAGGGGAGGGCGAGTGTAAAAGGGAAGAGAATGAGAGTGAGGAAGCGGAGAAAGCTCGTGGTTAGGGGGAGATATACGCTTGTTTTGTGGTAGAGAGTGGATGAAGTGGAAAGATGGGAATCCCCCTGTTTGAATATGAAGGATTTAAGTGATATTGAGGTATCTAGATGGTATTGTGTATGCTATCTTTATTTCTATTGTATTTCTAGGATTAGGAATGCTTCTAATCGAGGTTGATCTTGATGGGAAAAATACTTCCTCCGCTTTGTTGAGTTCCATGAAATAGAAGAAGAAATGGGTTTGGAAGTTGGTGTGTAGTTCGCAAGTGAGAAATAGACTGTCCGACTCTACGCTGTCGGAGACTTTAGTTTGCTGTGGCAGATGCCTTGAACGGTCCTGGGATGTGTGACAGATGAGTGCCTGGACAAATCCAAGAGCCACTTCTCTCCATGTGCAGTTGATCCGCGACCTATACTTGGTCGATTTCATCAACCGAATAGCCAGGCATGTATAACGTGGCTGCGCGCTGACTTCGTTTTTGTCGCCTTAATGCGGAGTGCTCTCTCGGTTGCGGCCATCATTCCTGGAATCCGTACTGACGTGGCCTTGCATGACAAAAGTCACCAAAAGTCTTTCGGACTGTTGGTCCAACAGCCTTTTAACATCGAAAAATGAAACCGTGATAATTAAAGAGGTCGATACAATGATGTGTCATGGGATTACCAAGGAGTTCAAGTCGAATCTGATGTGATCTGAATCGCGCATAATGACGACAAGTTGCGTAGTTGATACGGCAGGGCGCTTGTTGAAAAGCACGCGGTCGGGTGCGACCAGGTATTCCAGGGTCATGCGGCGCACGCGTTTAGGCGGATATTGGTGAAGATCGACTTTGCTCTAAACTTACTCGCTGTCCTGATCCGAATCGTCCTCTGAATTCCCATCTGAATCGTTGTCTGAATCGTTGTCTGAATTCTCGTCTGAATCCTCATCCATGGCCCCGATGATGTCTAGCTGAAGTCCCGCTGCCTTGCACGCATCCTTGATTTCTCGAGAAACTCCATTCTCCCCCTCGACTACTATGAACTTCTTCCAGTTTCTCGCAACAACGTCCTTCTGCTCGATTGTGGCTAGCAAAAGATCTGTAACTTCACTGTCGCTACCTAGATCGTTGAAGAACTCCAGCGTTTCCATGACCGGCGGTAATCCGACTGAATGGAGCCTTGGTCGCTTGGACGATTTTCCAAAAAGCTGATAGTCCCAGTTCAGGCGCAGAGTCTCCAGTGCCGCAAACTCTCTCATCCGTAATACCTTGCGTCCAGTAAGTGTAGGGTGGTCGATTGTAATGCTCTTGAGAAACTCGGCCTGCGACTGTGCAGCCAAGATATAGTCCCCAACGTTATCGGAACTCTCCTCCAACTCTGGCTCTGGCTCTTCTGTCTGCGTCATAACAAATTCCTCAAGCGCCTCGGGCAGTTCAAGGAGATCACCAAGCGAGTCATCGTTAATGTCGCACTCGATCAAATGGAGATGCTTTAGCGCTGTCATATGGGGTCGCTCAATGTGGTCAAAGCCCTTTTCGTCTAGCTTCGCTCGTCGAATGGTCAAAGTCTCAAGAGTCGGGTGAGCGAATATATGAATGTTTTCGCGGAGGTCCCAGTATGCATCGTTGGCGCATTGGTAGAATAGCGAACACGTCTTCAAACAGGTAAGATCGAACGGACCATTGAACAAGGTTCCAATGCCATGCAGCAACACATCTGGTACTGAGATATCCAACTTTTCCAAATTCGACATGATAGACAATGTCCGTGAAAGGCTGTCTGATCGCTTGGGGTCGAGATACGAGCCATGCACTGGTGCATCGAGGGCCAGCTGCGACAGTTCCGAAGAAGGGTATGAGAGCTTGATTTCGTGAATAGCAGAGCCGCGACGAGGCCGCCGACTCAGCGACTCGCTAAAGGTAAGATGCAGCTCCGGCGAATCGAAAAGAATGCTCTTGTAGAGAATGGCATCACTGAGGCGATGGCATTTCTTGTTGACGCGCGACACACTACAGAGGTCGCGCCTGGCATTGCGGCCCACGGCTTCGAAGATCTGGAGCAAGATTTCCTCGGGCAAGTTACTCAGATGATCACGCGGAGCGCTAGCGCTCCCGTTGTCGCCGTTGGTTATGGGATTTGACATCGGTGTGGTGTTAGTATTGGAGATCCAACGACCTACGGCCGAGAGGTACTTTGTAGACTTGAGTCGCGAACACGTGGAGATGGCCTGGCAAGGTGGGATGCGGGGAAAGCAGGTGTGGAGACCCCAGCGTTGTATCAGGCACAACAGGTCGACACAGAGTAAACCGGGCTGTCGGTGTACGTATATAGATATGCTGTGAGATAGCCAAAATGCGCTGTGGCGAATAAGATTTTGTAGAGGACAAGTGACAGGTTGTGACCCTTGAGGTGTGGAAGAAGGGTGCGCGGCTGCTGCCGCCACATGTGGCTTGGTACTGATGATCTCATCCCGCAAACGCAACGTCTCAGCCCAGCGCCACCAACGGTTGGTGCTGCCCACATGTTCACATGTGAAGATTGCAGGCATCGTCCAGCAAACAGTCATGCGTTGAGCTTGTACATATACTATTACTACATACCTTTCTAGGAGCAGCAGAACCCCGTCTCCAGAACTATGAACATTACTTCTTCCCAACCGACGAGGCAATGACGAGCAGTCTTACCAGGGGCACATTTGCGGCACATGAGACCACGCAGCCGGGTGCCTCCCTGCTTTGACACACTTGGAACACATCCTCACAATCTGCATCACACGGCAATCTTTGCGGATGTGATCGTGTCGTCCGCACCTCGAACAATGGTACTCGTTACCCCATAACGGTTGATTGCATTGGCTGTGCAGCATTGCAACGTTGACGACAGACTGAATTGGCTGCTTTGCCAGTGGTATCTTTGAGCGCATAACCATCTGTATACAAATTATGAGGGAATATGCAGCGCAGTCGGCAGCGCTCCGGTGTTCAGGGAAGTCGATCTTGAGATCGGTAGCGAGTTGCCCGACTGTGAAAGTCTTGTCACGCCAGCCAAAGCCTGTTTCGCGAGCAATTTGTTGCGCGCTTATCATTGATACAATATTCTCTCCGATGGTTTGTTCAAGACCGAGAGCATTGAGGAGCGAATGGCGCTGCCATGGGCCGTCTTGTAGAATGACAATTGGACAGGCACCTGGGACTAAATGCTTGTCTGAAACAGGACAATACTCTTTTCCCGATGCCGAAGGCTCGACAGGTTGTCGGAAGAAATCTTCGAGCACAACTTTGGCTTCTTTTCCGTCTACAAACCGCGTGCGCCCAAAGCGGGTTCTATGGGGATCTAGAGTACCTCCTAGGAGATTCACATAACGCGCATTATCTTGCATACATATGTGATAGTATGAAACGTTGCGAAGGATTTCCAGGCTATGCGGTCCAGGGCATGCATACTTCTCCTGTATGCCTCGGCGTTTGACAGTGTGTACTCCAACATCCAGCAGTGCAGGGCGCTCTCCACTCAGCTTGCCACACCGCACCGCAATGAGCACAACGTGTTCAGCAAGTACCGGTGTATTTGGCCTTTCAAGTCCCAAGCAGAACTCTAGAGTCTCTGTATGATTTATTCCCTGGAAGAATTGGACGACATCTTTCATGCGTTCACTAAATTGCGGGTCAGGAATCGACAAGGCTGCCGATCCTTCGATGGACAGAGGCAAAATTTGTTTGCCTGTAGATGCGCTGGGCTCTAAGCGCTTCTCGAGAGGCTTTGAGGAATAAAATTTTTTCATGATGTGTTGTTGACCCAGGGAATGTCTCGCATTTTTTCCTGGACGGTACTTGTTGTTTCGAGTGGATCTTAATCGAGGGAGAAAATGAAAAGAAGTTCCTGGTCGAAATCTGGGAGTCATGAGATTCGTGAATGCCCAGAGGTGATGAAAAGACTGAGCACAGTGAGTGAACTATGGTTATCACACGCAGCGTAGATCCACTTAGTGAGTCCTCGCAATTCACTGGTTCATGTGCGGTCTTTGTGCGCTCTCACATTCACTTTGTGGGAATGGGATGGAGCTTCCCACTTTTCCTGGTTCCTTGGAAAACTTGGTTCACCTTACACGGTGTAGCCTTTCAACCATGTGCACACCGTCAGCGCACGTGGTCCTACCTATCCGTGGCGTTTTCCGCTCTCATTTTCTCTCGAACACAGTTAAAATCATGCACCCGTTGTTGGAATCAGAGAGATCTGAGGTATGCACTTTGTATCTGATTTCTGGTTACTGCAATCGATCATCAGCTACGAGCATTTACCATAGAGTATTATAGTGGTTTCGCGTTACGTAGACTAGAACCAATTGTTACTGTTACCGTGGTCAAAAATTTTTTGCCAAAAAGCCCTGGTTTCGTTTTTAAGATATGTTTAGCGACGATGAATCACTGACCGGATATGTGAAGTTGACTTACAGCCATAGTTTTTAGATTTTCGGCTACTCTGATACGACGGTATCGTACCATCCATACAGACATTACCACACAATGCATTTTCACCAATATTGATCTAGCGAATCCCACCAACACCTTTTTTGACATTGTCAATCCATCGTCTTCGGAACCATAGTTTAACCAGAACGGTTCCCACAAGGAAAACGCGATGTCGTCTTCCTGTCATCTATAAAACATAGATAGCCTTGCAGTTTCTGTTGTGATTCTCATACAGTCTATCACCAAAACTCGTTTGTAGGAAAAAGAGCAAGGGTATGGTAAAGGCTTGCGTAGGACCAGCTGCCGCGATAGCAAATCTACGCACAATACTCGACTCAGCCGCTAAATCTTCTTCCTAAAAGAACTCATAGTCGTAAGTCATAGATCTTGTTATTCAAGCCAGTTTCATGTGGAAATCCGGGCCTTATACGACTTTCATCGATCCGAGACCCTCGCACATTCACCTTCACCAACACCGCCTCGCCACTACCCATTTGTTTGCTAACCCTGCTTGAGCCTGGGCTTGCAGTATCCTATGCACACGCTCTACTGATTCTCACATTTTTTACTTAAGTATCCTGTTTGTGAGAACAAGCTGATAGATGGTGGCTCTTTCTAGTTCCATTTCAGCCTTTTATCTGGCATCAGCGCAACATCCAGGCTTTGGCTCTTAACTCTCAACCTCAGAACTCAGCCCGAGTAACTACATCGTTACGCCTCCAGCGCCCGGGGCCTTGTTGTTCCAGACGATTATATTTAGTACAGATCGCTATGGATACCACGCTCACTACATCCTATGACACCGAGTCGACGTCTTTCTCAATGGATATTCCTTTTGCAGTACCTGAGCAGCAACAGCAAGATTCTGCCATCATGGTACTAGAAAGCCGCTTTCAACAACTCACAGATATTGAAGTGTGGGAGCACTGCATTGGGATGAACCAAATCTCCGACATTCCCGATTTTGCACGAGAAGCTGCCAACCACATCATCGTGGTGTGTCTGGACTGCGAACACTGGTCCAACAACACGGAAGAGACGACCGAAGTGGGTATCGCTACCTTTTCCCGGCAAGATGTTGCGTCACTTGTGGACAGGGGAGATTTTGGAGATTTTGGAGAGCATTTACTGCAGCAAGTACAATTCTACTTGCTACGGCTGATCGAGACATCGCATTTACCAAACCAGAATCCACTTTCACGAGGGGTACTTGGCAATCGATTTGGAAAAGGCCGTTTTGTCACGTTTGCTCAAGCACGCCAGATATTGCACGATCTCTTTGTCCAACCTATCAAGGGCGTTCCTGGGTCGAAGGGAAATCGTCCCATTGTCGTCCTGGGCCATGACGTTAGCCACGACAAGAACAACCTGAAGCACAAAGCGATCGAATTCGACATGGACCCTCTTGGCACGGTGGTCCGATACATTGATACACAAGTTCTTGCTCGAGAGGGGAAGTGTTGGAACATGCCCCGCAAGGAACAGATTGGACTGAAGCGACTTGTGGAAAACCTGTGGTTCGAGCATAGTGACCCCCACACCGCGGCCAACGATGCGGGTCGTACATTGATTTGCGCCTTTCAGATTGGGCTTGGTAAACACTATTGCAGGGATCACCCGAGGTATAGGATGCTCGAAGTGGCCACTGATATTGAGCGGTATAGCGTTGCCAACTTCAAATCGATCGGCGGTGTAGAAGAGTACTGTTGGAGATGTGGTCAATCCGGGCATATGAAGTCCGCTTGCACAGCAACAGGCCTTCACTGCGACGAGTGCAAGTCCAACAAATGCCAACTCGAACCCGGCGAGGAACACATCTCAGCACATTGCATGTGCGTTGCCAACACCAACGCAGCTCAACGACGGGAGAGAGATGCGCAGGCACGAGCCCAAAAAAGAAAAAAGAAAAAATACAATTCGCACGGGAGTTCCTCCTCTGACGACCACGGTCAACCTCATTCGGGCGATAAAGACCATCCCCCTTCGATATCGCCCAGTCAGGTTTCGCACTCTGGGAAGCCAAATGGGCAGGAGGCCACCCACAAGGGCCACAGGAAACAACCATGGAACAACAGCTGGAGAGAATCACCTGAAAATGGATCCAGCAGCAGATTTGACAAACGTCGTGGCTCAGGTGGTGGACATTCGTCACGTGATGGGTCAGACCACTCTTCTTAGACTATATAGAAGATTTGAGGCGTTTCGGACAGACCTAGAAGGAGGTGTTGTTTGTTTGGATATCAGCTTCCAAACATTAGAGTAGAAGCTTGGTTATTTTTCAGGTAGCAATAATTAAGATAATGATATGCAAGATGATCAGATGACGGGGTGAGGCTGACTAAGAGATTCGCAAGGGCCTGCGTCATCAGTGCCTGCAGAAGGTGGAGTTCCCGTCTATCAACAGCCAACATGTTTGCGATGTTACAGTAACTTCTCACCTTTTTCGTGTGAGACTGCGGGCAAGTTGAGAACAGTCTCGAGCACCGTTTGCTGCGATCATGATCGACCATACGGTGCCAAAGTACCTATTCATCCGGACGTGCATCTTGGGGTTACGCGCTATCACACCCTTCAGCATATTCTGGGTTTCATTCAGTATCGCTGAACCTCCTCATACGGCCTTTCGTCGATTTTTGCTAACATGGAGCGCCATCGAGACGGCATTTTGGCTTCTTGTGTACATACCCCGCAAGCGCACGCTCCAGGCATCAGCACAACATCCTCCGCTACTCCCACAGGAAGAAAGAAAAGAACTTTTCTGGCGATGCTGGGATAAGATTCCTCACCCAGAATATTACATCAGCAGATGGTTTCTGGGCGCCAGGCCTGGAGAGGTGCGACGAGAGAATGTGCGTGAGTTTTTTGCATGGGCGCTGTTAAATCGCCGTAGTGAAAGCGACGATGAGCGCATGAAGAGGAGGCAGGCACATCCGGAGCAGAGCCATTCAGAAGACGACGAATTGAACGAGTATGCCGATGGTATTGAAACGATGCTGGGGCGGAAGCTAGCGCCCGGTATGGGCAGCGCAAAGAGCTTGCGCTTGACTATTGACCAGGTGAATATGGCTCACCGCCCGTTTCTGTGGTACATGGTACGTACATTGCTATTTAGTGCTCATGAGATACTGATAAGGCCAGATTGTCATGCTTGTCGACACCATCACAGCTATTCGCCTGCGCTATGCTGGATTCATGCACTTTCGCACCCATATCCGCAACACATTGGCTGTCTTTCCACCACGCCTGGCAAGTCTCACTACACGGAACATTTCACCAGCTCGAAACCTGAGCTACTGGTATAGACCACATACCTCCAGAACACGTTTACCTATCCTCTTTATCCATGGAATTGGTATCGGCCTACACCCCTATGTCGAGTTCCTGGCCGAGATCAACAAACACGATCCACTTGCAGCTGAGGATGGCCAAGTCGGCGTTATTGCGATCGAACTCATGCCCATTAGCTTCCGCATCACCGATCCCATGCCTGGCAGAGACGAGATGTGTCGTCAGATTGACATGATCCTTGAGCGCCATGGCTTTGACAAAATAGTCCTTGCTAGCCATTCCTACGGCTCTGTAGTCTCCACACATCTCATTCAAAACCCTACCACCGCTGCAAAAGTTGGGCCCATGGTCTTCATCGACCCAGTCACATTTCTTCTACACCTTCCAGACGTTGCATACAACTTTACAGCGCGTCATCCGCGAGGTGCAAACGAACATCAGTTGTACTACTTTGCGTCCACCGATATGATGGTCGCACATACGTTAGCGCGCCACTTTTTCTGGGCACAGAATATTCTTTGGAAAGAGGATTTGCGAGGCCGGGATGTGACTGTGAGCCTAGGCGGACGAGATCTTATTGTCGACGCCCAGACTGTTGGCAAGTACTTGAATAACGCCGATCTCAAGGGCGAGGATTATAGTTGGAAAGACTCTGAATGGAAAGGCCATGGCATGGAAACTATATGGTGGCCTACAGTGGATCATGCACAAGTTTTTGAAAGAAAAGACGGGAGAGCAAAGCTTGTGCAAGTATTGAGGGAGTATGTGAAGCACGGGGCTGACGAGGAGGAAAATGAGGAGTATCCTTGAGCTAGTGCGGTTCAGAAATACTCACCTATTCCCACCTCTAATACTTTACTATGGTGACTTTGTAACGTCCAAGACTCTTTCAAAGTTGGGTCTTGAAACCCGTTTGGGGGCCCGTCCGGGCCGAGTCGATCCAATCCGGCCCCGCCAACGCCGAACATGATACTTTATACAGCCATACGAGCAATGGATCGCTCTATGCAGGGTCATTGAGACATTGCTCTAGTCTTTTGTTTTTCAAAATACTTACAAATTATTTCATACCATGCCTGACGGAACTTGGATTTTGGGTGATCTCTTCACAAAGGAGTATGGTCACCGCGGCAGCATCCAGAAACTATGGGAACAACGCTGGAAGTTTCCCTGCACCAAAGGCGTCTATCCGTTCCATGACGGAAAGTTTGAAGATTTTGAGCCCATTTTCAAGCACCTCATCGACAACAATATCAACGATCCTTATGAAGATGCATACACCAACGCCTTTCTACCCACTGCCCAAAGACTAGCCAAAGAGGCACAAGACATGGAAGCCAAGGACAAGGAGGCTGCAAAAAAGTTATATCTAAACGCAAACGCCGTATACAGACTGGCCCGCTTCCCCTACATCGGCACAGAACTCAAGAAGCAAGTCTTTGAAGAGCAGAAAAAAGTCTACTTCCGTGGCACTCAACTCTGGGAGCACCCAATGCACGACATCAGTATACCTCACAAGCATGCCTCCAATGGCGACGGCCCCGAAATCCCCGTGTATGTTCGAAAACCCCCCGGCGACGGACCCTTCCCCACTGTCCTCCTCATCACCGGCCTCGACGGCCACCGCCCCGACAACACGGAGCGCACGCAAGAACACCTCAACCGCGGCTGGGCCACAGTCGTCTGCGACATCCCCGGCACCACGATCGATTGCCCCGCCAACAAACGTGACCCCTTATCTCCGGACCGCCTCTTCTCCAGTATCCTCGACTGGATCGCCGCAACCCCTTATCTCGATGCGGGCAAAGTGCTTGCGTGGGGGCTCAGCGCAGGCGGCTACTACGCCATCCGGCTCGCACATACGCATCGCACGCGGCTCGTGGGCAGCGTAGGCCACGGCGCGGGGACGCATCACTACATTGGGCGCGAGTGGCTTGCGCACGTGGACAAGCACGAGTACCCGTTCGGGCTTGAGGAGGCGTACCGCCAGAAGTATGGGTATGCGTCGTTTGACGAGGTCATGGACAAGTGTCAGGATGAGTTTAGTCTTGTTAGCGGCAAAGGCCAGGGTGTGGCGGTCGTGGGCGAAGGAATGCCAAGTTGCAGGTTGTTGCTGGTGAATGGCGTCTTGGATGGCTGTATGCCCGTTGAGGATAGCATGTTGCTGGCTGAATATGGGAGTCCTAAGGAAATGAGGTTTTTGAAGGACAGGCTGCATATGGGGTATCCTGAGGCGAATGCTACAGTGTATCCGTGGATGGAGGGGGTAATGGGGAAGTAGATGAGATTGGTGGGGGTTCATTTGGGACTAATGTGAGCACAATGGAATGAGAAAAAAAAAGTCTTTTTTTTAAACTAATTACTTTGAATAAGTTTTTTTTTGGGGGGGGGTTTGAATTCAGAGAAATTGTAAAGGAAAACCTCGACTCACTAACTACGTTATTTATCCTCCACAAAGGGGTAAAAACAAAAAAACACGGGGGGAACCAAATCTAAGAAGTAAGTCTCAAAGTACCTATATTTTCAAAAGACAAAAAAAAAAGAAATCGTTAACATTTCCAATACATTTGAAATCTAAACCACTTGCTCCAAAAACGGACACTCGGCACTCTCATGCCCATACGCCTCCCTCCCCTTATACCTCTTCGGATCCGTACTCTGCACACACCACTGACAGGGCACCGCATTCTGCGTCTTGGGCGCCACTGCTGTGGCCTTGTTCGTCGCCCTTGTCCGCGCCGCATCGCCACACTTGTCCGTCTTATGGGTATGGCACTGGGGGGCCGACTTTGGGTCTGCAGCGCAAAAGTCGCAGTGCAGCATGGAGACTTTGCAGTGGCGCAGCGTGTGCAGCTCCGAGTCGCATTTTGTGCAAAAGCGGAGTTGGCCGTAGGAAGGGCGGTGTGGGGATGAGGCGGTGTTGAAGGAGGTGAGGAGGGGTTTGAGGTTTGCGTAGCTGAGGGCGGTGGGGGTGGGAGTGGGAGTGGGAGGGGTGGGGTAGGCCATTAGGAGGGCGGTTATGAGGGTGGTGACGATGTCGTTGCCTGCGTTGTGCAGGTATTGTTCCTGGATTCCGTAGTGTGCCAGGAGATTCTTGAGTGAGATCTGACGGTTGTTGGGGGAGAGGGATTGTTCTATAGCCATGGTTTGGGTGTCGAGAGTTGTGATGATAGTGCCTAGACTTAAGACGTCGATACCGAAGCGCTGCTTCAGGACTTCATAGTCGTTGTCTACAGCGTGCCCGATGAAGATGACTGGGCGGGGGGAGGCATGTTCATCTTGCCTCAGAAAGATGGACCGCAACATTTTTTGGGCGGTCGAGATGCTTGCAAAAGTTGTACTTCCGAATTGGAAGTTCTCGGGGTACCCGCTGCAAAAGTCTTTGTTGACCAGGTGAGCGTGCGGCTTGATGCGTACATGATGGGTCTCGAGCGCTGCGAGAATGTCCCATGCTGGTGACGGACCTGTGGTATTGTTACTGCTAGGTTTGGGGATGGTTCGAGGATCGAGAACACAGACGCCCAGTTCGGTGATCAAGGATGCGTCGTGCTCGTACCATTCTGCGTCGAGCCCAACTATGATGGCATCCTGGAGTGCGAGGGTTGCTGCACTGTTACTCATGCCGAAAGGCATGTCGGTCCCGATGATGCCTTGTAACCAACACTGAAAAATCCCCGATTGCGTGAGTCCATTATTGTGTGTTTCTGCCTCGAGGACGTTCTTGAGTTCTCCTGGTGTCATTACAGGAGAAAGAGAAGCCATTTCTGCGTAGTAGTGGCTTGGATAGTATAGCGAATTAAACCTCTGTGTTTTTCGTCTTTGTGAATGCGGGAGAAAGGCTGAAAGTGCTGTACAGTGATGTAGCTGTTCATTCCAAAATGGAGAAAGCCTGTTGAGAACTTTTATATAATCCGTATTGGACGACATTGTGAGGAGCCTGCTGTGAGGCCAGCATTGTAAATCTGTGTCAGACATATCGGCGCGTTGTTGCTGCTGTTGTGGTGTATGTGTGATCACTGTGAGAAACCTTGCTGGTGCACACTGTCTGGCTGTCTAAGAAGTGAGAAGATGTCAAAAGTCTGTAAAAGTTGGCGAGGCCAGGGGGGCGTTGATATAGATTATTTGGCATTGCGACAAGATTAAAGCGAATGGTACCATTGGTGCTCGTAATCGACATAGTAGCGCTCAACCATGGTACACGGCATGGAACACCGAGATACCGCCCCAGGCAACCCCAATCAACACATGTCAAGAACGCAAGTGTTGGAGGACAGCCATGGATCGAAAATGAGTAATTCTATGCCTGAGAGTCGATAGAGAAAAGTCAAATATAGTCATTGTAAAGGCATGGCCAACAACCTCTGAAACAAAGGTCATTATTTCACAAGACATAGCAAATAGAGCTTGTTTTGAACAAACATTTTGTATTAATTCGGGACTAGGTATAGAACATGTGGCCAACCGCGACAGCAAACATGCAATCAATCTCATTGCACTTCTTAAACACATGAGTTTGGGGTATATCGTCGTTTTTTTTTAGCATTCAATAGTAAAATGTCTAACAAATCACCTCGCATTACTAACATCAATGCAAGACACTTAGTGCTTCTCAGCAGTGGCGCTGACACTCTGGCGCCTCTCAACGTCGGCAGCCTGCTCCTCCGTACCAAGGTGACCAGTGGGCAACAGGTTGAGCGCGTCTTCCTGCTTGTCCATGGTGCGGTAGGCGAAGAAGAAAGCAATACCAGTGACGAAAGAGATGATGGCGACACTGCCGTAGTTCCAGGTAATGTGGGGGTCGGCAGTAAGAGGCGTGAAAGCCTGGGCGAGAGCGGCGGAGAAAGCAGTGGTGAAGAGCTGGACGGACTGTACAAGAGACCTCATGTTCTTGGGCGCCTTGGTGAAAGCGTACTCGAGGGTGGTGACTGAGGCGAAAATCTCGGAAATGGCAATGAGGACGTAGACACCGGTAACAGCCCAGACGGAGATGTTAGTCTTGTAGTCGGGGTCGTGGGTCTCGTAGTAGCCAGAGGTCTTGTAGATGTAGTGCTGGAGAACGGCGGCCCAGACCATGGCGAAGGCTCCGAGAATGAAACCAGCAGTGATCTTCTTGATGGGGGTGAAGCGGATTCCACGCCTGCGGAGGAAAGGGTACACAGTGGTATCCATGATTGGCACCTGAGGTTTGGTTAGTAACATTTTCGCAATCAGTAGCGTGGAGTCAACTTACAATGATGATAATGGCAATGGGGTCAAGGTTGGAGAGAATGTCGTTGGGGACACCGCCGAGGTTCATGGTCGCGCACATTTGGGTGAGGTTAGAGTCCATCTGGCGGTAGGCAAGCCAGAAAATGGGGACCCAGAAGAAGACAGAGCAAGCGGCAAATCCACGAGCAACCTCATCAACCCAGGCGTCATCAAAGTTGTACCAGCTAGGCTTGTTGGCGCCAAGCGTGGAAGGCTTGACAGAGTCCCACATGTTGCCGTTGTTCCAGTTCTTCCAGGTGGTGACGGGGTTAGCGGCCATGCCACCACCGAGAGCCTTGAAGAAAAGCTTGAAAGCAGGGCCCATGACGTTGCCGCTCGGGGGACGGAGGATGTAGAACTTCTTGCAGAAGATCAAGACGGGAAGGGCAACGACGAACATGACGGTGGGGATCAAGTAAGCCAACCAGAAACCAACGTATCGCTCAGCGTAAACCATGCTGATCTGACCGACAAGCGCACCAATGTTGATGAAGAAGTAGAACCAGTTGTAGATGCGGGTGGTGGTGACAGCAGGGTCAACAATGACGCGAGTGGTGCCACGGGTCTCAACACGCATCTTCTCCTGGGGAATCTGCTCGGCAATGAGGGGAGCAATGTTGGGCTTGAAAGTTCCAGTTCCGAGACCCATGATGATGAGACCGAGAATGAAGACACCGAGAGCAGTGTCGGGGTTCTTGAGGACCGAGGGGGCGGCGGAAGCGACAAGGATAACGTGACCGATTTCAGCAACAAGGACAGAGTAGAGAATAGTCTTGAAACGACCAAGGTAGGTGTCGGCAATCCATGCACCGAAAAGGGGGCAGACGTAGACCCAGAAGGCGTTGAAGGTAGTCAAGCTGAAGGCAACTTGCTTGCCCATGCCCAGGGCACCGGGCTGGGCTTGCGCATCGTCGGGGTCGGTGGCAGCGCCAGTAGGAGTCGTGAGGGGCTTGGCGATGTAGTTGGAGTATACAGCAACGGTACCGTAGTAACTCATACGCTCGACCAACTCGACAAAGGCAATCTGGTCAATGGGGTCAGCGTGGCTCTCACGTGCAGTTGGAGTGAGGAGAAACATACAGTGAAGATCTTCCATGGAATCCTGGCAGGGACACGAGGAAGGGTAGCGAGCTCCTCCTCGGTGGGGAAGTCACCTTCCTCTGAGATGTAGGCATCCTGAAGCGTGGCCTTTCCCTCGGAGTGAAGGTAGGCGGGGGCGCCAACAGTGTGTTGCTCAGGGTGCTGGCGTGTGGGGTCACCCGAGGCGTCAATCAGGGCAGGGTCCAAGCCAACGGCTTGCTGTAGAACGTGTTAGGAGGCCATTGCAATGGGATTGTTTTTTCTTCTTCACGAGGGCGGGACGTACTACTTCACCAGCGTCGCCGACAGGCATGTTGGACGGTGGAAGAGAATGACCGGGGGATCTGGGCCTGTTGCGAAGAGCAGCCAATGGCAGCTATATGGATTGTCGCAGTGAGGAGGAGTGAGAGAGAGGAGGCCCTGAAGAAGCAGAAGCAGTGAAGACGGCCGAGTGAAGGTGTATTTAATTAGAGCACGCAAATGACGGGACCAACATCGTGCTCCCCAGGCTGAGGCCAAATGAGGAAGGCGCGCAGGCTGGAACAAGGATCAGCGGCGTATTGACAGTGTCGCGGTATGTGGCATCAGCACAGCGGGCATTGCCACCGCGGCTGGGACGCCCAAGAGGGCAATCGGCGCGTGAGTGAATGGAGCGGCACGAAGCTGTTTTCGCACTGCATCGCCGAGGCGGTACGGCCTACTCAAGCCTCGCCAAGTTGCTAACCACCACTGGCAAGCTGGAAGACAAGAGAGCTTGCCCCGTGCAAGATAACAATTCGCGGTGGCGCCCAGCTGGCATGGCCTTGTTCTTGTCTCCTGCCTAAACGAGGGCACCGCTACCCCGCTGCCCGCCCCCCCAAGCACCGCCCAGATGCGCTACCACCGTCCCATTTGCTTCTCTAGACCCGGCGGATGGGTGTGCGGGCCATGCATGCCCTCGTCGAGCCATCAGGATGCTGAGGGCCTGAACATGGCTATTTGCGGGTCGCCCTATGGTGCCATCAGGCCAGCCAGCCAACCACTGTTGTTCGCGGCCCATATCAGCGAACAGTGCGGTCGAGATATGCAACAGACGAGGAAAAAAAACACCACAGCGATCGGATAAGACCGACCAGGGGTGGGTGGGTGCCAAGGCCGTTCGCCGCCCGCCTAGGCCGGGAGAACAAGATAATGGCTGGAAGCTTGGGGTCTTAGCCAGTACCGCCGACTTGGCCAAGCACACCATCCGCGCTACCATTCGCCCATTCGCCCCCAGACTCGCAGCCGCTTGTTAGAGATCCACCGCGTCGTCGCATGTTGGAATATTCTCTGCGCACCCAAGACCTGGGCGTCGGACAAGGCGTCTCTGGCTCGCCCCTCAGGACCAGGAACATCGGCGCCCAGCGCCCATACACACTCTGACAAGACACGACAGAACCATTGAGGCGTTGGATAAGCTTTGCGATGCAACCGAGGAGGATCCGAGTCCACGACTGATTCTTTTCCTCTCCTAGTACTTTTCTATCGCGGTGATAGTAGATGGTCGCAAGACCAGGTCCGAGTCAGCCAATCGTGTCGTAGGTAGGGCAATGGGGGTTGCACCGACAGGACGCAGCGGGCATTAGTATTACAATACGATAAACCATGGTGCTTATCCTTTACGAGGGCGGCTGAGGAGCGGCATTCCTTTGGCGTATATTGAACGTCATGTGTGTGTTGGATTGATAGAGCAAAGGCCGGGGATTGGAACGATCGCCATGGTCGGTTGGATAGATTAAGCTCTGGTGCAGGTGCAAGCTAGGCCGCGGCAAGTCTCCGCGCGCACGTGAGCTTGGTGTCTGTATGCATCATGTGCGTACATGTGTATGTATGTAGCATGTCTGTGTGTGTACGGCTATTTTGCCTATCGCTCGCTACAGGCGCTTTAAATTGCCCGCCCTGGTGGGGAGACGGCGATAGCGTCTCTCAGCACGCGGGACAGCAACGGCAGCAGGTGTATAAGTATTCCATCTGTCTGTGTCTGGGTCTGCTGTGGGTGCTCAGGGCCCGCCCTGTGCATGCGCGCAGACCACGGGAGCGCGCCTATTGCTGCTACACGCACACGCACACTACCAATGGGCAATCACATGTATACCTTTAGAGTAATGGGACCGCTTGCACCTTCCCGACACTGAGGTAGCGGTGGGTTGGCCCAGGCCCCCCACTTGTTCCTCGCTTCGCCCAGCACGCCTCGACGCCCGTCTTGTATACTCCATCTGTTCAACGGCCGCGGCATAACCGCCGCCACCCGCACCACTCTGCCCTGCAATAAGCAGTGATATCTCTTTGCCAGCCAGGCCCCAAGGCCGAGATATCCGTTCGTCCATGCAACCTCATCCATGCGTGGCGTAGTAGTACTCGGCGCCAGTCACATGACCATCTTCCAGGGCCCTTCTTTGTTCTCCTCAAAGACGGCTCGCATTCTGACACATCAACAATAAGAAACGCCACACTAACATAACTGCTACGTCACAGCAACATAGCTACAAACGCCCACACACAACCCAACCCTTTCTCCTCTCCACCCACTCACACAACCATACTCTTCGCCCTCAACGCCTGCAACCGCTCCGGCGTAACAACACTCAGCGCCATCGCACCCCCAATCACCATCCCTAGCAACAACACAAGCAGCAAATGCACCGGCTCCAGCTTCTCTCTCGCCCCCTCCCTCGCCTGGTTCTCAGGCGCATACCTCCCCACCATCTTCTTCAGCGGCGCCACCCCTTCCTTCTCCGCAAACTCGACCCCCCTCTTCATGCCCGGCAGCCCATCAATGCTCTTCTGACTCTTCCACGCCCAATACCTATCCATTGACTCTTCCGTGTTCCCTTCCTCGTACTTTTTCTGCTTGTTCGCAAAGTGTTTCTCCAGGATATCCCGGTGGCCCACAAAGTCGTAGTACGGGACGGAGAAGCCGCACGACGTCCCGCACTGGTGCACGTCGACGACGATGATGCTACGCGAGCTAAAGGCAGATGACAACTTGCGGTCTTGCACAAAACCCTCGTACTCTGCGCTTCCGTTTTCCAGCGCCCGTCCTGTGCCCCAGATTCGGACGATTTTGGGGGGTCCCGTGAATGCTGTGAACTACAAAGTATGATGATTTCAGCTGCTGTTAAACAAAACTGGCACGGTATGTATCTCGTCGTGACTCGCAAACCCACACATCTTGTAACGAGGAAGGAGATTGAGAAGCAAACCGAGAACTTACCATTACGCAAATCCGCCCATTTCCCGGCTCGTGCAAATGCGCAGTCGTCTCCACACCACTGCCTGTCATATCCATGTACCAAAACGTGCGCTCATCCAGCACTCCAAACTGCTGTCCCTGCCCCCCCTTGGGCGAAATATTAATATGCCCATTGCCTGCCAGCGGTGCAGTGCCCACCCAGAACATTTGCTGTTCATGGATCCATGACACGAGGCTATCCGGAATCGTTTCGTAAAAGACTCCCATTTTTTTTTTCCTCTTCTTCTTCTTTCTTCTCCCTTGTTAGTATTTGATCGGTTGGTAGTCGAGAAACCCGAGAGTGATTTGCATCCAGTCGTCTTATCTCGCTGCTCGCTGTATATTGCGAGAAAAGAAAGAAACGACAAAGAAAAAAGAATGCGGTCAAATAAACCAACTTTGCACCTGGATGACTCAGTCAGTTCCAATGTACCCCCAACTCGCTACGCCCTGCATTTCCACAACGCCCCTATTCTCGTCACCCCCCAAAAAACTCTCAGACACAGTATCCCGCCAACTTCCGCGGCCGGAAAATCCATCCTTACCTTGAACAAAGATTGCGCAAACAAAAGTTCGCCCAAACTCTGGTCTGATCTTCTGTCTCGATTTGGTCTAGTAGCTGATATATCCTCTGGTCTGTGCTGCTGCTGCTGCTGCTGCTGCTCAACAGAAACACGGTTACAAAAGTCCCAACCTTGATTGCCCCAACTGGAAATCAATCGGAAAGTACGGCAAATTAGATACCTTTGGTGAAGAACACAAAAAAAAAGAAGACACTTGGGTGCTTGCAAGGGATGTAGGGTAAGAAGGGGGGAAAGATAGAACAACAAGGGGTTGGGAAGCTTACTTTTTTACCCCACTCGGGACAGAGTGTGGGGGTGCGTGGTAGTTAATACGGGTATAGTGCGGGGGTGTGTGTGTGTGTGTGTGGAAGCAAGAACCATAATGTCAGCGCTATTCATTTTTGTTTGTCTGATATGAAGATAGCTCCTCGAGTAGTCTATGGCTTTATGAGCTAGTATGAATGAAAAATGTAAACAAACTCATACGATATCAAAATGTCAAAACCCGCGCAATGGCCATGTTGAAGATAGCCATAGGGCACATGTTTCATCCATTCAACCTCCCTATTCACTCAGAAAAGAAACAAAAAAACACTCTGCTGATTTTACGTGAAAATCACACTTTGACCGTCCATTGACTAGCCCCTCCAACTCCAATATCACCACCAACCCCCTCATTTCCGTGGCAGCTCCCTAAATACCTCTTTGAAAATCTTCTTACTGTTATATAGATTGACCAGCCTCAACCGCTCATTGTCCAAATGTGCACTGTCACTTGCCTGGCCGCACGGAAGATGCGCAGCAGGCGCATTGAATTCCTTCTCCAGGAACCGGATGCTGGGGATGGAACCACCCTCGCGGATATAAAGAGGCTTGCGTGGAACAAACTCCTCCTCTGTCGGATGCGGTGTGGAAGTGTCAGAGCCTGCATCGACTGCAGTGGCAAGCGCCGGATCCGAAGAATTGGCTAGCGTGTTGGACGTTGTCGGGACAGCGGATTTCTTGGTAGCAGCACTGACTTCTGTTGCACTTTTTGAATTTGTTGAAAAGTAGTCCGAGGCTTTTGCAGCTGACATGCTTTCTCTCCTTTGGCCTAGTCGCGGGCCCCATACCGACATGATGGCCCGTTCGAGCGTCTGGAATATTTCGTTGCCAAAGTCGCCCAGCCATGGCTCAGCTTGGTGGTCAATGGTAACCTTGAGTTCATTCTTCGAGTCGAGTTGCTCAAACTCATCTTGTAGAAACGACTTCAGTGCCTTGGCTACATCCCCAGCTTCTTGGTTGGGTACCAGACGGATAGACAGAGCTGCCTTTGCAAGGCGCGGGATAATGGTCGAGTTGTCTGGGCCCGATGTCTGGAAGCGATGTATAGTAAGAGATGCCTCGCGCCACCTACGCATTAGTGATTGCGCCAATTCATCTGCGTCGCCCAGGTCAGGGTTGCAGCGCAAGAGCGTATTGGTGATCTCGGTGTACAGCTCCCTTTCATCATCGGCCAAAGGCAAGATGGGGTCATAGAAACCAGGAATCTGGACCTTGCCATGTCGAGCAGTCAATTTTGAAAGCAACATGACGAGATCCTTGAGCGGCTCATCCAGCAGTGCGCTGCCATCAACACCACTGTGCAAGTCCGGGTGCTTACTCTCAATCTGCACAGTAGCGTGAATTACGCCTCGCAGTCCATACGTCAGACATGGCACATGGTCATCGAGCCAGTAGCTGTTTGCCAGGAGAATCCAGTCAACATCACCGATCAGGTCTTTCCTAGCCCGTATGGCTTTTTCAAAGCCACGAGAGCCGCTTTCCTCTTCACCTTCGATGAGAAAGATGATGTCAGAATCTAAGCTCTGCTCATTGGCCAATTCATGTGCGGCATAGATGGCGGCCATGATAGGCCCCTTGTTATCGGATGCGCCACGGCCATACAAGTAGCCCCCTTCTCCGGTAAGAGTGAAGGGATCATGCTTCCACTTGCGCTGCTCGTTTTCTGCAGGTATGACATCGTAGTGGCCGTAAAACAAAATCTTCTTTCGCGATGCCGCTGTGGCGGGGTTACCACGGAACTTGGCAAATACTATTGGGTTGTAGTCGGTAGTGTTGATCATCTCGGTTACGGCACCAAAATTCTGAAAAACCGATCTAAGGTAGGATGCACCTCGGCGGCAGTCTGCACGATACTTGGGCAGCGACGATACGGTCCGAAACGAGACGAATTGACTCAAAGACTCCACCATGAGATCTGCACAACACATTAGAAGTGCGGGTTAACGAATGCCAGCGTGTACGCACCATTATTGCTTCTTCTTGTAGCGGCATCCGGCTCCGCGCAATCCTTGACTTCCCAAACGACGACGGTGTTGTCATTGCCGCCCGTGACCAGTATTGACTTTTCTGCATAACGAGTGAAGGCTGATGCGAGAATCAAGCCGTCATGTGCTTGGAAAGTCGAAATAGTCTCATAATGCTCGTTGAATTTCTGAGCATGTCAGATTGGCCCGCTCAAACCCACTCATACCAAGACTTACCTGCATAGCACCAGTCTTACCACCGGCATACAGAACACCCGAGCCTAACGACAAGGTATGTACGTCGCCAGTGCTCGCCTTTAGGCTTCGCACTAGTTGCCTGGTCTCCAGGTCCCACACGTTGACTTCGCCATCGAAGCGTCCGCTGTACAAGAAAGACCCTTCTCTAGCCAGGGACAGGATTGATTCGCCCTCTTCTCTCCCATCTTCGAGCGTGCAGATGGCTGATATGCTGCCCCGCTGTGACGGATCTATCCTCCATAACAGGATGCGCCCGTCTCCACCTCCGGAGACTAGCACTTCTTCCGATGGTGCTTCAGGCAGTATGCCGCTCCCCACGAGCATGCAGTGTACGTATCCATAATGGGCAAACTGACAAATGTCATGACTGTCGATCTGCAATTCCTGCCCACCCGATGCATCTCGCGGTCTTGTGTCTGCGCCGGCAGGCCTTGGTGTTTGGGCACCACCGGGTCCGAGTGAGTCAAAGAATCTGTTCTTGCGCTCGGTCGGGCGCGAAGAGAGGCTAGGCGTGGGCCTGGTATCCTTTTCCTTCAAGTCATACCATTGTATGCTTGTATTTTGGGCACCAAGGTATACAGTATGGTGTTGGGATGAGTAGGCGACACAGAAAATGTCACCAATGTCATAGGGAGACCAGAGGGCATAGAGATGCTTGAATGTCGATGTACACCAGACCTGGCGAGTTAGTACACACGCCCAGTGCACGGAAGTAATCACTGACATTGACAATTGGGTCTGCCGCACTCGAGAAGAGCCATTTGCGGTCTTGCGACAGGCACAAGCCAAGCACGCTGCCCTTGTGCGCATGTATGACTCTACGAAGCTCGTAGGTATCGAGACTGTAGACCTAATACACCATCAGATGCAGAAAAGTTCAAAATTCTCTGCCACCCGTACCAATATCTCTCCGCCCTGTGTGCCGGCAAAGATGTATTGCGAGGACAGTGCCAGTGCCAGGATCGACTTGTCGTGCTTCATGCGGTGGGAGAGCGCGGGCGTTCGATCCATGAACGGTAGTGTGTGGTCCGGGTCTGTTGTGCCCACGGTGCCCATGGTGGTATCATCGTGCGGAGGGACTGCTGTGGGCATGGTCAGCCTGGCTCCAAAGTACGCCCTCGGTGTTGTTCCTGCATAGTCGCGTGTGATGGTTTGAGCGGGCAAGGGAGCGAGCGAAGCGATGACGGAGCTCTAGGGTCCAGGTGCGCCGCCTGCGGGGCTATCCATTGACTACGTGCCTAGCACACCACACCTCGACCACGGCCACGCGTCTTACATACCTCTCAATTCTAAAAACTTCCTCCTGTCTTCTTCTACAGTAATGGTCCGCGAAAAGGTACACATTGTGTTTCTGCCGGTTGAGCTACAGCCTGAAATGAGATGCAAGGGGAAAATGGCACGGGCAGATGTGTCTGTGCTATGCGAAGACGTGCTCCCGGTCAAGGTATGTGAACAAGGGGATAGTGGCTCGTCGTCTTCGAGTACATCGTCGAGTGTCGTGTCGGAGAACGTCTCATCGTCTCTCGACGTCGACGAAGTCGCAGGAGAGCTCAGGCACTGGTGCTCACAGATGGTATCAGCGTCACCGCTCGTACATGGCGAGCGATGACCCTGAGATGGCGCCATCTTTGGGCTTGAAGGGTGTATCAGGACCAAGTGACGAGGTACCTTAGCCCCTTTATCGCTGATTTCTTTTGCTTGATTACCTTGCATGACTATGGCAATGTGGTGAGAAGAAGGCTACCGATGCTCACGGCGATGTGCAGTCCATATGTGTGTGTATGGGAATGTCTCCCCTTCCATTGGGAGCATTCTATCTACGCTACAACCAGCGCTTGGCCATCACTCAAGGCTAGCAATGCATTGCATAAATGTGGTCTGCTTGACCGTTTGCGAAGCCGGATACGTGTTCGCATTGCGGAGAGCCAGCTCCGGAGTTACAGTCATGGCAGGCGCAGCAGTCACCGCGACGGCGGCTTTGGGCTCGGCTTCCGTTTGGCCAGTGCTATGCGAAAAGACGTGGAAGAGGGTCGCTGGGTTACACACCCACATGGCGATGCATACTTAAAGGAGCAGGTGTGTTCCGTTAGCCATTGCAAACGTCAAGAATGGAGTGGTGATCGTCGGTCCACGGCGTGAAGTCGCAACCTGCCCCCAGCCGACAGAAGAGTCACGATACCGACATTCGGATAGCAAAGGCCATGGCCAGTGCGCCGGACAATTCGATCCATACGTGGTTCGGAAACCTAGGCTGGCACTACCGGTGAATATACGAAAAAGCAGCCTGAGAGTCGGTGGACGTGGGATGACGACGAGGAGCCGTGAGCTTCAAGCCACAATGATGGCACACTTGGACGACAGCCGGCGCCGCTGATGTTGCGGAGAAAAGAGGGAAAAAGAGAAGAGAAAAGTAAAAGGGCATGACCACGTCTTACGCAGCCTTGCATGCCATTGCAATTATTGGGCGGTAGGTAGCCACAACGAGAGGCGGGCAGCAGAAGCAGAGAGAAGACCTTGGCACTGGCCGCTGGCAGTCTGGGCCCAGCTTCGGCGAGTTTGAAGGGGCACCGCCACAGCATGCGCCACAGTTTGCGCCACGGCAGGCGCGGTTCTGAACCGGTCAGGGCCACTCCAGGGCCTTTCAAGGGCCAGTCAAGGCCGGTCAAGACCAGCATCCCCCGCCCCCCAGCAGCGAAAAGTAGCGAAAAGCAGACTGGAGCGCTGCCAGCTGGTCACGCAAATCCCGCAGACCCCCCCGGGCGGCAGCTTGGGCATCAACCACCGTCTGCACCATGGCATCAGCACGCGCAGAAGCTGAGGCAGCACAAAGGGCTAGTCGGCCACTCGCAGCAGCGACACGTTCACCACGTCGGCAGCAAGAAACACAGTGGCTGGGCGGCGCGCCAATAGCATCCCCCGTCCCAAGGGATCTGATGCAGCGTCTCGCTGCCCGCATATCCGGCCGCCATGGTAGCGCCTCTAGCACCACCCATTGACACGGCGACACGCCTGCCCGCCTTGCCCCTCCTGTACTGGCCGAGACGACACGGCAGTCGCGTGGAGGCCTTCGATGCATCTCGCTTGCGGCCAGTCTGCGCCCTCGCAGCGGTTCCACTGTCATCATGGCCTGCGTGTCGCAGTTGGCGCAAAATCGCCTCACTCCCGAATATACCCCCCGACAGTAATCCCGCCAAAACTGTGACTCGCACTCCCCTTATAGAGCCCGCCACCCGCCCGCGACAGACAGACGGCCCAGGTGGAACCTTGTTGTGGAGTTGCGCCAGCTGCCGTTTCCGCGAGCATTGATCCCTCCTGACCGCCTCACACACCGGAACCACAAGTACAACCACCCTCACCGCAACGCCCTTCTGGTCGCACAAAAACCCAGTCGTCCCGCCCGCTGTGCATACTGCAGGAACAACCTGCCCCTAGTACGTCAGGATGGCCGTAGGACTCGGTGAAACCATTACAGTGATCAACAAGAGCGGCAAGGTGGTGAGCAGTGTAAGTAGTCGACAGATCCAGCTAGCCCCTCTTTTACCCTACCCTCGCCTACATGACATACTACATACACATACTGACCACTCCCCGTCCAGAGCAAGCACATCTTTGGCGTCTTCAAGGAGGCCAAGGCTGCATACCGCGAGCGCAAGGCTGAAATCAAAGCTGAGCGCGATGCCGCTGTCAAGGAGAAGGAACTCTCAAAGAGCATAAATGCTCTGCGCATCGATGACGACACCCGCTCCCAGGCCTCCCATCGCTCAAAGGCATCAAAGTCATCCAGGCGCCCTCCCCTAGAGCGCGGCCATACCGACATTCCACGAAGCAGCCGCCATCGCTTCGAGGCTGACCTCAATGGCCAAGACTCACACGGAAAAGAGGTTGCGAGGAGGCATTCCGACCAGCCCCGCGCCAAAGCCGCCTACGTCGACATGGACCTCGCATACGGCGATGTACCCCCACCCCTACCAGACCCGCAGATCGAAGAGCTCGAATTGAAAGAAAAGGCTTCCAAGATCGAGATGCTTCTCGACGAGGCAAACGCCCTCCAGTACACGGCCACCGCCATCATCGAAAACCTACAGAAGAACCCAGAGGCACTAGCCGCCGTCTCGCTTACGCTAGCCGAGATTAGCGCCCTCGTCACCAAAATGGGACCTGGTGTTCTCATGTCGCTCAAGGGCAGCTTCCCTGCAGTCGCTGCACTACTCCTCAGCCCTCAGTTTATGATTGCTGGAGGTGTTGCTGTGGGCGTTACCATTGTCGCCCTTGGTGGGTACAAGATCATCAAGAAGATCCAAGCCCCGAACGACCCTCTCGAGCCCCCCATGCAGCCCATGATTTCTCGTGCCGCCACTGCCCCTGCTGCCATAGAAGAGCCCAGCAACGAGCTGGACGAACTGCAGCCGCAGGAACTCAGCCGCGTCGAAAAGTGGCGCCGTGGCATCGCTGACATCGAGGCCGAAAGCTGCGGTACCAGCGTTGATGGCGAGTTCATCACCCCCGGAGTATCGCGAGAGCTTTGCGACGCGGGTATCCTTGATGAAGACGACCTCAAGTCGCGCCGCAGCACCAGGTCCAAGAGGACCACCACTAGTGAATCACGGCACAAGTCACATCGCAGCAAGTCCAAGCCGTCTGAGTCCAAGTCTTCTGAGTCCAAGCGCGCCTCAAGTAAGGTTGGCAAGGACAGCTCGAGCAAAGTTGGAAAAGACAGCTCAAGCAAGGTCGGCAGGGATAGCTCAAGTAAAGTCGGCAGAGACAGCTCAAGTAAGAGCGGCAAGGAGAGCAGTAGGAAGAAGGAAAAGGAACCATCCGGCTTGAAGATGCTGTTCCGATCCCACACGGTTGCCGCTTAGACGAACCCCACGACCCACACAGTACAATTTCCTTTCTCATCATAGCGCGCGGCGTTCTTCTCAGCCTCTCATCGCAACAGTCAGCATTTAGCGTTTTTGGCTTTCTAGCCGTTGTATACATCTCATAGGACGACGCTTCCGCTTTTCAAAGGGTTCTGTGGACCCCGTCGTTTACTTTGCTGGCTCCAACTGCGAGTCTGCTTTTATCCATTTTACTTTTACACCTTTTTTTGGGGCGCAAAACGGAGGAACGAATTAATGCCTTATTTATGATATTTGCTACCGCGAGTTTCTTTTCACTGCGAACAGTCCTCCTTTCAACGCACCGCGTGTCTTTAATGTAAGCATAACGTTAGTACGAAGACTATCTCAACATTGTTACGTTTCTGTCTAGAAATCTGAAATTGGAATCATGTCTACTCTATAAGCCATGCACTCGACCTGGACTTGAACAAACTTTTGTCCATCCCACCTCGCTCCATCCCGTCTCGTACCTTGCAGCATAACGAACTACTTAGCGTGGCAGTGGCGTACCTAACCGAAAGGCTTGCTGCACATGGAGAAGTGTGTGAGACTAGGATGTGTTTAGAAGTCACTGACTCGTGTAGCAGACCTTCGTGCCGGTACGCTTGTCGTTGTTCGTATATTCGCCTTTTCGCTTACCGTCCCATTTTACTGCCTGCAGAATGAGGATTGTCCACGGCCCAGTATCAAATCAATGGCAAAACAACTAACATGCCGTGTTTTCTAAATTGTGAGTTCTCCCTTCAACGCACTAAGATCTATCAATCGTGGGGAGAGACAGTCGGTGGAGCTAAGGAAAAGATGTGATTACAACCAGCATACATATCTACGAAAGAGCAAGAGATTGAGAATAACTGAACCCCCTCACCCCATCTCAACACAACCAAATCTCAAGCACCCGTCCATTCATACACCGGCAACTGCGACTCATCCGGCTTATCACTCGGCAACAGCTTATACACCTTACTCTTCGCTACTGCCCACGCAATTGCATCCCGCAGACGAATCCCCCACCTCGTCTGCGGAAACCCCAACTGCGGGAATCCCGAGGGCAACGTCGCATAGGGCGCCTGAACCGGTCTAAACACCTCTTCGTACCTCTTCAACGCCTCAGGCACATCCTCGCTCCTCCGCACCTTCCCCAGCTCACCCGCCAGATAATACGCGCCCTGCACCGCAAGCGTCGTCCCGCTCCCAAACGTCGCATGCGCCGCGTCGCCGATCAGCACAGCGCGGTGGTTCGTCCACGTAGGCAAGTTGACGTACGCCGAGCGACTCATGTAGAAATCGTCGCTGGTATGCATACCTTTTAGTATCCTCTGGGCCTGCCACCCCAAGTCCTTGAAGTACTCGGTCAGAAACTGCTTCTGGGCTTGCGGTCCACCTTCCATGGCCTTTTCAGCAGCTGGATCGCGGTGGCCGTGCGCGGGCATCGTGACGCCCATGTAGCATCCTACTGTCTTCTCGTTGCGGTGCGGACGCAGCATGAGGGCGAGGCCTTTGGGTACGGTGTACCAATACCAGTGGTTTGTATCGGATGGTATGCGCGGGATGCTGAAGTACGCAATGTACTGGCCGATGAAGTTGTAGCAGTTCTTCTGCGCCTCGTCGCTCAGCACCATGGAGCGGATTCGCGAGGTGGATCCGTCGGCGCCGACGATGAGGTCGAAAGAGTCGGTGGCGCCGCTGTGGAATTGCACGTTTACTTTGTCGGAGGTTTGCGAGATGCTGGTCACGTGGTCGCCGTATTTGTACTGTACGTTTGGCGCATTGCGTGTTGCATCGAGGAAGATTCCGCATAGATCTGCGCGTAGGATCTCGTACTCGGATGAGAAGGCCTCGCCTTTGCCGAATTCGGCGATGATCTTGTTGGAGGCGTTGACGAAACGGGTGCCTTGCTCAGTTGTGTTGCGGGCTAGTACCTCAGGCAGCAAGTTCATCTTGTCGACTATGGAAACGGCTGTTCCGCGTATCTCGATTGATTGGCCTGTTACCCGGGGTGTGGGCGAGCGCTCGAGAACGGTGATGGAAGCATTGAGTCGCGTTCTTGTGAGCCAATATGCTAGACAAGAGCCTGCGATGCCGGCGCCATTGATGAGGACTTTGAGTTGGGGAGGTGTAGATAGTGCCATGTTGGGGTACCGAGTATCTGCTTGAAAGATGTGGTCAGAATATGATATTCGTCGAGCAGCAGAGAAGGTTTTATATACTCCACTAGTACATTGCAGTCTTCTTCAAGGCATACATATCACGGAGTTCGGAGGTATTCATCGTGCCGTCGCAAGTCTTCCTCTAAATAGAAAGGTCGAGAGACTGTCTCCCACACCGCTGCAAAGCTCAGACTTGGTTTGCTGACGCTTGCTGAGATTTAAAAGAAAATGCATATCAAAAAATGTACCTTGAGACCGCGCTTTGTGTGCTCTCGTCGTGCAGCGCAGAATACTACAAGTGAGCAAAAGGAGACGTGCGCTCTTAGCCACATGCCGATTCGGTACTTAGAAGTTCCCGCACCCCCAATCGCCCCGCTACCCAACACACGGCCATCAGTAGTCCCCGAACCCCCCCTCGAAAAAAATACCCCACAGGCCACGCAAAAATGTATGATTTCGATGCTCATGCCCCAGCTACTACGTCATGAACCCCAGTCAATATGATTGGACAATTCCCACCATGCAAGGCCACCCATCAACACCAGTATTAATGACGCTAAAACGCATTCGCACTACACACCACTTGTACCACACTCACTAGTCCCCTACCATATCCCACAAACCATGGCCCGTATCCTCATAACCGGCTCATCTGACGGCCTCGGCCTCGCCGCCGCCCAGCGCCTCGTATCCCAAGGCCACAGCGTTGTACTGCACGCGCGCAACGCGCCGCGCGCCGCCGACGCCACGACCGCCTGTCCCGGTGCAGAAACAGTCGTAACGGGCGACCTATCCAGCCTGTCTGAAACCAAGGACCTCGCAGCCCAAGTCAACAAGCTGGGTACCTTTGACGCCATCATCCACAACGCAGGCCTCTTCCGCGGTCCCGTGCGCAAAACCAGCGAGGGAATCCCCGCCCTCGCCGCTGTAAATACAATCGCGCCGTACGTGCTGACTTGTCTGATTCATCGCCCCAAACGACTGGTTTTCCTGTCCTCGGAAATGCACAAGTATGCTCAGGCGAAGGAGCTCGAGGATCCGCTGTGGAAGACGCGCGGAGACGCGGCGTATAGCGAGAACGCGGCGTATTGTGCGAGTAAGCTGCACAATGTCATGTTTGCAAAGGCGTTTGCGCGCAGGTGGCCAGAGGCTAGGAGTAATGCGTTGGATCCCGGGTGGGTGGCTACGAAGATGGGGGGTAGTTCTGCGCCGGAGAGTATTGATGCGGCAGTTGAGAGTTATGTTATGCTTTCGGTAGGGGAGGAAGAGGTGGCAGCGAAGAAGAGTGGGCGCTATTTCCATCCTAGCAAGCGGGAGGGCAAGCCGCTGGAGGCTGCGGAGGATGAGAAGGCGCAGGATAGGTTGTTGGAGGTTTGTGCAGAGTTTTCTGGTGTTGGACTGCCGTGATATGTTGATACAATCAATTGGTGATGCATGACTACGATTAATATTTACCGATAGAGGTATATATTTTGATGCTATTAACTGAAATGCAACCTCATTGGGTGAGTACTACATAGGAAAGACTTTATCTTTTGATAGTTGCACGATCATGCCAGCTAAGGGAAATCACCTAAACTAGTAATGGAACCAGATAGTCACCTCGTCCCACCTTGGGGCCTTCTCCTCATCTTCTCCCTCTGTAACTTGCTCTTCGTTTAGTCGAGCACGCACATAGCGGGTTTCAGTTCTTGCCGCAAGCCTCTTTGCCACTTCGTTGGCTTCAACCAGACTGACCAGTTTTCTCTTTCGACCCTGGCTTTGCTTTGCAGCACTGTCCTTGCAGATTTGCAATACTTTTGCAATGCTGGAGCGATGCTCTTTAGGGCTTTCAATAAACGATTGTGGATCCTTTCTAAGTATACCCTGGGCATTCCTGCGCCTGTAGAATGATCGACCGAATAGTCTCGGATCTGCAAGCCGCTCAGCGGGCGAAAGCGGTGGCGGATTGTTGAAGACTTTTTCTGAAAGATAAGTGTCTTCTGCAATTTCGAATGGGGTGCGTCCTGACGCATTTTCGAAGAAGAGGGTTTGGGGGCGTTGGTCCAGCATGACGCGTAGCAATGTGTCTGCATGGTACCTGACTACAGCATGGACAGGTGTATCTCCATCGCCATTGATGATCCCGAGATCTTCGCCTTTGCTGAACTCAAGCAACAGCATAAGGGTCTCCTCGTGCTTTTCCTTGTCAAAACTGTATTCCCGATTCTGCACATTGACATGAACCCAGCGTGCAAGCGGTGTAGCTGCACCGGGTGCGCTCTGAGTTCGCTCGAGAAACATACTAGGAATGAGACGAGTATCAATCAAGTCCAGCATCTCACGAAGGACGCTGGTTTTGTCTTTACAAGACTGATCCAGTATAGAGTGAACAATGTTGTGTCCTTCGTTATTCCGTGTTGTTTGATCAGCGCCGGCTTCTATAAGAATCTTGGCCATTTCGACCCGGTGGAGAGCAAAAGCGAGATGCAGGGGGGTCATGCCATTTACCGACCGTTTTTCGAGAGCCTCGGGGTGGGACTTGCACAGTTGCCGGAGTAGGTACGCAGTTTCCTCACTCTTCCGGCTCATCACGGCACAGTGTAGTAGCAAGTGAGAGTTCAGACCGAGCCATTTGGTAATGGATGCCTCCAGCCCACCCTTGGCTTTTCCGAGATTCTGAATCCGAACGTCGTCACGATGAGTATCCACAAATTGCAGATAGCAACGCAACGGAGAATCACTCAAGAACCACTCGACACTCTGCAAGTTCCCATAATGAACCGCACGCAGCACAGGTGAATGCTGCATGTCACGAACTTTGCCACTGGTATCTCCTCCAACATTTGCCCAATCTGCTCGCTTCTTACCATAAACAGAGAGTCCTTGGTAGTACTTTGGATTCATGGGTATCTCAATACCACTCTTTTCGACAAGATCGTTCAGTGGAAATCCTACTCCAGTGCGTTTGATAATTTTCTCGAGCAGTTGCACTCGACCAAGGCCGATTGCATACAGAAAGTCGGGTTCAGAGAAATTGAAGAATTTTGGACTGGTGTCATCGGAGGTAGACGAGTCTATTCGGGTATATTCTTCGCACTTTGAAATCAAGAACTCGAACATATTGGCGTCGTCCAAGTAGATGGCGAATTGGAACAGATTGTGAGGTCTACCGATGTTTTTTCTTCGTTTTTCTTGGCTTTGGTCGCCACCAGGTATCTCCAGCCCTGATGACGAGCTATTATTCGCGATGAACTCAAACATAGAGCAACCCCAGTTGATCATCTCCAGGGGCTTTATCGTGCTTCTGACCTGACTTTGTACCTCACCAACATTCTCAATGGTAAATTGGTCGTTCACAATTTCAGAGTAAATCGCGATTTCATCTTCACCGCCATCAGTGCTGCTATCATCTTCGTCTTCTTGTTGGATCGTGTGTCTTGCCGATGGCTTTTGCTCTGGGCCATATTGCGCTTGCGCAATCTCGAGGATAAGTGTTGCAATGCCATAATGCTTGCGCAGCAAAGCAACAGATAAAGGTGAGAAGTCCTCTGAATCCTGAACGGCAATTTGAAGAGGAGTTTGGTTATCACCCCAGATAGCTAGGGTGAGCTTCTTGATTGTTACGCCATCACCCTCCCAGCATGCTTCAAATAGCTTGATGTAAGCCTTCCTTCGCTCCTCAGTCAAATTCGGGAGACGGAAGGTCAGGTTCTGGCTCCATGTCTTTGGAATTACCCGGTAACGGTCGTAATAATTGGGTCCTGGAATTTCCGGGCCTACGTGCTCAGGGTCAAGCTCCTCCAAGGTCTTCGCGCCCCGTTCAACTAAGCGACGCTCAAGCGCTTCGAACTCTTTGACTAAAGACTCAGCAGCCGCCTTCTTTTCCGCAGTACCTTTTGTCTCTTTCTCGGGCTCCGCATGGTCTTGGTATTTCTCCAAGTCTTTCTCATACTTTGTCCTAGCGTCTTCAATTTGCTTTCTCACAACTAAATGAGAGTAAGTGCCGGGCTTGTAGTCTTGAAGGTAATGGGCGTCATCTTGTAGTGGAGCTGGCAGAGCTGGAGCGTAGTAATCGATGTTGTCTACCCAGCCGGTGGAACTCAACTTGCCGTCCACGCCATCGATTTTGCCCATTGTCGTAAACACACGAAGGGACTCGATCTTCTTACGAACAGAGTCCAACAAAGTACCCGCATCATTCTGCATGTTATTCGGATAAGAACGCTTCTTCCATAAATTCTCAGAAAGAGAATTGATGTCGGCACCGGCATCCAGGAGCATTTGGACTACTGAAGGCAGATCGGAGCGGAGGGCAGAGAATACGGGTTGCTCAAACCATTCCCTAAAGTACCGTTCATTTCTCTCAGTGTCGCGCCCCAGGTGGGCCGGGCTTTTGACAGATGAGATGTATGTATCGAAATCAACCTCGGGTTTGACTCCGAGCTCTAGCAGTGCCTCGACCGTTTCGGGATCTCTACCTTTTATAGCAATATTCAGGATGCTCTTTGCATCTGGTTGATGTGAATTGTTGCTCCAAGAAAGATGGTTGGCGGCTCGTTCTGCCGCAGGTCGATTTGATGAGATCATGGTTTGCACTAGATCCTTTCCATACGCAGCAAAGTAGCTCAATGCTGTCATGTTGTTGACATCTGCTTGAGCTGGTGAGGCACCAAGACTGATGAGTAATTTCGTCATTTCTTTGGCCTTCTCGGGTGGGAGATGCAGTGCAAGGACTAATGGGAGAATTGCAGCCCGCGGCGATTTGTCATGGGAGTTTACAAGCTTAATGGGCAGTAACACATCGGCACCAAAGTCTTGGACGAGCATTTCCACCGTGTGCAAATGACCGTTGGCAATGGCAAGATGCAGTGCGGATACTGGCGCGTCCCAGGCCAACACATTAATGTCATAAATGTCGGGCTCACCATCCGCGTCTTCCGGTAATGTATCGTGACTTGATGTTTCCTGGTTCCTGATTTTCACGAAAGAGCCTTCCGTCATCACGTCGTCATTCTCAGACTCTTCATCGAAAGAATTGGCCTCGTCTTCATTCGTGTTGTTCTCCTCTTCCAATCTTGCAGAGACCACATCACTGCCTCCTTTTGGAGCATGCTGTTGGCTCTGCTTAAGAGTCTCTTTTTCTTCATTGGCTTCGCTCCTGGTAAGAAGTGCCCTGGCCATTTCAGTTTCACCGCGCATAGCCGCAAGATGAAGAGCAGTCTTTCCATCAAACAGGCGGGAGACAAGCCGAGCACCTGCATCAATGAGAGCTTGTACAATCTCCAATGTGGATGTCGTGACTGCCAGATGAAGTGGAGTACGGCCGGTGTAGTCGCGCTGATTGGGATCAGCACCTTCTTGGCTCAACCAGTCCTGGACATGTTCAAGATCGCAGTCTACAATGGCGCGACATAGTCTTGCGGTATTGCCAACATAGGCCATATCCGTCCAGTCGTCATCGGTGAGAGGATGGAATGACCCGATAGCCTGGCGTCCCGGGTCATCTTTCATGAATGATAGATCCCCGGATACATAGATCTTTCCCTCTTCTGCTGCAATTTCTTCTTCTTCGGGCGTGACTGGCTTGGGGCAGTAGCCACAGCAATCCCCTATTACGTCAGTTGCATTTCCAAAGAATGCAGGGTGGCGATGCAGTGCAGTCTCTCGGGTTTTTGGCCGGTTCCACTCTGCATTGAGTAGCAGGTCTTTCGCGTACAGCAACCTTTCAATCTTTCGTGCAGAATATTTTGGCCCATATGGAATGGTGAAGGTATGGTAGTCACTGACTTCGTCAGTCTCCACCCATTCTGCAACATCCTCTTCGTGCATGTCTTTCATATTTCCCCGCAGCTTTCTCGTAGGCCTTCGATCAATCCGCGGTCTTCCACGCTCAGTGCGACGCTCGTTGACATAAGCCTCTCGAGCAGTACTGCTGGGCAGCTTCTCAAGAACCAATAGCCTGGCAAGACCAAGCGTTCGCCCAAACGAACGTTCAAACAGCGTCGGGTCAATGCGAGAGCGATCGAGAAGCGGCCAGTAAACTTCAAACCCTCTCCGCGCGTACTTGGAAAGGCGATTCTCGTACGAGGGAGAGCGACGGGTCAGATCGATTGTGTTGATCTGGGTCATGAAAGCAGCCAGAGCACGCGGACTGGCATAGACTTGTTTCCCGTCATACGCAACACAAGAGCAGTCCACATCGAAACCCGTAAGGATCTCAGATATAGACCTATAGATACGTAGAACGATTTGGACATGGCGAGTTGGGTACTGAGAAGCGATAGTGATGGCGTTCTTTGTGCGGATCGTAGTCGTCTCAGTCAGTATTGAGTCCTTGATGCGCTGTTCAATCTGCTTGATCTTCTCGACAGCCTGTTCCTCGCTGAGTCCATAGAGAAAGAGATCAACATCAGAAGCAGGTGCCAACTTTTGATGGTAGTATCCTCTGAGGGCTCGCTTGGAAGATTTATGCTGCTCAGAGACTGGCAACAAGGATGTCACGACAGAACTGCCTGCAGCTACAACATTGGACCAGTCCAAGTCAACGAGAGATGACTCGGAAAATAACTGAAAGTTTGTTTGGAACTCTCTGAGCGATGTCACGACCGCTGGAGAGCCATTGGGCTTACGCTCCGCATTGCTGAGGGGCATGATGTAGCGTTGGCGTTCATCTTCGGTTTCTTCTGCGAGGTTGCGAGCACGAACCTTCAACTCACACTCGTGCCCTGAGAATATAGGGACGACATTGGGAATTGCTATTGCAGGGTGGCTTGGTTGTTGGGCAAAGACCTCGCGTAGTTTGGCATCGTATTCTTTGTATGGAGCGATCAACTCAGGCAACGACTTGTCTGGATGACTAGAAATATGCGCAATCCAATCGTCATGCTTGACTGGGAGCGGAGGAAGCTCCATTGGTGTTGATATCTGTTGTTGCTCCTTCATGATGTGACTGAAGATTGCTGCAATGGCGGGAGGTGAGGTCGATGCAATGAAGTGGATGGGTTGGACAAGTGAGGAAGAACGGTACTAGAACATGGATTTAAATATCTGCATTGGAAAACCGCAATATTCTACAAACCGCTCGATTGTATCCTTTTGCAATTGACGATATGATGCAAGGGTCGATCCAACGACGTGAAAGCGGGGTTCTCAGGCAGTCACCGCTAATTCAGGCTAGAAGGCGCGTCGTTGCCTGGCTAAGCAGGCAGCCGCCAATCAAGAGCGAGACGAAGGATTGGCGTCGACACGCTCTCACCGCGAAATCATGTGACCGTGGAATTTTTGGTAATCTATGGATAATTCAGGATTAAATTGATCATCGTGCTGCCTGCGTCTACTGCATTAAGAGGATCCAGGGTACAACAGAACAATGTCTGGTATGATGTCTGCAGTTGTTGTAAATTGTGAAAAGTCACCTGGTCAAAGACGGCAAACAACCTTAGAAGCAGACACGCTCAAGAGTCACCCCAGTGGCTACAGTGTGATAGCTTTGTGTAGCGCTTTCACCAAGTACTCTATCCGAAAGCCTCGGTTCAATGAATACCACAAACACTAGATTACTCGTTTTCTTAGAAGCATATGAGCAGGCACCCACCCACATACACGAGAAAACCTCCGACAGCGGAAATCCAAACCCCTCGACACTCCCATTTCCTAGCAACAAAGCCTTACCTTCCTCTTCAATCTCTCTCCGCAATCTCGCTAAGGTATGTACCTTGACATCTCATGTGCACAAAAACACAAGCCGGCGCTTAACCCGTTAGTATCAAGGTCAAACCCCAAAAAGGGACACGACAAAGAAAACTGGTTCTAACCCTCGTATTCTACCATGTTCACGCCCCCACCCATGGAGTATGGTAGCTATCGCGCTAATGCAAGGCACAAAAGTCAGGCCCCGCCCCACTCACCCCCTTGCTCGGGCATGACCAAAAAAAGCAGATTGCCATGCCAAATCCAAGGGCATATCAAGTAATTAATGATGGAAAAAGGCCATGACGACATGTGCATAACCTGTCTTTATCTGTCAAGCACAAATTGTCAATTAAGCGGATCAGACAATGTAATGCGGCTGTACACGTTCCGTTTCGCAGAAATAAAAGAGCGGAATAGTTCCGGCTCAACCAAACACATAGTAGAGCTCACAATAAGAGATCCCGCTAGCATATGAAATGGTGGCTTGCGCTTTTAAGTACTTGCGGGATTCCAAAAAACAGGACCAGCTAGTTTCCCTTAGTTCAGACATGCGGGGAAACTCTATAGTAAGGGAAACCAACCGCCACCTTTTCCCCCTGTTCACGTGCCCGCCTGTCGTCGGGCCGCCTGAGGAACACAAATACGGGGAGACGTTTCTATTTGCGTATTCGCAAATCGGGAAATATCGGGTTTGCGTATGAATGGGTACGTATTCCGTAATACGCGTAATTGGTCATGGGGAAAATAAGATTTCCTTACTTTCGGATTCGCATTTCCCTTCGTTTTGGTAAACAAGCAGACGCGAGATGCGAAAAAAAAGAAAGAGTCCATGAGTCGAGGGCAGGCAAACTCGCGAAAACAACAGGGTGAGTAAGGGTACGTCCGTAAAAAAAAATAAGAGTGATGCCAAGCCCATGCTACTAAGGTACTCTAGTATGTTCGGTCAAATTCCATCACGCAGCAACATCAAGGAAAAACAAGAAAAAAGAGGTGAACAAAGCCAACCAACTAATCAATCCAACTGAAACCAGGTTTAAACTTTCCAAGCTACTAATCAACCTTTACACATCACCATCACGATCGCGTCTCCACTGCCCGAAAATCCTTCGGAGAAATAACCAGACGGAGAATTAATAAAGTAAAAATCGAGAAGAGAAAAAAAAGTCACCCCACGACAAACCATGCGACTATACACTTTCGGGTCTAGTAGTAGTAGTAGTAGTAGCACGCTCCACGGCAGTCCAGAAGAGGACGACACCATAGTACCGACAAGCACAGCGGTAGTAGCAGTAGCAGGTAGCATACGTATTCTCTGGGCCTCATGGTGCGACGTGTTACTCGCATACTGCAATGTCGACAACAGCAGCAGCAGTCGGGAGGAGCAACAACAGACTTGGCATTTACGATACCACGGCACCGGTCTAAGCCAGTCACAACAAGACTATCTGCACGCAGCCAGTACGGCCGACGGACGGCTAGCAAAAGCAGTTGGAGAAAAAGAAGGGCACACGGCAGTTTTCTTCGGCAGCACCATGCATCACGGACTACAAGGCTACATAGTCACATTTGGCGGTGAAGAGAGCGGGGATGGGGGGCAAGAGATTGTCTTATTCACTACTCCTACAGAAGAAGAAGATGACGACGACGACGACAGCATACAGAGTAGCAGTAGTAGCAATGCAGAATCGCATGACGTACACCGATACTTGATACCGCAACGTAGCGGCGAAACCGAGACTCTGACAATGCACGACATTGCGATCCAGAGCGACGAGACGCTGCTACTGAGTCTAAAGTCGGGTATCGCAAACAAGGCAGGCTGGTATGTAGCCAGCGTTCAAGACATGGCGCAGCTGCGCGTCTGGCTTGGATCCGGGGCGTTTGCGGCGGCGTCGGCGTCGGCGTCGGGGGTACAAGTGAAACGCGCGTGGTATGACTCGCAGTCGGGCCCACAGGTAGTTAGCAACGCGACGACGACCACTGTCCTGGGGTGCTCCGGCGGTGCTGTGTGGACGTCAAGCAGCGGCGCGAGATATCAAGCTTGTGTGGGCCGGCCCTTTTGCCTCGACGGCGCGTCAGAGTTCCGTGCCATACCGTACCTTGAGCAGACGTGCGTCAAGCGAGTGGCGTCGGGGGGTTACTTGAGTGCGGCGCTGAGTGCAGAGGGTGAGCTGTTTGTGTGGGGTCAGGCGTGTCCGGGTTCAACGGGCGAGATGGACGTGCTGAATGGGAATGCTGAGGGGCATGCTACACCTAGTACGGGAATTACGGTGGCGGCGGAGGAGGAGGAGGATGCGGATGAGTTTGTAAAGTGCCTCGAGGTAAGGATCAATGGCAACGAGGCGAGCGTGTATCAAGTGGCAATTGGCCATGGACATATTTTGGTAGCAGCAGAGTCTGCAAATGCTTCACCGGCCAAGGAAAGGGTAGTGTTTGGCGCCGGAGATAACAGTATGGGACAGCTTGGGCTAGAAGCGCGGAGGTTTTATAGTGCGTTCCACGAAGTTCAAAGTCTGCGGGGTAAGCGTGTTGCTCAGTTGTATGCAGCGGGGTGGTCAAGCTTCGTTGTAACACTGGAAGAGTAACCAAGAAAGTCTATGCTTTAGGTATAGTGGTCATGTGTTCATGTTGGGCATTTGAAGAAGAAAAAAAGCTTCTCGACGATACTACTAGACTTTGAGGTGGCAGGGGCGGGCCACATCCACAAGGGCGCATCACTAAGACTATGCGTAGGGTAGGTGAAACAACATGTTGGTTCTTTGTCGACCTGGCATGTTGAGACTAGCGGCCCGCTCCACCCGCCATGGGAATCTGTGGGTGGTTGCGGGAAAGAGGCGGCGATGTTTCGTACAGCCGTGTTTGTAGTCAACGTAGTCGAACCAATTCTACTCTGGTCTTATCTGAGCAACGAACGTTGATAGTTTGAGGATCGTCAGGAGCGTGCGAGCTCTGTGCGTCTCCCGAGACAAACTGCGATCTGCATAGTTAACATGGGGGAGCCTGGATGAGACCGCCAAAGGCAATGCGTGCTACTGAGATATAAACTACAAGTGCCGCCATCGGAAACATTGGCTTAGATCGAGCGGTATTGCAATACTTGTATTGCACAGGATAGCAATAGACCGGTGTACAGGTGACGAAACTAAGTACGAGGATGACTGTCAACAGACAGGTGTGTGTGTCGCTTGATGAATCAACAACAGCTTTCATCTTGATGCAGATTGAGATGACTTGAGTCAATTCTGTGGGCGAGAGGCTTTGCTTAGTGTGGTGTCTGATAATGGAAAGAGCGCGCCAATGGATGAGACTAACTAGCAGTGCTGGATAGAGTTAGTTCAGGCAGATGTCAGACATGTGGAGCGACATGAAAAATAGTAGTAGTAGTAATAGTGTAGAAGCATGGTCACCGGAATGTACTGAAAAAAAAAACACTGTTCACGTGGGGTCAAAATACGAGGTGTTGACGGAAGGAGAACAAGCTATACGAGAGCGAGAGTCTTAGTAGAGGGTACTGTCGATAGTCCATGACAGAAGCCGTAAGCGCTTCGCACGACGTGAAGGCCGATAAGGCCGAAAGATGGAAAAAGGCCGACGATGGATGTGTCAGTTGGCATTGATGGCTCAGGGAAGGGTGGTGGTGCTCGTGTTGGTGCTCGTGCTTATGGTTGTGTCTTTGCCCGAATGGGGTCGGGGTGCACATGACAGGAGGCCGAAATTGCAAAAGCCAAGGTGGTGAGGTGTCAGAATAGGTGGTGTCTGGATGGATGAAGAAAGAAGCGGGCGGGAAAGGCGAGGTGTGGTGCAATGCATGTTCGCACTCTAGTCGCAAAAGGCCATGGGGATGCGGCATCTGGATTTGATGGTGTTGGAAGAGGTGGTGAAACGGGTGAGAGACACGTTGAGGGCAGCAGCCATCGGGTGGAGGAGAGGCAATCTGAGCCACTGGGAGTAGATGGAACAGCCCGATGGTGACAAGAGGGCCGCGGGGTGTGTGTGATGGGTTTGTTGTGGCAAGAGGAACAGAGTTTGGGTTGGTGATGCACATGGCCCGACAGGCAGGGTGGCTGCATTGATGCCTATTGCTATTCATGATGATGTCAAGTAGGAGAATAAAAAAACACCGTGGGCGCGGTGTTGATGTTTCTGTGACCAAAGCTGTCGCAAGGACCGTGACTCAACCGAATGCACAGGGGAGGCCGTAGGAGGGTGAAATAATATTTACTTAGTTAGTAGCGCAGGGGCCGTGTGCAGGGACATGGGGGGATGCCGGCTAGGCGACAGAGTGGCAGCCATGTGTAAGTATGTAGATTTGGATATGGGCAACTAGCAAGTCGCACGTTGGGATGGAGCGTGAGTGCTGCAGCATGGCCATGTTTCAGGCGGTTGGGAGTTCTTTGAAGAGGTTGCGGCGGAGGCTGCTCCGGCCCGTTGGCAGTGTTTCCATGTGTGGGCGGCGAGAGAGTGGGTGTGTGGGTATGGATGGGATTGTGGCGGCGAGGCGGCACTTGGACTTGGGTTTGCCGCGAGGGCAGGCATCCACTCGGCCATGCGCCTTGTTCCTCTCCACCATGCCCAACTGCATCGCGGGTTTCGCGCTGCAAAAAATGCGGTGCTCAGCCTCTGCGCCGCTTGGCGCCACCGTCGGTCGGGCCGAATTCGGTTCCTTGTCCTTTTTTGCTCGCATGGGGATTACAGGTTCATGAGGGCATGGCTGGCCTAGTGGCGCGCGTGCTAGCTGCATGGCCGTGGGCAACGACGAGCCGCGCAGCAGTACCTTGCAGGCTGCATGCCCGCACCGCACCTGGGCTGGAAGCAGGATGCAAAAAGGACCCTTTTGCGGAGGCGAGATGGGATGGGATGGCGCGACTCATTGCCGTGCGCGCCCTATCGCCATATCGCCCGATTGTGTTGCGTGGACTGGGCTGATGGATGCGTCGCCCAAACGCTAGCTCGGTGGGCAGCCCGCCAGTCAGAGAGGCAGAGGGCATCAACAGCAGGGCTGATCAGGCTGCAGGCCGCTGAGAAACACTTGGTCGAAGGCAAAAAGCAAGGGTGCCGTCGATCTCCTTGATCGCCTTACACAAAGCACGCGGATTGCTGGTGCTGGTGCTGGTGCTGGTGCTGGCACTGGCTTGGTGGGCAGTGGAGACCAGACGGCTGCCGTGTCTATGTCCTTGCTGCGTGTAGGATGCACATGTGGTTGCCGGCCACGCCTCGACGCCAGACGCTGCCATGGTCCATCCATCGCTCCCCCTCTTCCCATGGCCAGGTGCTGCTGCTACGCGTACAGTGTGTGACCAGACGACAATGGGCTGCTGGTGCCATTGCCATGACGTTGCGTGAGGGCGCATGACAGGGCCATGAACCATGTCGACCCGGATTGGCCATTAGGCACGAAACGCCAGCGGGATCCGGCAGTAGGGTTGTACGCCATCCAGGGGTACGCGATAGTTCGTCCTTCTTTTTTGCCCTGGCCGGGGCCGTGCGACAGAAACCCATGTGCATGCCCGCTCGTCCAAGTCAGTAAACGTCATGTGGCCATGCCAACTCTTTTTGCGTTCCGTCGTCGGCTTGAGTGCCGTCCAGGCTGCGACGAGCTAACGCCCTCTGGCCACTCAAAGGCGCCGCCGACCACTCATATCCTCCTGACCCCATCAAGTCCATTGAGCCACGCCCGTTTTTCCCGCTTCTCAAGTACATACTCTTGCTATCGCTGCAGTATCGCTTCCTTCTTTTTTCTCGAACCATCCCTCCCTGGCCGCTGATATCCATCCATCCATCCATCCATCCATCCCTACTTACTGCACCATCCCCCCTCCCTCCCGCTTCTTTTGTGCTTCACCTCGCCTGGCCCGCACTCACCCTCGCCCTCTCACCAGCAGCTACTACTACTACTACTACTACTACTACTACTACTACTACTACTACTACTACTACTACTACGAGAGTACTACACATATACCACTCGTTCCGCGGCTGCTACGGCCATGCACTGAGATCATCACCCCCTCATTCCGCCGTCATACATACTTGCTTCCTTCCCTCACATGCACAACACCATGGAATCCCGCCAGTCGTCGCCTGTTGCTCGCACCGCCAGCCCCCGCTACAGCATGCGGCGACAACGGAGCAACTCGTTCCCCATCATCGACGCCCTTGGATGCACAACACCAGAGGCCCAACTCATCCTGGCCGAGAGCAGAGCTGCTGTCCGCAAACGCCGAGCCCGCCGCAACCAGTCGCTCGACGAGGAGGGCAGCCGGCCCTTTGACCCCAGAGACCACATCAAGTTTCTGCAAGAACTCGCAGCCATCCCCACGCCCCAAGAACAGCCCACTCCCTTTGGATCTAGCAGACACGCGCCCTCGCACGCACGTATTCCTTCAGATGCCACGGACCGAAGCACGTCAACCGTTGTTCCACGTGATGAAGGCGGACCTGTTCGGAACATCTCTCCCACGCTAGGAGACTATTCCGCCACCTTAGCCGAATACATCAAGAACCAGCTAAAATCGATACCGACCTACCAGCCCGCCTCGGATTCTTCAATGCCATTGTCGCCTCGCTCGTGTCCGGACTTGTCCTTTGCCACACAATCGTCTCGCTCGTCGTCATGCCCCTCGGTACGCCGCCCAGTCGAAAAACCACGCATCATTGAGATACCCCCGATTCGAGCACCCGTCAAGAGCCAGTTCTCGGCATGGAGCTCGACTGACGAAGACACCGACGACGAGTCGCATGCCCTGACTGAGTACGCTCTTTCTCTCGAGGACAGTCTTTCCAAGACGAGCAGCCATACGCCTTCGGTACTAGGCTACTACCAAACATCCGACTCGGGCAATGGCAATGGTTCCTCATTTCTATTTTCGTCAAGCCCGCTAGAGGACCAATCTGAGGCTGATGCCGCCAAGGAATTTAAGTTTCCGTATCAGTCAGCCCAACCTACTAGTTCCCCATCCGGCCAACCGGATTACGACCACTACCCGTCATTGTGTTCCCCTCACCCTCAGCTGACATCCCTGTCGGCTACGTCGGCACCCTCGTTTACCTCGTCGTCCGTCTCACTCTCGTACTTTGACTGCAAGCGCCCATCAGCCATCACACCACAAATGAAGGAGCGGGTCATCGCGGCTGTGACGCCTCCCCACCTACGCAGCAAGAGGCTGAGTGCCATGTCGTCTTGGGACCCAAGTCCACTCGGCAGTTCGCACGATGTTTACGTCGAGTCACAACAGCGTGTCACTGTCGACGGCATGTCGTTTGACATGCTACGAGACTTTAACCCCTCAACCCGGCTTACGCCTTGCTAGGCATTTCCTTTGTCCATTTCCTGCATCTTCTTTGTTTCTTAGCGTGTGCGTTTGGGGGTGGGCATTCGTCGTCGTGTACACTAACCAGGATGTTCTACTAAGTCAGCTGGTCTGGCTTCAGCTTATGGGCGCCTTTTTTGCCTGCTTCTCACTTGTCGTTTTTTTCTTCTCCTTACACGAAATATCGTTTTGTAATTTTGGGTTTGGCGTTGAAGCTAGCCATCACATGGGCTTTTCTTTTTTTTTTCAAAAAAAAACCCCTATCCTTTCTTTTGTCATAGTTGGCTTTTGCTCCATTTTCGGTTCAGCGCTTACCTTGTTCCATGGATTGGCGTTTTGGAATATTTGGTGTATGACGAATATACACGACCCGCACAACGCATTGCATTTCAAGGGCGGAGGAAGGACTTGAGCAATTTGCACATGATCAGGTTGATAGCACAAAGGACGAAGTTGCAGATTGCAAGGCAGAGCTAGTCGGTGGTTGAGCATGGTAGGCTGGGAGAGGTGGAGAAAACCCGTATATTTTAGGCACACAATGCAACTATTTTGCCCACCAAGCTTTTTTAGCATCCCGAGCACCTGGGTCGACACATTGCGATGAACCATGAGGCACAGCAGGCCGCCCACACAATCCAGCGAGTCGCATCTCGACCGCCTGCAAGGTCCCGCTCATGCAGACGCGCCGATCTGAGGCCGGGGGGTTGGGGGGCACGGCTGGCGATCGGTCGAGTGGGGAGTGGTGCCTTGTCTGATTGGCCTGCTGCCAAACGGCTACTTGGTCACTGGGGAACTCCAGCCGCGCCGCTAGAACAACCATCAACTCTCCATTGCTTCTTTGTCGCAGCCGGCAGCAGCCATTGTCCAACTCTGGTCGGCCTTTATTCCTTTTGTCTTCTTCTCCTGGCTCTCTTGCGCCCTTGCGCCTATCCTTGACCCCACGTTATGCTTCTATCCCTTCTGGAGAGTTGAAACACACCACCCACCATAATTATCATCTACACGTCTGCGATCGCCATCACTCGTCCTCTCCGTCTTTGCTGAACAGTGCGACTAGAAACGAAAAAAACAACAACAGCACAGCGATCCCATACCAGCGCCGCATGGCCGACTCGGATCCGGGCCTCTGGGCCCAAATCCTTGGAAAGGCTGCCTACGAGTTCTCGCTGATGCAGCCAATGTTGCCCACCTACATCCACTTGATCGTCTCAGCCCTCTTCCCAATATACGCCGGCGCACACGCCTCGCTCACACGCCCGTCAACCGCTGCGAAACCCGCTAAGAAAAAAAAGAGGTCAAACACAAGCGATGAGGATATGGAGGATGATGACGACGACGACGAAGATGAAGACGAGCAGCGCATCATGGAAGGCTTGTCGCCCACAGATGCCTTGCTCATGCCTCTCTTTGCAGGGACTGCCCTGGCTTCGCTGTACTTTCTTCTCAAGTGGATGAAGGACCCCGCCCTGCTCAACAAAATCCTTAATGCCTACTTTGCCGTCTTTGGCGTCTTCTCCGTCTCACGACTGGTCACCGACCTCCTTGACATTGGCCACTCCATATTATACCCGCGCCGACATGTCGTTGGCCGAGCGCTATACCACATTGACGGTGAGGCGGCCAAGGCGGCTCCGGTAGCTGGTGATGTCAAGGACAAGCAGCCACTCGTGACGCCTCTACCAGGCTTCCTTTCTAAGATCCCACTGTCTGAAGGGGCAAGGAATCTACTCTGGGCTGATCGAGCCATGCCAGGCAACAAGTGGACGTTGAAACTCTACATGCATCGCGTCTTCTCCGGCAAGTTCAAAATTGGGCCTCATGGCATGGTCGGCGTTTTGACTGGGCTTGTAACTGTGGCCTACTTTAACTTGGTTGATAAGCCATGGTACTTGACAAATTTGCTGGGCTTTGGATTCTCATACGGTGCCTTGCAGCTCATGTCTCCCACGACATTTGCCACAGGTAGTCTGATTTTGGGGGCACTCTTCTTCTACGACATTTACTTTGTCTTTTTTACGTAAGGCACCTTGTTTATGACATTTCAAACGTGGCTAACACATAACCCAGGCCCATGATGGTAACTGTAGCAAAGTCACTAGATGTTCCCATCAAGCTCATGTTCCCACGACCCGCTGCAGCCGACGACCCCACTTCAGTCCCCTCGCACGCCATGCTTGGTCTTGGTGATGTCGTCTTGCCTGGCATCATGATTGGTCTTGCCTTGCGTTTTGATCTATATCTCTTCTACCTTCGTCGCCAAACGTGCAGACCCGCTGCTGCAGGAGAAGGCCAAGAAATTGTTGAAAAGCCAGAATACTACTCGCTAACTGGACGGTGGACCGATTACTTCTGGACGCATTCCCTTACAGGCCGGCCACTTTGGGTTTCTACCAAGACGAATCCTGAGACAGAGGCTCCTTTTACATTCCCAAAGACATATTTCAACGCTGGCTTAGTTGGCTATGTCCTGGGCTTGCTGGCTACCCTCAGCGTCATGATGATCTGGAATCACGCACAACCCGCATTGCTTTACCTGGTACCTGGCGTGCTCGGCAGCATCTGGCTTACCGCTCTGGTCCGTGGTGAAATCAATCTAATGTGGAACTATACCGAGGAGATTGAGGACGAAGAACAGGCAGAGACTAGCAATACTTCTGATCCCAAGAGTCCTTTGCCCAAGAACGAATCGAGTGCGGGACAAGCATCGCAAAAGAAACGGGCTTCGAGCCGCAAATCAGACAAAGAAATCTTTTCCTTGTCCATCGAGGCACCGTGGCAGCTCAAGAAGTTAAGCGATGACGACGGATATGACGATAAACCAAAGACTACCAGCGCAAAAGATGCTTCGCAAAACATCGATACTAAACAAAACAACTGGGTAGCGTCGACCACTACGGCTGTGGAGCGTGTAGATGCTGAGCCCGCGGGCAAGCGTCTCCGCGTGAAGTAATCGAAATGAAAAGATGACGTCATGGTCTGATCTCCTTCTTTCCCTTCTTCTTTAGGGGGGTTTTTTATGGGGAGGTTGGGACATTGTCATCGTGTGAATGTCATGACTGGGTGGGGGGGTGCATAGCGAACTGGCATTTTTTTATGTCGGGCTTTTTAACAAGAAGTTATGGGATGAAATAAATGAATCGAATCCATATGTTGGAGGTGGCCATGTTTTGGTTTAAATCATGTCATGTGTCATGTGAATTGAGTCTCTAACTCATCTTACTACTATCTATAACCACCTCTGTTTTTCTTTTTTTTTTTCTCGCTGACCCCAAGACTTGAATACGTTTCCATCATCCTCCATCCAACCCCCATCCCCCCCCCCCCCCTTTTTTTTTTTCTCGCGTACAAAGCCACTGTGGGGATTACTAATAAAGTAGCACTTAGCGCACGCGTGCGCGGGAACTTGGGAGGTGGGGGGAAAGCGGATATGGGGACTCCGCGGAAAAGTTACAAATGAAAGACACTAAATGGGGGAATTTTTTTTTTGGTCGGTTCGTGGGTTGTGTGGTAATGATGGGCAGTGGTGAAACGTGGTGCTGATTGCTATTGTGGTGGTTGTAGTGGATTTGGGGCGGGGGAACGCGCGGCTTGGGTTGGTGGGGGTGTGTATGTGTGACGGTGGTGGTGGCAGTGGTTGCTGGCGATAAGTCCGCGGAAGGTGGGGGAGGTTGATGGGTAGGGTTTCTGGGAGTTCACTGGGGAGCAGTGTTGTCCGAGTTGTGGGGTTGTATGAATAGGCATGCTTTGAAGATTGGGCTGATATTATTTTCTCTTGCATTGACACATACTGTTCATTTCCTCTTGCCTTGGTATTCTATCAGGGTTGAGTAGCTCGATCATCCCTGCGTCTGGTGATGAGCATCAGCTAAAATACGCCTACATAAGCTGTTGAGCCTCTATCAGTTCTGATGTTTGAGATGCGCTGGTTAATCTTCCCTACTACGCTCGCTGGCATCCCTACATGTGCGTTTGAGTTAGCTGAAGTGATGACGTTTCTAATCTCTTGGCCACTCCGTTTAGATTGTACCTGCGAGAAGACCACTCCGCAGGACACTTGGTCGGTCTCGAGTAAGCATGACTGCTTTTCAACTTCCTGGATAGCTAATAGTCGAATAGCACCCCCGTATTCCTCATCCTCAGGCTCCTCTTCTAGCTCGCGCTTTCTTGTCTGGGCTTCGTCTTGCTGATGTTTGGTGAGGTCGATGTGTCCCATGATTTTTGTCTCGAAAGTTTGCAACTGGTTTCTCAGACTTTCACGATCAGCCTCAGACGTTTTCTCGGATCGTAATTGAATCATACTGTTGCGAAATTAGCATGCGATTTTCAGAGTGAAATTGAGGCCTCTTTACAGCTGCGTGCTTGTAACAGCAAAATGCACAGTGTTCTCGCACCACTGTAACTGTGTACGAAACGTGCGGATCTTTTCTTTGTTCCAAACACCGACAGAAAAGCGGTCTCGAAGAGACAGTTTTGTCGCGTTGGAATGCTTCGTCCACTTTGTCAAATCCTCCCGGAACTTTTTGCAGGCATAGCCGCAGCTGTTAACTGCTTCGGCGACACCAGCTTTATAGAGGTCCTCCTTGACGGCGATTGATGTAGCCTCATTTGGGATGCTGAGTTTTTCGAGCGCGGCTAGTGGACGCTCTATGTTGTCTAGGCTAGAGATGATGTCTGCAACTACTTCTTGAGCCTCGGAGAGATTGTCGACAAGGCTGCGCAGTTGCACAATACTAGTTGTAGCGACGTTAGTAATGCCAATAGCGCCGGCTGTGATGCTGAAAGGGACCATTATGAGTATTACAAAATCTTCTGACTACTAATTCAGTTGAGAATAGCTATATATAAATTGAGGGGTTCATGAAAAGATTAGAGGCTGGCCGTTTCCTATGCATGTAGCTTGAACTCTTCATGAGGACGGCGATCTCGCTTGTGTATTGGAGGCCTCCTCATTAACTCTGAGCTGGCAATGCTCCGAGCTGCATATTGAGGGCGTAGAACGGGAAAGCTCATAGGCTCCTCGATCAGGCTGAGCCTGCCACCCATCACCCCATATATTCACCGCAATACCTTATTCATCATTGGAACCGAAGCCTGATTCTCTACATCTCCCAAATAAAGCACAAATCAATCTCTTGCAGGATCTCAGAAAACACACTTCATGTCGCGGACAGCCTACTAGCTGGATGGCCGACGACCGGATTCTCAATCAACACATCAGTGAGGTCTCCACTCAAAACGGCTCCCAAGCCTTCGTGGGGTCGACGAAAAATGTATATTTTGCTGACCTCAAATCTCCACAGGGTACAAACAGATTGCTGTCTTATAGTTTCTCAGTACTATGTAATATGTCGATCGTGCAGAATCGCAGGAGAGAGCGGCTCTGCAGTGTCGCGACGCTCTCTTTGTCACTGATCCCTACGTCGACCGCGAGAGTCTGATCACCGCCAAAGGCGCTAGAGTTCCAGACACATGCGATTGGATCATAAACGATGTGAAATATCGTGCCTGGCTAGATGGCGGTAGTCATGGCGATAGCACCAATGAGAAACGTCTGCTGTGGATCTCAGGTGGGCCTGGTAAGGGCAAGACTAGTATGCTCTCCATCTTCCTTACTGAAGAGCTTGGGAAGCACGTAGCGCACCAAGAAAACACTGATATCCTATTCTTTTTTTGTAGTGCGCAGAACAAGAAACATAACACAGCTCTCGCTGTCCTACGTGGACTATTGCACCAAATTCTTACCAAGTGCCCACAGTTAGCTAAGCATGCGCTGCGTCATTTTGAGCCGCCCACATTATGATTTCTCAACATTAACATACAGAGTTAATCAAATCAATGCCATAATAACTTCCACAACTTCCGACTCCAGATCCTCTATCCATCCATCAAATTCTATACTTTCTGCCGCCTTTGCAAATCCCGACAACACAGTGGTACGCTCACGCTCTTGCCAAACGACAAAAAAGAAAAAAATGCGTACATCAATCACTTCAATGCAACATTGATATACTCCAGCTGCGCAAATTGCATAGTCCAAAGAAAACGAAGCACCTTCGGAAACAAGCACAAGACACTACTAGATTCCGACTCGGAAAGCATTACCCCACAATCCCCCTCCCCATCTGCCGCCCCAGCCCCTCAATAATGACGCCTCTAGATGCCAACTCGAGCGAAAAAATCCAAGAATGAGGGGGGGCTTTCCATTTAGCACCAGAGGGGGGCTTCGGGTTACGTACGTAGACGATTTGGTTTGCGACAACCCAGAGCCACGCATTCGTGATTGCTTTAAAACTGGGGTATTGATGCTCGGGGGAAGGGATAGCTCATTGTCATGTATGTAGGAAGGGCAGTGGCCAACCTACCGGAACAGAGCTAGTGGGAAGGAGTATATGAATGGGGCAGGATGACCTCCCTTGATAAGGGGACGTAGCCGTGTCTTTCCTACATCATACACTTTTTATTCTTAACTTTACTCATACCTAGGTCCTAATAATCTGCATTTCCGAGTTTTACTACACTCTCATACCTCAATAGCAAAAGGAATTCACGCAACAAGGACAGAGCCAACTCGCCCAAACATGTCGAGCAATACGATGAAAGCAGTACACTACGAAGGCCCGTTCAAAGTCTCAGTCAAGGACGTCGAGTTACCTAAGATCCAGCATCCAGATGACGTCATTGTCAAGGTCACCACAGCAGCTATTTGCGGATCCGACTTGCACATGTACCAGGGACGGACTGCAGCGGAAGCTGGTCTCGTATTCGGTCATGAGAACATGGGGATCGTCATCGAGGCTGGGCCAGGCGTAACTCTCCTGGAAAAGGGCGATCGGATTGTCTTGCCATTTGTGAGTACGCATGACGCTGTCTGTAGATGCGTGGGCTGACGTCGAACTTCCTAGAACGTTGCGGACGGCAGATGTCGCAATTGCGAGGAAGGCAAGACAGCGTTCTGTACTGGGTAAGCCAAGATTTGGCGGAAGGCTTTCACAGTATCGTCTAACAATCGTAGTGTAAACCCCGGCTTCGCTGGCGGTGCGTATGGATATGTCGCCATGGGACCATATCAAGGCGGCCAAGCACAATACCTCAGGGTACCGTTTGCCGACTTCAATGCACTGAAACTGCCACAAGGGACCGAGCACGAGGCTGATTTCATTTTACTTGCGGACATTTTCCCAACGGGATGGCACGGGCTAGTGCTCTCTGGTTTCAAGTCTGGCGAGAGTGTAGCAGTGTTTGGCGCGGGCCCTGTTGGTCTGATGGCAGCATACAGTGGTGTGCTACGCGGCGCAAGCAAGGTGTTTGTTGTGGATACGGTCCCCGAACGCCTACAAGCAGCGGAAAAGATCGGTTGCGTACCCATCGACTTCAAAAAGAGCGATCCTGTTGAACAAATTATCAAGTTCAACGGCGGCATGGTTGATCGCGCAGTGGATGCTGTTGGATACCAGGCAGTGGATGCATCGGGTAGCACAGAGAAACCCAACATCGTCCTTGACCAGTTGATCATGGTCACGCGCCCAACTGGAGGGCTAGGCATTCCAGGGCTTTATGTGCCAGCTGATCCCGGAGCGCCGGATGAACAAAGCAAGAAGGGCCAGATTTTGATCTCATTCGGAAAGCTGTTCGAAAAGGTATGCATGTGCACCAGATTCATTTTCCAGCACTGATCCAAGTAGGGCCTGCACCTCGGAACTGGACAGTGCAACGTCAAAGCCTACAACAGGTATCTTCGCGATATGATCGTATCGGGCAGGGCCAAGCCAAGTTTCGTCGTGTCTCACGAGATCAACATCGAGGATGCACCAACGGCGTACGAGAAGTTTGACAAGAGGATCGAAGGGTATACCAAGGTGTTGATCCACCCGAACGGCGCTTTGAACTAGCTGAGCGTATGAGTGTCTATTCTGCAACATGGAAGTTTCAAACTCACACCAGAACACTATTGACATCGCGAACATGAGGCTTTTGTGCGAGAGTTAAACCAATTTATCTTTTGTCGCACACTAATAGCGTTGTAACGCTTGAGCGTTATCATCTGGGAGGTATGCCCTAACAATCTTGACTTCTTCTACGGGGCGATCCTCTTTGTCTGTTTTGACCAAACCAAGCTTCTTTACAACCTGCATGCCGCTCTTGACCCTGCCAAAGATGGTGTGCTTGCCGTCCAACCATGGTGTGGGTGCGAGGGTAATGAAGAATTGAGACCCGTTTGTGTTAGGGCCTGAATTGGCCATGCTAAGGATGCCAGCTCCAGTATGTTTGAGTTGCGGAGATATCTCGTCTTCGAATTTTTCGCCATAAATGGATTCACCGCCTCGGCCAGTACCTGTAGGATCGCCACCTTGAATCATAAAGTTTGGTATTATGCGGTGGAATATGAGGCCGTTGAAGTAGCCGCGCTGGGCCAGGGTTGAGAAGTTCTTGCATGTCTTTGGCGCATGGTCGTTGTAGAGTTCGACAACAACAGTGCCCTGTTGAGGTTAGATTGATTCTCCCCTATAGAGAATGCGAAACATACGATTGTAGTGTCGAGTGCGACTTCAGTAGCCATAGTAGATATGCGGAGTTGCGAGTGAGGACTGTGATGGCAGCTTCCCCAGCATCTGGAAATCCAATGCTAGATCGACGCACGGTCCCTTTCACCAGCCACAGTACTAGCCACACTGACTAGCGTGAAGCGATGAATCACGGCGGACGCCTTCTGACTTCAAACATCTCCAAGCCCCGACAACTGCAATCATGGATCTATCGTCTTGGGCACTACCTCAGCTCTCGAAGCTTCTTCCTCTTGATGATGAGTCGCTGAAGCAGGTCATATCATATACGGACTCGCTCTCTCAGAAGGAAGCAGCAGACCATCTCCAGAATTTACTCGGAGATAGTCCACAAGCACTTGAGTTCATTACTTCTTTCAACAACCGGAGGAAACCCAAGAGTACCGCCGGTGCACGCCAGAACCAGCCGTTGAATGATATTTCAGAAGTATCCAAGTCAAAGCCTAAGAAGAAGAAGCAAACTGGGCTGAATAAACTCCCACCACCGCGACAACCTGATAATTATGGAAATGTTTCCGGTGCGTACATGAAGAAAGATGAGGAGGACTACATGGCAGGTAGTTCAAAAGCGAAAGCAGCCAAGTTCGGACTTTCGGAGCAGCCAGATGCTTTGCAGCTGCCAAAATCGACTGCGTCATCAGGAGCAGCGACACCAAAGTCTCGTGGTGTCTCCCCTGCCCCCCCAGCCGCGAAGCTTCCAGGGACCGTGGTAGGCGAAACTAAGCCTAAACCCAAACCCAAGGCCAAGGTCAATGTTACTGGCGGCACACCTATGCATGGTGCATCAACAGCACTGAACGACCTAGAGTCAGCCATCAGAGCGCTAGAAATTCAAACGAATCCTACTTTAGCTACCCAAGACAACAGCAAGCGGAAATGCAACTGTATGGCTACTAGACATCCGCTCCTAGAAGCTGCGCCCAATTGCTTGAATTGCGGCAAGATCATCTGTGTGAAGGAAGGCATTGGCCCATGTACTTTCTGCAACTCTGCACTCTTGAGTCCCCAGGATATTCAGTCCATGGTGCGCATTCTTCGCGAAGAACGCGGAAAAGAGAAGATGGCTGTAAATAATGCCGGCCAGAAGCGCGCCGAAGTATCATTAGCGCCTCGCCCTTTTTCCACTCCGCGTGGTCCTACACCCGCATCTTCCAATCCCGCCTCAGATGTAGAATCAGAGAATGAGAAGCTGGCCAAAGCAAAACAACACAGAGACAAGCTGCTGGCCTTCCAGGCACAAAATGCAAAGCGAACTCAAGTCCATGATGAGGCTGCAGATTTCGAAACCACAAGCGCCGGACTGAGCATGTGGGCCAGCCCACAGGAACGCGCCATGCAGCTCAAGCGCCAGCAAAAAGCCCTACGAGATCAAGAATGGAATGCGCGGCCCGATTATGAGAAGCGCAAAGTTGTCGCCAGCATTGATCTTTCCGGCAAAAAGCTCGTTCGACGCATGGCTGCTGCAGAGCGGCCTGCTACGCCAGAGAGCGAAGATGAACTTTCTGAACCCAATCAAGGCCCAGCAGATGGAAACGCCCTGTCGAGTGGCGGTGGCGCGTTCAGCAGGAACCCACTGTTGGGTAGCCTGATCCGGCCAACTATTAAGATAGAGGAGAGTAAAGGGAAAGAGAAGGGTAGTGAAAAGAGACAAACATGGCGGCGAGTACAAGATGATAATGATGATAATGAGCAATGGATTCTAGATGGTGGCGTTTATGGCTCCAGAGCAGATAATGTGAGTTTGGAGACGGATGGACTTCGATAAGTCGTGGGGCTTCTACGTAAATAGCAACTAGAAGCCAATTCGCATGTTTACATCCTCCGTTGATCGTCTTATATATCGTTGACTGGACAAATACACCGATAGAGCAGCTCTATACAAATTACCCATCGTCGTTCACCATTAGGCATCAACTTCTGCAACCGACTACATCCCGCACTACCTCTGATGGCCCAAGGATACGCCACAAACCGTACCTTCAGCATTCGTACGTACCCAGCTCTTCACACAACTAGCTTCCAATGCCACTTCATCCCCAGTCGCTGAAAAAAAGAGAACAGCGAACCCTTGGGCACATATCCAGCATACCTAGCCTGCCACAACGCCGCAAAGCTCCCTACACAATCAGACAAAGTCAGCTCAAATCTCACCCCATCAATATAAGCACAGGAATGATAGTACATACCTTCCGCAGGCCCCAGCTCCGCAAATCCTAGCGCCTCAAGAATCCACGGCGCAATAATAGCAAGCACGCCCAACGTAATCACGGTACACATGACGGGATGCTCAACAACGAACCCCTCAATGCTCTGTGCAGCCTCCCATGCCCGGAGGTACGCAGCATGAATTGTAGCGCCAAGTTTCTCGTGCGAGGCTTGCAGGGCCTGCGCGAGGTTATCGAGGATGTATTGGGCAAGGTTCTGGCGCCAGCCGTAGACGCCGACGAGCGAGTCGAGGTGCATGCGTAAGGCTTGCCCGGTAACCGAGGTGGTGAGCAGTGTTGCGACTACATTGTTTGCGATTTGAGTTTCTGGTCGGGCAGTGGGTGAATGGAGGAGGGATGCTTTTTCGGAATTTGAGGTGTAAGTAGAGGGGGTAAGGTCTGCGGTGCCGCAGCTCATACATGCGAGGATGGCTTGGAGGCGTGCAAGTGCCATTGTCATTTGGTTTTTGTAGTGTTAGAGTTGAGACTAGAGATTGTTGTGATTATGGTTTTATGTATCTGGGGGAGCATGGGGGTGGGCGCTTAGAGTGTTTGCTGCGCCGCAGATAGCGGTTTGGTGAAAGCGAAACCATACAGCCTGGTCCAATCGAATTTTGCAGACTGAAATGCCGCAAGGCTGAGTTCATGGGAATACAATGCAAGTTGCAAGGCTGATGCTGAGGCGCCTTTTGAGCGTACAGAAGGTGTGTCCTGCTCTGTCAAAGCAGGCAACCACTCTTTACTTGACACTAGCAAGTCTAATAAGCCATCGTTTTAATGGTTCATCTAAGCCATTTATCAGTGATTGCGGAAGTTTCGCAATAATTCCATGTGTAAAATCGTAACACAGAATACACATGGCCTCAGCGGTAGACAAATCTAGGTATTCGGCGGCAGTCGCAAAGGGGAGACCACAATGATGTCCTGGCTGCCTTCAACTTAGGTTGCGATAGAAAGCCTTTCGCTATTTTAAATCTCTCAATGCATACTTCTCATGGCGTATTTAGAAAGTGAAGGGAAATGAGTAAAGAAAGAATGGTGAGAGGCTATTGAGTAAGACGTTTGGTCGCAACAACCCATGAACTGTGTGAGAATCTGGCATTGTTTTGGAAATGGGCGTCAAAGTTCGTACCTAACCGCAATTGCAGTCGGTCATATAGGGCACTATTCCTTCCCAATGAAGCTAAGTATGGAACTAAATGTTAAACAATTATCAGTCTATATTTGTTAGGAGTGTGAAATAAGGTCTGAATTATACAAGTGAATGCGAATTTTAGTAGCCATATCATGAGAAATAATGCTTCGAGATAAGGAGCCTGCTCTTACCTTCACTTGTCAGGTTCCTACCAAAGAGACTTACTGCTACTATATATACCCAAAGACACTCGTCTCTGCTTAAATTCCATCAATCCATATCTTTTGAAGAAGTCCAAGCCAAAAATTACTCTCCCATTCATTCATACCACTACATCATTACATAATGGGTGGTCATGCCTTCAAGAACCTCTACTGTCCACGCATCAATCCAAATGTATACTGCAAAATCAAAGCCCAAGCTACTGCAGCACTTCAGACAGTGTTCGCACATGTGGTGGTCCCAACTGAAATGCCCGAAAAGGTAAGATGAAGAAATAGAGTATTGTTTCTCCTACTGAGTACCCAAGAACGACTACGGCGACGTCGACTTCCTAGTTTGTAGCCCGTTGCATTACCCACAACCCCATACGTTAAATGACTTTCCATGGGAAGAAACCGTCCAGCTTATCAAAGACGCCTTCAAAACCACACATGGCCGTCGAGGCTATCTCACCAATGATTGCATGTATTTCGCCGTCGATGCACCGTGTGATGGAAAAGACCATTTCATCCAGATTGATGTTAAAGTCTGCTTAAAGCCAGAGTTGTTCGAATGGTACTCATTTAAGCTCGGCTACGCGAGTAACAGTAAGATCATTGGGAGCATGGTGAAGCCTTTAGGGCTCACTATTGACCCTGAAGGCATTCATATTCGCGTCGAAGATTTGGAAGAGATGGATCATAATGGGAGTATGGTATGGATCAGCAAGGATCCAAAGGACATCCTGAGAATTACTGGCTTGGATTTCAGGATCGTGAACGCTGGGTTCATCACCAAGGAAGAGAGTAAGCCTATTCATGAACATGGGTTGCGTAGTGCAAATTATGCTGATCATGCTACCAGTATACAAGTATCTCATTAGTTCATGGCTCTTCAATCCAGCGCACTTTGCTGCACGGCTCGCCGAGGAAAACTATCAAGACCGACTAGAAGAACGATCTGCGCCTTGGACCCATTTCATAAAAGAGTGGGTACCTGAGCACTATCCTGGCTACTGCTTTACCACAGGTTCTCCAGACACTGTAAAGCCCGAAGATGGCAGTAAGAAAAACAGCGCACAAGACCTCCAAGCATGGTACAAGCACACCAGATCTGCCGTCCGCGACAAAGTCTTCACCATGTTCCCCAGCACCGCAGAACAGTACTACGCCAAACGCGCCGCTCATATCAAAAAGCTCGAAGAACAAAGATTGGTAAATCTAATCATGAACGCCATCCCCATGGATACAGAAAGATGGGAAATATCAATTGCATCAGTTAACCTTACATTTACGCATGTACCACCTACACCACCTGGTCTCCAGCCCATGGCCTCCCACAAAATACTACAGCCTTTATTGGACTTTGTAACCCCCGTCATCACATACACCAACACTTCACAACCCGCCCAGCCCACAATGATCCACCTACCCCCTCTCCCCCGTCAACCACCAATCTCCTTCTCCCCTCGCCCTTCTCCCATCAGCATGTCCATCGAAGCCAAACTCGCCTGTCTATCACGTTGGACGTATTTCGACCTTTCCACCGGCACACCGTATATGCTCTCCATGCCGCGTCCCAAGGAAAAGAGTATGTGCTGGACAGATGCGATCTACGCAGGTGCAAGAGAGGAAGTGCTGCTGAGGTGGGCGAAGGAAGAGTGGTGGCGGGTTTGGGCAAGGCAGAGTATTGTTAATTATGTGGGGATGTGGAGGGGGAGGCTTGAGAAGGAGAGTAAGAAGAGTGCTAAGGGAGGAGAGGAAGAGAAGGATGGGGATAGGCTGGGGAGGATTAGGGAGAGGCTGGAGGTTGTTAACAAGAAGTTGGGGTTCTTGGTAGCTTGAAGATTTGAGAGTGGGGGGTGTGGTTGTAGGGTTGATTAAGAGAGTGTTTGGGTGAGATGTGATGCTGGAGTGAATTGGAGTTGATATTTGGGTATTGGAAGGCTTATGGGGATTTTTGGGGAAGAGTCTACTACTTGCCAACGGTCCAACCGGTAAATTTACATATGCTTCAAACCTGGAACATTGGGCTTTTCATATACAGAAAATAGACCTCAGGATGTGTTGAGCATCAGATGCTTGATGTAAAATGAACATTATATTACTATAACCGCAAAAGTCGCTCTGCAATTTATGTACTTTCAAACCAGAGAAGACTCCTCATCCAACCTTATTTAGGTCCGATACCCAAAAGATCCGGCGATCTTTCATGTACCCATATACCATAGCTGATGTGTCTGCGGACCCAATACTCAGCCGTCCATCCAACCATGATCACAACCCACACCAAGCCCACCATCCGCCACATCCAATTATCTCTAAAACCCATCTTCTTCCCTAAAGTGATCAAATGATCCTCGACCAAGATGATAACCGCCTGGCTTATAAAGAACACAAACCCACCATCATCGCTCCATGCCTTGTTCACCAGCATCGCCGCCCCAGAATGAATAATCGCCGAATTGGCGAACGTCACGAAAAGCTGCACAAATCTTGACCCGAAACTTCCCTTTGGAAACCCAAACACATCGCGAGTGAGCCAAATAGCCGGAGCGGTACACATGAAGCGCAACTGCTGGTGCCACACCGAAGACCAAGCTTGCCGTACGCTCCAGAGATCGCGGACGTGGCCAAAGCCGGAAGGACAATCACGCGGGTTCGCGAAGCCGAGCGCGACGGCGATGATACCAGTGAGTGCAAAGCAGACTGCGAGGGTGCACCGCGTCATTAGGATGTGCACCCACGTGTACCAGAACCGGACTGCCCAAAAGGGGGCATCTGGGGCGAAGGGCTGATACGGTTTTGCGGATGAACGCTGCAAATCGGCATATGTGCCGTATGGGGAGGAGGTGGAGTGTGCCGTGAGGATATCAGCGAGTGCCCAGTATACTAAACCGTGAATAAAATTTTCGACAATAAAACGACTTTTGGCGCATGTTAGTTGTGGGTTGTGTGAAGGATTTGGGGTGGTTGAAGGGTGGTGACTTACAGACGAGGATAATCGGATGGAACTTCCATGACAACACCCTTGACTTGCTGACTCCAACCAACATATCTGTTTGTAAAGGAAAGACGCGTGGCCCACCACATTCGGCTCCAGAAAGTTGTACCTGCACCTCCTGGTACATATTGGTATCTCTTGTTCGATGGTACACCATTGCCGTTCATCTTGCCGTTCGTTACCATCTTATCTCTGTCTTTCTCTTGTTCATTTCCTTTGCCATACTGGATCTTGTACCATCCTTCTTTGTCTGGGCACTTTAGAAGGATCCAGCCAATGTAGTAATAAATCAGACACATCGTGAAAGTTTCCGTCCCGTACTTGTAACCCCAGCCGACATCCCATTCTCGGTACAGTGATTGTGCGGCAAACACAACAAGTATGGGTAGGCTGATTGATACACGCAGAAACTGGCGCTCGGGTCCCAGCGCAAGCGCAACGGCGTTATTCAAGACAAGGATGGGAAATTGAAGGTATAGAAAGATAGGTGGAAGCTGTAAAGACACCGCCATTTTCGTTGCCTTTTCGTCGTCTCGAAAGAAAAGTCGTGGTTGTGCCGGACGATTGATGTGATGACGGACGCCTTGGTATATATCTCTAAACACCCCACTTCCCACTAAATTGAGTTTCGACAGGGTGCATTGGAAAAACTAATACGCTGTGAACATCGCACGGGTTGTCCAGGGGTAAAGTGCCGTCCGTGCTGTCGCAAGACCAATGATGAAGGGCCGAATACGCCGATGTGGGGATAGCAATCCGCAATTTTAGGTTCCTACACTGGCATCCAGTTTGGAAGTGTAAATAGAGGTGTACGATTAGGACTTCACCTAAACTCAATCAAATCGTCGAGACTATTCCTCAAAAGAACCGGATGGTGGATACCCTTTATCAAGATCGAATACACAGAACGCCGGAATAGACTAGGGAATTGCGTGGCAATACACTTGGTAATGCTAAAGGACAGCACGGGACTCAAGAATACACATCTGTTCCAATGAGGGGACTTACATAGTGTAAGCTTGGTCGTATATTTACCAGCCGGGTGAGCGCGGCTCGGATGCTCTCGGGATCATCATATAACAGACATAGGCCAACAAGAAAGTGACAGCTGTTTTCGTACTCAACAAATACTTAAGGTGCTGACTCTTCTGCACGAAATTCCGACTGGCCGAAATACTTTCTCTGAGTATCCTATGCTTTTGCGAACGCCATTTAACGTTGGGAGGTATACTTCCCAGGTAAATTGCATAGGCACCAGCGCGTCCCATTGTAGCAGTTATAACCATGAACAAAAGTGTGAGGGACAGGACAATGGAGACAAGGTTGTGAGAATGAACAGCAATGTTCAGAAACACAGACTTGAACAGAATGGTATGCATTACAATCCTCTAGTGTATGCAGTAGCTAATCAGGAATTTCGAGAGTAGGAGAAGTAAGCATCGACGGTAGTTATGGTGTGTCCAACCAGTAGGCGAGTTTTGGGATAACCTGCAACTCAAGATATGGTTGAATAGCAACTGTTCACAATCCACATCCTCTCTCAGTGCCATTCTTCTAAAGCTGCACATCTTGAAAGCTTTCTCCGTTATCGTCTTCTTCGACAGACGCCTGCCCTGGTTTTTCTCTCTGGGGTAGACTCGCCTCTATCGATTTTTCGTCACTTGGCTCTGGCTCTGAATCATCTCCTTCGCTCCCGCTTTGTTGCTTTTCCCTTCCAGACTGAGGTTTCAGATCATCTGTTCTGTTCTTGTGCTCTTCTGTTTGCGAATTGGACTCCAATGAGCTTCGCTCACTTCTCTCGCTTACGTCATCTTTGGGTGGTGGAGGTGGTGCGGCACCTTCTGTGTCCCGGCCTTGCCTGGATTGCTCAGGAGTAGGTGGCGTGACTTCGGTCCTAGGGCTTATTATAGGACTCCTTGGTTGTTGTTGTTGTTGCTGCTGCTGCTGCTGCTGCTGCGGTTGTTGTTGTGATGATTGCTGAGACTGCTGCTGTGAAGACCCGGCACCGACACTCCGTAGCCGTGGATCGGCATTCAAGTAGTAGCCTCTTACGCCAACTATCCTTCCTTCCCTCTCACATCCTATAACCCAATCTGGCACTACAACGGGAATGTTGTTCTCGACTGCCTTCTCCCAAGCTGGGCCTCGTCCCTCGGTACAAATGAAATGCGTCGTGTCAATGCGAACAGTGTCCGCAATCTTAGCGCCGATTCGCTCCACAGATCGTTGTAGAGACTCGCGCAGAGCTGCAGGCATGTGACCAGGGGTAATGGTAATACCTGACAGGTCTGTCATCTTGTGTGTTTGTACCATCAGCTTTTCGCTGCTGAACGTTCCGGCACTAGTTTTCAGGACGAGGTGAAACTGGTATTCTGTATCGACTGCCAGGCCACTCAACTTGGTGCTATGCTGATCGGTAGGCTTGGGTATTGTGCCAGCCTTGTTACCATTGCGGTAGAGCGTGAGGCTGCGTAGCTCGGCGGTTGCGATATCGATAGGGTCCCATTCGAGGACTACGGAGGTTTGCGTGGCATTGCGACACTTGAGAACAGGCGCCGAGGGCGTGCGCTGACCGAAGGTACGGAATATCTCAGACTGGAGCTCATGGAAGGCTTTCTGTGCGTCGGCTTCAGCCTTGTAGTTACGTCCGACGTCAATATCCACCATGGACCCAGAAGAGATGTCTGGCGGGAGCAATATCGAAGGGAATTCAATCTAGATTGACGTCAGCTAGGGTGAATTCGTGTGCTGCAAGGCATTGAAGGCACTTACGAGGCGCTTGTCTTCGGTGAGCAGCACGGCTACACCGGCATCGACCTTTCCGACTGTGAGAGAGACCAGCATCTTGTAAACGGGGGTGCGGGGTTGATATGGTGAAGGACATGTGTTGTACTGGGCTTAGTTGAACTTCCACGTACCTGAGCATCGTTGCGCGGCCCGAGGATCTGCCGTAATTGGCGCTAGTGTCGACATGTGTAGGCAACCATATTCTCCCAGTTTCTTCTACATCCCACTCGCATCACAACGCAATGGCACGAAGTGCAAAACAAAAAGCCGCTCGTAACCTAAGACGAGGTTCCAGGCCTGTCTTTCAGTTTACTAAACTGCCTGCAGAATTGCAATTACTTGTAAGATTCACCAAATGCCTCACAAGAAGCACTTGAAACTGACTGTATGCAATAGGTACTTTGTAGGTGCGACTTGATTTCGTTTGGGAGACTTCTAAGCGTCAGTTCGTACGTCAGAAGCCTTTGTATCCAGCATCCTGAGGTTGTAATCCAAGGTTCACTCTCAGAAATCCCTCAGCCTGTTGCCGGCTTGCTACATGTTGCGACGGCATTGCACAACATCAACGACGATTTTGATGGTGAGAGACCGCTCGAACTATTGGAGAAGGTTAACTCGAACGAATGGCCACTTGTCTATTCGCGATTTCTCCACAGTGGAGATGATGTCCTGGACTATATGCGCGGTCTAGTAGACATCTACGTCGAAGTAGACGTGGCCGCAGACATAGTTGCACAAGGTATGAACGCTGCAATGCAGATCTACATAGACCCACAGGTGGCTGTCACGCCTGTCCTGCTGTCTGTGGCTGAGCATACACGACTGGTATGCGCTCTTCTGATCGTCAAAATCTACTACCAGCTCAGGTCTAAATTGGTACCCAATGGCGGCACGTCGGTGGGCGACTTCGCAACTGCATTCATGCAGACTCTAGCGCCGTGGCAGATCGCCCAAGGCAGCTCGGTTGAAGGGTTTCTAGACTCGTGCCAGAAGTCTCCAGGCGGCCTCTACGACGACATCATTGGTAAGCGATACACATGTTGCGAATGTCTTTTGCAAAAGTCATCGTACTTGCGAACCTACAGCAGAGCTGCTGCCGTGGATATGGACAAAGGGTTTGTCTTTGGTCAAGACAAAAGCTTTCCTCGCTACTCTCATGCAGCGGCAGAGGAACACCGTCGCATCGGCAGGCGGGAATCTTTGGCGGGCCGTGTGGGCTACGCACAGCATCCGGCCATGCAACTTCGTAATCACGGTTGGATGATGTATAGTACAATCAGTCCTTATGATATGATGCGGCGAGACCTCGTTTGGAGAGTCGGTATGCTGTTCTGGGATCAAGACCGACTAGCGAGTTGGGGTATGGTCGACGCCAGCGATGTGGTAACCTTGGGCACAGAGACAGCCTGGCGACTGGGATACATGCGTCGGCGGGATCCATACTCACTACAGCAAGACCGCATAGAAGATATGACCAGTCCCTACCTACAGATTGCTGAATTCGCTCGCGCCCACGACAGAGATATTTTGGAGAGTTCTGGGCGAGGCAATGGGGACAACGACAAGGTAGGCTGTCTACTATGTAGTTAGGATAAGTACACTAGTATACCAGCAACATGGAACGTCACGTGAATTGGCGTATGGCGATGTGCGGTGCAACACGCGAAGCAAATGGCATGGCAGGGTAAGTTGTCAGCTGCAGTTACTCGGTCGCCGCATGCCCCAAGTCTGTGATGCCCAGTGCAGCGTGAAGAACTAGACAGCGCGGAGACTGGGGCTGTCACGACTAGTCATTCCCCACCTCCCCCAGCCCATTGAGCCTCTCTCCGAGGGCTGGACCAGTGCTGATCATCGCCGATGGGCATGGTGGGGAACAGCCCGGCACTAACGCCTGCTATCGTGGCAGTAAGCTCGCTCAACACTTTGGCGCAGAGATTTTGGGGACGCAACATGTCCAGTCGAGCCCAAGTCCAGACAATGACGTGCAATACAAGCCCGACACGTCTTTTGCAACGTCGCTGGGCCAGTTTTCTGCCGCTCTATCGACATGGGCGTGAAACCGGGTGGGCGAAGACGTTAAACTCGAGTGGGCATAAGCCAGCCGTTCGCGATAAGTCCCGCCGCAATGCACGGATACCTATGATGTACTTTGTATCGCGAATGCTTGCACGTCCAAGGTTCGCAAGGGCTAGCTCAACAACATCCGCCTGGCCAACGCTTGCCTCGTCTGTCGTCGTTCTTATTCATCCATTGCCCTCAGAATCGCTTTTTCTTTTCCAGACCGCTTGTCTGCGTAGGACCCTCCCCTCTCCCGAGTCCCTCTCTACATAATATCTTGGCTGTCGGACTACCCCATTTGTTTGCCCCATACTGCCTGCAGGCAATTATTATCTCCACGCCGCTCCTTGCGCCCTCCACCCCACCACTCTTTCTTCCTTACAGTGACTCGGAAGCCCACTCGCACCGGCTCCTACAGTCACAATGGTTCTCATTGAGAATCAAGAATACCTCTGCGAAGAGGAACAGCGCCTCAAGCAGGACCGCGAGCGCACCGCCTACTGGAAGCGATGGGGTCCCTATGTTGCCGAGCGACAGTGGGCAACAGGTCAGTTTTGTACCATGTAGTGGTGTTTGAGCCATACTGACACACATCCAGTCCGCGAAGACTATTCGTAAGTGACCATGGTGCCCTTTGATACTGCTTTTTGCTGACCGACTTTCCTCTACAGTCATGATGGAGATGCTTGGAGTCGTAAGTGGATTCTTTGTATTCATTCTGTCAGTCTTTGCTAATTTCTGTAGATTTCACGCACGATATGGCACGGTCGCGTGCTTTCCGCTGGGGCGAGGACGGTATCGCTGGCGTCTCCGACTCGCACGGCTTTCAGAACATTGCATTTGCTTTCTGGAATGAGAAAGAGTAAGTCAATCTGAGCACAGAAATGAGAGAGTCATCTGATTTTTGTATAGCGATTTCCTAAAGGAACGACTTTTCGGACTGTCGAATCCACAGGGCAACCACGGCGAGTCGCTCAAAGAGTGCCATTTCCACTTGGACAACACCCCAACTGTACGTCTCTGACCCTGTTTGGGATCAATTCACTAACGGAACTTGTAGCATTCGTACATGAAGTTTCTCTACAAGCTACCACAGCGGAAATTCCCCTACGAAGACCTCATCGAGACCAACGCAAAGCGAACACGGCTCGAGCCCGAGTACAATCTAATAGACACTGGCATCTTCGATGATGACCGATATTGGGACATATTCATTGAGACTGCCAAAGAGGCCGACGACCCGGAAGAGCTGTGCTTTCGAGTTACAGCATACAACCGCGGTCCGGAGCCCGCTCCACTGCACATAGTGCCTCACTGCTGGTTCAGGAACACTTGGGCGTGGGGTCACGAAGATCCGAAGTTAAAGCCTTCTATTACTAAGATTGGCCCAACGACTGCTCAGTCAAAACACCACAAGCTCGGAGACCGATACTTCCAGCTTTCACCGTCTCCCGGTACCGGTCCAAGCGGCGAGGACATCCAGCCTGAGCTGCTCTTTACCGACAATGACACCAACTACAAGGGCATATGGAAGGTCGAGAACAAGACGCCATATGTCAAGGACGCTTTCCATCGCTACATTGTAGATGATGAAAAGGACGCTGTGAACCCCGCCAATACGGGCACCAAATGTGCTGCGTGGTACGCTTTCGATGAAGGCGAGGGCGTCCAGCCTGGCGAGTGTGCAGTAGTCCGCTTCAGGCTCTCGCGAAAAGACGACGGCTATCTCGACGAAGAGCTCTTTGACGACATCATTGAGCAACGCCGTGCAGAGGCGGACGAATTCTACTACAGGATAAGCCCTCTTCCCATTGCGGATGACTTGCGCAATGTCCAGCGCCAAGCATTTTCCGGTATGATGTGGTGCAAGCAATACTACCACTTCATCTGGGACCAGTGGGCCAATGGTGATCCGGCCATGCCTCCTCCGCCACCTGAACGAAAGGCAATAAGAAACAAAGAGTGGAAACACATGTACCTGGACGATATCCTTTCCATGCCTGATTCCTGGGAATATCCATTTTTTGCTGCCTGGGACAGCGCCTTCCACTGCATTACACTGGCGATGATTGATCCCGATTTTGCTAAGAAGCAGCTCGATCTCTTTACGCGCGAGTGGTACATGCATCCCAATGGCCAACTTCCGGCTTACGAGTGGAACTTTGGTGATGTGAACCCTCCAGTTCACGCCTGGTCATTATTCAGGGTGTTCAAGATTGAACGTAAGATGTATGGACGCGAGGACTTTGACTGCCTCGAGCGCGTGTTCCAGAAGCTGTTGCTCAACTTCACCTGGTGGGTCAACCGAAAAGACGCGGACGGAAAGAACATCTTTGAGGGTGGCTTCTTAGGTCTTGACAACATTGGCGTCTTTAATCGTTCCGATCCTTTGCCGACCGGTGGTGTTCTGGAGCAGGCTGACAGCACTGGCTGGATGGGCTTCTACTGCCTGAACATGCTGAACATCTGTCTCGAACTTGCCAAGAGACGCCGCATCTACGAAGACATGGCTTCCAAGTTCTTCGAGCACTTCCTTATGATTAGCGACGCTATGCAGTTCCGCAGCGAGGGCGAGTCGAAGCCACTATGGAACGAAGAGGACGGCTTCTACTACGACGCCATCTCGTGGGGTGGCCCATGGAGTCATCAGATGCCAGTCCGTTCTCTTGTTGGTCTTATTCCCCTCTATTCGACCATGACACTTGAACCGGAGATCATCAACAGATTGCCCAGTTTCAAGAAGCGTGTAGAATGGTTCATTGCCAATCGCCCAGAGCAATCGAAGCGTAATATTCACACGCTGTCCAAACGCGGTCAGGGCAATCGCATGCTCCTGTCGCTTGTCAACGAGGACCGTCTCAAGCGAATAATGAAGAGGATGTTGGACGAAGATGAATTCTTGGCTGATCATGGTATTCGATCACTCTCAAAGTACCACAAAGACCATCCTTACTCCATGGATGTCAACGGCGAAAAGTACGAGGTGGCCTACCTGCCGGGTGATTCAGACAGCGGCCTTTTCGGCGGCAACAGCAACTGGCGAGGCCCGATCTGGCTGGCGGTAAACTTTCTGCTTATCGAGTCTTGTCAAAGGTTCCATCTCTACTACGGCAACAACTTGAAGGTTGAGTGCCCTACAGGTTCTGGTGACTATATGCATCTTGGTCACGTAGCAGAAGAGATTCAGCATCGTCTCCAGCATTTATTTGCCCGCGGAGATGACGGCAGGAGGGCCATCAATAACGGAAACGAGATGCTCGACTTTGACCCCAACTGGAAAGACTACATGTGGTACCATGAGTTTTTCGATGGCGACACTGGACGCGGGTTGGGAGCGACACATCAGTGCGGCTGGACCGGCCTGATTGCGAAGATGATTCATGACACTGGGTAAGTTTGTTTGTGAATTTGCTGTGTTACAGGGCTAACGAGAGACAGCATGACTTGTCGTCTCCCACAGACACCACGCACGCCAACTGGTGCTGCAAGCCACTACTTTGACGATGTCTTTACGCCTGCAGGCAAACCGGCCAAACGCCATGCTCTTCGTCGATCATCAACAAGCCGTAGCATCGGCTTCCGAAGTGACTGGGGAGAGACGTCGACCAATGGTGAAGAAGAGTATGATGATGAATCAGGCCCGATGAGGCGTAAGAACTCGGTCGGCGTGTTAGACCAAGCGGCGCTTGAGCAAAAGTCAGCCATGGAGGATCGCCTGAACCATTACGTCAGCGGACAGCTCCAGCGTATCAAGAAGGGCATGCAAGACTACGAGCCGGACGAGCTGGAGACGGTGGATGATGCTCACGACACACGAGGCAGAAACGGAAACCGCAATGGGCGTAAACGCGACGATGGCGATTACTTTGAGCAAGATCCGTACTTTAGCAAATAAGCCATGAAAAAGCATGGTGGATACGACGTGGTTGTTAGAGGATGCAGTATTTGGTAGACTGGGCAGTCACCCTGTGAGGGTTAGATCCTAGACTCATGATAGAGGCACAGTAGACGCAGAGTATTTGTTTTCTCCACACACTGGTGGCGTTGATTCCTTTGATGATTTGCCGCCTGACAAAAGTAACCATATAGATAATGCGTGGCGTACCTAATAACACACGAAGTGTATCGTGTGTCAATGAGATGCATGTGCCTGTTTGACCAAGGGAGCTAGGCGTATCACGTGCCAGTGTAGTGGAGGTGGCGGTGGTGGTTGCGGCCGGCGATTATCGATTGTTTGTTGCGGGGCCTAAACACCATCGTCACTCCTGAGCCCGACCAAGCCAGCCCAACGTCACCAACAAGCGCTTGCTCGCCCTCTTACCTCGTAGCCTCTGTCGCAAAGGGATTTCCTGTTACTCATTCGCTCATTCGCTCAAAACGGTTGCGCATTCCTCAGACGCCCAGATCGGACAAGAGAAAACAGACGTGCAGCAGGAGAGAGATTCAAAGTAGCGCGACTTGACAAGATGTCCAACTTTATAACTACCGTGTTGGTGGCCCTCTTGCTACCCAAGCGCATGCGCAACAGGGATCCTTGGGCGGAGAAAGACTGACTTTGTCCATGGTCTAGTAACCCACGAACGCGCGCACCCTTCAAGCCACAAAAGGGAAACCGAGGCACGAGCAGCTGGCAGCTCAAGCAGTATGCAGAGGCTACGCTGGGTAGCGGAAGTCTAAGGAAAGCGGTCAGGTTGCCCGAGGGAGAAGACAAGGACGAGTGGCTGGCAGTCAATGGTGCGCATTGTGCTGAAGATGAGGCCGAAGCCAGCTGATTCGCGAGCGCAGTCGTCGACTTTTACAACCAAATCAACCTACTCTATGGCTCCATCACGGAATTCTGCTCGCCTCAGAGCTGTCCAGAGATGAAGGCTACGGACGAGTAAGGCAGCGAGTGGGCATGGGTCGGGCAGCTTGTTGACAGAAATCAGATTCGAGTACCTCTGGCAAGATTCGGAAAACTACAAGAAGCCGACCAAGATGCCGGCACCGGAATACATTGAGCACCTCATGGCATGGGTGCAGTCCAACGTAGACAACGAAGCCATGTTCCCGTCACGGATTGGAGTGCCATTTCCCAAGGCGTTCCCGTCTCTTATTCGGAACATGTTCAAGCGGCTGTACCGAGTGTACGCACACATCTACTGTCACCACTATCCTGTCATCATCGAGCTAGGGCTGGAGCCACACCTCAACACCAGCTTCAAGCACTATGTGCTGTTCATCGACGAGCATGGGCTGGCCAATGGAAGCAAAGACTTCTGGGGACCGCTCGGGGATTTGGTGGACAGCATGCTGAAAAGCGACTAGGGCTGGGGCAGTGTTCTAGAAGGAAGCAGGTGGCGGGAGCACATGGGAAAGCAGAAATGGAAGAGGAGGGGGAAAAGAGAAGCAGGCGAGTGGGATGCGCAATCAGTCGGGTAATGTCATGGGTCGCGCACATGATGGCTGGCGTTGGGCGCATCCATGATTCGATAGGGTCCGGGAGATAGGCCGGGCAGTTTGCACTTTAACAATGTATGAGTAGTGAGGAAGAATTGGGACCGAGATGGGCAGCAGAGAGAGTCATGTGCCTTTTTTCGGCCATGGAAACACAATGCATCGTAGGAAGGAAGCGAGATCTGGGGGCGGCAAAACAAGAGAGTGGATAGCAGGGCGTGCTAAGGGCTAGCATGGTGCGAGGCAGAAGAGCAACCCCGCCAGCAGATGACCTCAGCAGGGCAGTGTTTCCGGCGTCGCGGGCGATTTAATATAAGAGCGCACAGGTCACCGGCAGTTTGCTGTGCTGTGGTTCGCCTGGCGGGCGGTAGTGGCAATGACAGTAGATGAAGGCACAAGCGTGCTAGAGTAGCCGTGTACACCAAGATGGGCAGATGTCGACGTGCGAGTGGAGCCCAGTGTGACGATGCGAAACGGCGCGCTCGTGGAGTCAGTCGTGCCCACTGTCGCCTGGACGAAACACTGCCGGGACGGAGCCTGACGCGTGCTGAACCATGGCCTGAGCTCCTGCAACCGACGGGTAGTCGTCGGCGTTGCAGACGGCTGCCATCCTTCTTTCATCGACACATGTACCTGCTCAGGTCGCCTGCTCTTCCCTGCCCCCAGACGCCGGCAGCATCGCGACCGTTTTGTCCTCAGGACCCGCCGGCAGCTTGGTGGAGGTCATGCTAAGCGTACACCTACGTTCCTCTATATTATCAGTAGCGCCGTATTTACTTTACGTGCAACGCATGATTGGTGCTGTCGACATTAACAGGCCGCCACCCCAGATTCGCTCTGCAGCAAGGATCGGTTACTCAACACCCTTTTGGGCGGTCCAGGATCCAGGAAAAGGCTGATACACCAACGCCCTCCGTCCTAGCGCTGCTGGTCCTGTCTTGCTCGCCTCGACCGCTTCCGGCTGGGCCCTGGGAAAAGCCAGCTGGACACGCTGCCTTTTTTGTTCTTCTTGTTCTTGGCTGGTGCAACCCACACGGCCAGCTGCCCCAGGCGCCGCCCTGTTCAAACAGTCGGCCGTTCGGCTGCCATGGTCGTCGTGTGTTAGAGACGGAATGAAGGGAGATGTGCGGCGAAGGCCAGATCATGTCCTGTCGCACCAAACGCATGCGGCATGGTTGCCACGCCCAGAGCCCACCGTCCTCATAGAGTGCGACCCACGTGAGTGCGACGCCCGCGAGACTAGACGGCAGTGCACCTGGCGAGGCCTCGGGCATACTTGATTCGTTCCGTGCGTGTGTTAATATGCAGCGAGCAACGGAATTGCGGGGATGCTGTGCCTGTCGAGGCGCCGCCCAAAGGGCCAAGGGTTGAGCAAGGATTGCCGCTCTCGCCTGCACTTGACCTTGCCTTGTGCCTTGCTGCAGCCGTTTATATGCGAATGCTCACCCCTCGAAAGCAACTGGCGAGATGCCGTTTTGCGATTTCTCCAGGTTTTCTGCCGGCAGGCTTCGTCAATAACCATGCCTACTTACCCTCTTCAGCTCACCTGCTTGGGCGTCATCATTGGCACTCCGCTTCTGGCCTCCATTTTTGTTATTCTGAGAATATACACGCGCCGGAAACTGAATCTGCGCCTGAGTTGGGGTAAGCTGCTCCTTTGCCGTTTGTTGTTGTTGTTGTTTTACATGCGGCACAAAGGACTGACTGGGTGTTGCATAGATGACTGGCTTATCATACTTCCTCTGCTATTGTCAATAGCCCTCATAGGGCCTTCATACAGAAGTACGTACAGCTCTAGTCAATGCCATTTACGGCTTGCTGACCAAATACAGATGTCAAGATGTGGCATATTGGTGTCCATATCTGGCAAGTTCCTCCAGATAAGATTGAACCAAACTATGACGAGTACTATGCTGTACGTATGGCGCTGATGGCGATGTGACTGTACACTGACAGCGTTCTAGGTCGTCATGGCCTTTAACCTACTGAACATTCCCATCTTGCCACTGGTCAAAGCATCAATCATCCTTCTCCTTCTTCGCGCTGGTTCTGTCATTCAATGGCTGAGGCGAGCACTCTACGCCATTCTTATCTTCACGGTCGGAAGCGCTTTGATTCCCTGGTGCCTCTACATCTTCATCTGCCCACCCCTTACCGGCAACACATGGAAGCCGCGAACCTTTGGCGGTCTGCACTGCATGGGCCGCCACAAGATGGGCGAGATGTTGATCTGGGTTACTTGCGCCAACCTCCTCACTGACGTTCTGATCCTCCCTATTCCGTTTATCATTGTCCGAAGGATGATGAGTGCCCGTCTACGCTCCCGTCTTGTTGTGCTGGCAGTCTTTACCTGCAGTCTAGCGTAAGTCGAGTCCATGTCATAGCCAAAACGAACCAACTAATCCTGTGTATAGGGTCACTGCTATTGGAGCCGCGAAGATCTACCTCTCATACCGCGACCGCCTGTACACGCTCTACAAGCCGGACTGGACCTACCCAATCGACTACTGTATCAACCACATTGAAAACAACGTTGCCATCATCGTCGCCAACATCCCCATCCTACGTGGTCTCGTCACACGCTGGATCTTCAACTTCCGCACCAAAGCCACGCCCATGGACCGCGAGGCCCGCGCCGACAACAACTGGCAGCAATGGGATCTGTCCAGCTCCTCTGCTGGCGACAGTCGCTACACCCGCCGCAATTCGAAGAAGAGCGTCAAAGTGCGCATGTTCAACAAGATCCTCCCTTGCATCCAAGACGACTTCTCCAGCAGCCTCGCCACCCGCACCTCGACCTCTGGCGACGCCACCACCAACAAAGCCGGCGCAAGCGCCCACGTCACCGAATGCAAGAAACCCCGTCTCCCCAGCAAAATCGTCACCACCAACCCCCCCAAACGCACCTACTTTTCTCGTCCTTCCCGCCGCAACAGCCAAGACCGCTACGCCGCGTCTTCGCACTGTGAAAAGGGCGACGCCAACATCCTCGAGTCGGTCCGCAGCGTCGGCAGCAGCCTCGAATCCGCACCTACCCTCGTCGACAGCAGGTACGGCAGAGGCAGCATGGGTTGCAAGAGCTTGGAACTCGAGTCGCCGCCCGTCAGTCCTACGACTGTAGTACCTGGCAGGCGCTACTCTGCTGCTACTCTCCTGCACAGCCCCATTACGCCGCTTTCGCCGGTCAGATTGCGCGGGATAGGGGATGCGGGTGAGTATGAGGATGAGGATGAGGACGAGGACATCTATCCACATCACCCCAGGACGAGAAGTTGGGCGGGAGCAGACCAGCAACGTAGGTTATGAGATTATGATATCCACCCCCCCGCTCTTTCTTTCTTTCTTTTTTCCTTTTGTTCACTTTTGGCTACTTGAGGCGAAAGTATGCGGAGTTTTTTTCAATGATACCATGTGACTACTTATTGCACAAAAGGGTTTGGGCTTTTTTTTGGGTTACGATCGCTCTTGTCATCGAGCTGGGGCAGAGGAAGGTGGGGGGTGGAAGACGTTTGTATACAACATCACCACATTCGAGTGTTGAACACCGGACAGAGAAAGAAAGAAGAAAAAGCATCATGCAGTGCATACGCCCTATCTCTTTTTCTGTTTATTTCGCTTCTTTGTTCATCGTTTATTTTTTTTAAAAAAAAAAGGCTCAGTACATACATACACATTCACTACTACAACTTACCCATCTACATTCCAAGTAGAAGACACAAGACGTTTTAAAAAAAAATTATCAAAACAATTCAACATCTGACATCTTCTTCCCCTCCTATACCCCCCCATATCTTCTTTCTTTCTCTTCGTCTTGACCGACAAACCTACATACATCTCGGCCAACATTACCCCCCCCCCCTTTCGATCCCCCGAAACCCGCCAACCCAGCCCCAACAGCAGGACAATTCCCACATTACTTTCCACGTAATCAACTGCACCACCCCCTGAAACACGCCTGTCCCACAATCCCGTCACACCGGGTCGCCCTGCCCTCGTGTTGTTCCGCTTCTTTTGTGTTGCGCGAGGGGAAGGGGAAGGAAGGATACCGAGCCGGTGAGTTTACCAGGGATGAGGGGGGCTGAGATCTGTGGGTGATCCGCGGGAAGAGGAGGATGAGGAGGGAAATGTAAGGGTGGTGGGTACGTGGATAAATTCCGATGGGGGAAGAGGAAGAGGGGGGATACGGGATGGGTTTGCGGGAGGGTTGGTGCGGAACGGTTATGATGTCACTATGATGGATGGCAGTGTGAACTTTTTGTACGATAAAACTACTTGGTTGTAGTTGAGATTTCTTTGGGGGTTGGATACAACTTTTTTGTTTTTTTTTGCTTGCTTGCTTAGTGGAGAATTAGAGCTTTTCACTTGTTAAAAAAAACTTGGTGTTATCTTGAATTTTCGTTTCCTGCTCGTAAACTTTTGTGGAAACTTGATGAAATTGTCTTTTGTACGTTGTGAATTTCCGTCCGAGTGTATACGAGTGCGCGACTTTTCTTGTTTAAAATGAAGGGATGACGTAGAAAGGAGGGGGGGGTATACGTGCTTGCTGTTAAGAAGAAAAGGGTTAAGATTACAAAGTAGATCCTACGCATTACTAGGGGTCCCATTATGGTAATTTTATATTTTGTAAACGGGGGGAAACGTAAATTTCCTTGTCTTAACAGGTCGGCGTATAGAATGGGCGGATGGGACGAGACGACATGCTTTCTTACTCGCCTCTGTACTTACATATTCTTCTTCCGCGACACGTATGTGTGTTGGTTGGTGGTTGTGGTCACGACAAAGTTGGAGTCGGAGATTAGATTGTGCGATTAGATTCGGAGATGAAAGATAAGTTGGAGGCTTGGAGGTTCTGGAACTTGGAGCTTATGGAATCGGGTAGTGGGTACCTATGCGGAAGTGGAGACATTGAGGAATCATCGACACTGCACATTTGTGGAAATGGGATATTGGACGATCAGGCTGCTGGTGCTTCAGATGTTCGTATCGTTTCGGTCTTACTTTTTTTGCCTTTATCTTTTTTTTCTGGGCCCGACCGTTGCACTAATACAAGTGTGAGACTTGCACTGCCTGTCTTGGATGTAGAGTTGTTACTGTTTTGATGCTAGGGTCGGCCTAAGAAATACCAAGAGCGCAGTGTAGACTGCGATTACTAGCATGTTGCCTGCTGACGTGCTCAGCCCAGACCTGTTTCTACTTGTTGCGTCCAAGAAGAGAACAAGTCGTATGCTGCTTTCCCACTAGTGGACATGGCGGTTTGGGAGCAAAGAGAATTGAGTAGCCAAGCGTGTCGCAATGACAGGCGTACTTGGTAAGTACGATGCAAGGCCTACTTAGTGTACTCGGGTGTCAAAGGGCCGACCAGAGCTCGTGTTCCATATTAGGACGTGGGGATCCACACAGGATACCCGCACCAAGTACCGTGTCGCGAGCTAGGCATTCGGGCTTTGGCACAGTTTCAGGATTTCCCAACATTGCCGATGGTGTCGTTCTTTGGTGGTTCGGTTTCGGTGGATTTATGTTACAAAGTTGCGGCGCCTATTCGCTCTTTCTTGTTTCGTTGACGGCTGTCAGACGTCAGTCAACCTCGATTGTTGGGCCGGCGGGTGCAGGCGGAACGATTTGCCAACCTTGTCTGGACATACGTCGATGTCAGGTCCTTGCATCGTCGTCGTCGCCGTTGGTGTTTTCGGTGTGGGTCGGAGTATTCTCCCAGGTACGTACCTACTAATACGTCGGCAATGGCCATCCGGTTGCAACGAGTAAGTATCACAAATGTAACAAAAGTGTCCCGACAAGGCAGTCGGTTAGCAAATACGAAGATCAATCTAGCGCAGGTGTATACTACGTATACGCGGCGCCTAGTCAAAGTCACACAAGTGTCCAAACGTAGTGTGATGATGAGCTGAGCACAAGAGGTGTCGTCGCGTGGGTCGGGAGAAGCGACCAAGTAGGCAATTGGTGTGCATAGCGGAGATCCAATTTCCCCCTTCCCTTTGCGCCCTTGTTCCAGTCGACATCCTACTGTCGCAACACCCGCCACACACACACACACACACACACACACACACACACACACACACACATACGCACACATGCGCACACATACACACACCCAAGTAGACTGCGCACCTGCACAATTGCACGGGATAACGCGCTCCCACACGTCCAGTGGCAAAAAAGAGAAAAATACTCGCACATCACCAGCCATGTGCGCGTGTGCCCCTCGTTCTTCTCCACATTGTTTTTCCGTTGCCATGTTGGGCCAAGATTAATATATTCGAGGCTGCACCCCCCCTGCTACACGGCTCATATGGATAATTTAACAGCCCACCCATTCATTCAAGCCCGCGCGCATTCGTGTCGGGCGAGCAAAAAGGCAGTCCTTTTGCGAGGCTAACGGCAAGGGCGCAGCCCGCAAAGTCTTAATCCTCTGCGCTTACTTGTCAATCTGCCTAAATGAAGTCAATTTTGTCCTCTAGGGCTGCAACAATCACCGCGCTATGTCCCTTGGCGCTCGCCTGACTGCTTTTGCCGTGTCTACTAATCCATTTTGCTTACTTTTTGTCCTTACATAAAATCCGGGGAAATTTGTCCTTTGGAGAAATGGCCGCGGCTTCAGTAGCCATTAGAGTTCAGCGACGGTAAACAAGGGTAAATCGCAATAAAGTGATTTGCATCCTGTTGATCCGGCATGGAGTATTGGCTGACGACCAGCTGCTCAGGGTGTATTGGAATGCCTGGATCGCTGTGTCCACTCGACCAACCAGCTGGCGTCCCAGCAAGCCACTTCACCGTTTACCACAGATACTGCCCCACTCGTTCTCGTCCGATATCACTCCAGGATCTGCATACAAGGCATTTATTCATGCTTACCCTCCAGAGGCATGACTGAACATGGAGTGGTTTGAGTGGTCAAGAACAAAGTGATCATCATTCTCACGAGAGTACTGAAAGCTCCAAAGGCTGAATGTGGTCCCATAAACCGGCACCCACTAAAATGAAAAAAAAAGCTTGCCAAACACCAATATGCAGATCAATCGTTATAGAGTACAAGTCATCTTTTTTACACACACACCCTTTCCATTGGTGGCCAGATGATACTAGACTGAGGGAAAAAAAACCGGGGAAAAGCCACTTATGCACCAGCACATCACCGGCGACTCCGAGTCCTGAGCGAGTCCGGTCTGGACGCGGAGGGTGAGCGTGTTAATGCGGGTATTTTATCGGGTAGGGTATCCATGCATGAAATGGGCTTGCCCTTTCTTTGTCATCTGACGATGCCATCAGTCTCGGCTTCGAGAGTGCAAAGAGGACAAGCGAAATGAACAGAGTGACGGATCGTGAGCGGGCCGCAGGAACGTGACGCGCAGGGGACATGACCGATGCTATACCGATATTAGGGTTAGCATCGTGGCGGCAACCAAAGCCATAGTATGAGCCAGGCTAGGGCTGAGACTGTGGGCGGCGGAAGTCGACTCGCCCGAAGCAAGCCTTTTGTCGTCGTTGCGCACACAGTTGCTCTTGGCCGTAATCTCGGCTGGGCACACGACACGCTTGAAATTGGCGCTGTGCAATGAATGTTAGTGCTGGATGCGTAGTGTAGCCGGCAGTGAAATCAAATACCTGGGGAACGACGCGTCCTGGAGCCAATCAAAGCGCCACTGGCATCCCGCTCTCAGGGCCTCGGGTAGGTTTGCACAGTCGTTGCGCGAACTGACGCCCTCCATGTTCTGGCCAAAGACGGACTGGTCGACGCCATACTGCTTGGCGCATCCGTCGACTGATGTTGTGTTGCCACCAGGTACCTGGTAAAGACTCAGCTCTGCACTGCACTATCGAGCAGGGTTTCCAAAAAGGTGACTTACTGCAAGGGTGAAGCGGTTCGTTGTGGTAATGTCGTACGCCGTGTTTGAGGCCTGGACAATCATGCTCTTTCCAATCAGTGGGTCACTGGTGAAATTCAGCTGGTAGCATGCGCAACACCAAGCGTCCTCGATGCCGCCGTGCGTGAGCGAAGGCATGATGTAGACGCCGGCAAAGCCATAGGACATTGTGTCGTTGATAGCCCACGGCTGCTGGTCGGCACACTGGAAGGCATCACCGCCGTTACAGCCAGTGCCAGCGGCAGGGTTGGTGGGCTGGTTGTCTGCTGTACACGACTCTACCGGGCTGCTGAAATCGGCCTTGCCATTCCACCCGCACGATGGTTTACAGCAGTCCCAGTACCGCGTAGTCACGGCTTCGCCCGAGTAGTTGAGATTGGCGGCATGAGAAAGAAGGGCAAAGAGGTGGAGGGAGAAGAGAGTGTTTCGGACATGTCGCGCCATGATTGTAGGTGTAGTATGAGTGTGGATAGATGGAAGAGGTAGGTAGATGATGATGACTATGTCCAAGTCAACAGGTCAGTGGCATGGTTCTTGGGCTCGAGAATGCGCCACGTTGGTGGCCGGGCATGTGTATGTATTTGAAGGATCTTGGAAGCAGCGACAAAGAGGGGTCCCGTTTTAGTCTGGCCGCAAGGAGAAATTAAGCTGCTTTTGATATCCCAGGCCGAGAAGACGAACCATGTTGCTGTGCACCTGGCAGGGATCGGCGGAGCTTGGATACTGAAACGGGACCCGGGGTAATGGCATTTGAGAGGCCCAGCAAGTCGTTGCCACTGCGTGCACCACGTTGTCTCCAATGCCATGCCATGCACATGCACACGCGACGGGCTGCCATCTGTTGCATCGCCACCTTCTTAATCATCCTGCCCCCTGGTCGGCTGCCTCGTGGTATTGGGATTGTTCTAGCATTGGCATTTATTCTTCCCCACACTTACGACCGCCGATGATATATCGCCCCCCCGCAATTCGACAATCGCGGGCTTGATTGACATGCATTCAATTCACGCTGCTGGCACGGCTACTCTAAATTGCCGTAACCTCCCCAATGACGACGCCGGACAGTACCTCGAGTATGCTACGCTGCCATTGCCACATCCCAGACCACACCACACGGCTGCCACTGCCGAATCAACGCCTAATTCTCTGGTCAGACGTCTCACGTTCCGCCCTCGCTCGGGGGCCCCATTGTCGGTTACACTCGCCCCGCTACTCTAAACGTGTTGCTCCGTCCACCGGCAAGCGTTCACACCGCCGCCTGCAAACACGAACCATGAAGATTGCCAGATGCCCGTAAGCCCCACGACAAAGTGGCGCGTGCCCTTTGTCCAAGGCACTCATGGACCCTGTGCACGGAACATCCACGCGTCTAGCCCTCTGCCATGTCCATCTGTGCCGCTTCACTCCCGACCACTGAAAAATATGTCCGATTGGCCGAACAGCCAATATCGCCTCGAGACCAAAACCAGCCCAAGCAGCAAAATCGCCAAGGGGGGCTTTTACCCTCAGCAATAGGCATCAGAGCTTGTGGTGGGTTGGCGTGGTCGGATGGGTAATCTCAACTTCACAACGAGGGGTATACATGCTATAGCACCCTCTAGTATATGCCCAGGACCAAGGCCCATCACGACAATTGTTCCACTCCAGTCCAGCCAAACCAAACAAATGCAAGAACACGCATGTGTAATAGCACACCATCCCTACGGCTAGCTAGTAACAGACAAACACTACAGGCAAGACTTCATGTCGAGCTTTCCCCGCATGCGTGCATACACCACACTCTACCCGGTACTTGCTTCGACTGCCCAATGGCCTCCCTTGCACTTGTCGTACTCGCCTTGAAACTATGTTTCTGAAACTGCTGTCATCGAATCAGACTTGTATGCGCCCAGGAATACAAGAAATGGACAATGCTCACCTACAGGCCAGGGATGGTGCCCATAATATCCAAACTATATCAATCCAGTAGAATCGTCGCCGAAAACCTGGACCTGTTAGCCACACATTGGCATCATCCAAGCACCGGCCCATGCTCTTCTCTACTGACTATGCACACCACTTGTTTTGTCGTTGCTTGGTTCAATATTCTTGGTCGTCTCACCAACGTATTGACTTTGAATCTATTATTGGAAGTAGGGCTCGTCTTGAGCCTCGGGACACGAATACGATTGACTACTGACTATGCTGCAGAGGAAGAATCTGGCACACTTGATTGAACTGTACAAACACAAGAGTTCAGAAACAGGTTCATGGATGAAAATGCACATCGACATATGCTGATTATAATTTAGAGATATGGGCTCATATAAATGCAGAAACCTACGGGTTCGCCTGCGACTGATTTTCGCTCGATGATACGGATCCATCAGATCGCCTTGCATATTACAAGATTACAAAGACCACTTGGGATTTCCTTTGACCCCAGTTTCTCCCTTTGGAAGTTATCTCTATCCCTACTCCCTCTCTTCTTCTTCTTCTTCTTCTTCTTCTTCTTCTTCTTCTTCTTCTTCTTCATACTCAAGCAGGCTTTCTTCCTGCCGCATACGATGCAAACATGTATGGCACTCCAGCTGCCATACCAACGCCTGCTCCACCAAGCATCGCTCCACCAGCGGGCATCTTTATTCTTCCTCTCCGTGCAGCAATCAAAGCAGCAACTGCACCTCCACTTGCGGAACTCAGCGTGACCCAGTCCGTCTGTACTTCGCCCTTGTTTTCCAAGATCCGCCACGCTCTATCTTTCCATTCAATCTCCTCGAGTCCTCTCATACGGCCCCACGTCATGGCCACACCCGCTGCTGTTCCCAATACAAGTCCACGACCCGCTGTCTTCAGTGTACGCGCGAGTATGACGTTGTAATTGATTGGCGCCTTTTTGTAGCGCGCTGCAATGACAGAGGCTGGGAAGCGCGCAAGCGAGAGAAAGGAAAAGGACATAGCCGAAGCCCGCATAACGTGAAGGTACAAGATACTGCGCGCATACGGTTGATCCTCGGCATATACCGGATGTGGGAAGAAGGAGGTCATCTTGGTTTATCCGCGTCTATTGCTGATTTCTTGGGTAGTGGCCTGCTGGCGTGGCTTTGGCTATGGTTGAGCTTTTTGCTTTTCCAGCCTCAGACCAGATGTTCCCAGTTATTCAACGGGGTATGCTCGTGAAATATGAGTAATTGTAATGCAATATTTTGATATTGCGATTCTTGCATTAACGCAAGAAATGGGACAGTCGACCTTTTGCTATAAAATCCTGCAGTGAGCTTCACGGTTTTATAACGCAAGCTGAACCTGAAGTCGGTGATAGCAAATCCCCGCCAGCGGAAGTCTTCGGCCGTAAGTCCGACGTGCTTCTGCAGCTCGCAAAGATATCTCGCCCGACGTTGTTGGGCTAGCATCCTGCCAAATGATGTCGACCAATGGCGCGCGATGAGATTTCTTATACTCGCATCCCGTGAGCTGCGCTTTCTTTAGGCGCCCCGGGCGAGATTTCATCAGATTCCCGGCCCGGATCCCTTGATGTCCGTATGTCCATGTGGATGGGCGCAATGTGTTCTTGCACTTTCATCTACAACAGGATTCCACGTTTGTCGCCATTGAAGAACAAATCCCTACACATTTGCATAGTGCGGCAAGGGGTGCTGACCAGGCCTGTGGGCAACGGGCTCCAAGGACGACGACACGAAGGATCGAGTGATCGCCATGATCTTCAACACTACAAGCAATCTCAAGGGTAACCCCCAGGGGATCATATGGATTTGCGATACCCGGCAATGCCCATCCATCCATCCATATGACATATGCAAACGGTTACACATGAGATCTGTCCAACAACTGTGTAGAAGCCAGGCAGCAACAGACGACGTGTGCCAGGATGACCACGCAACATCGCCAGTGGCAAGCAAAAAAACAAGGCCTTTATGAGAGTTGCAAGGGCTAAGCCTGGGGGCTGTAAAGTGCGAGATTTCTTGAAAACACGCTGCGTCTGGTGTTGCAAAGCCCCATGACGTCACCCATCTACCACCACATAAATGCACTAGATCCAGTAGACGGCATAGCCTCCACCGACACTCCTATCTACTAAGTCTGCAACAGCCAAAACTCCATTGTTACCACAAAGCATTCCGACCCTAGAATCGGAAAATACAAATTACTACCCTGCCGAGACGCGATCCAGATAAACAAGATGCCCATCGGACAAAATGAAAGTGGTGTTACCTCTGGTGTGAAGTTTGTAACCTCTACCGTTGGAAACACTGTTGGGGGTGTCACAAACACTCTGGGTGGCGTAGTTGGTGCCCTAGGGAGAGGCGTTGGTGAGACGGTAAGTAGTATATTCACAACTGCATGCATATACGCCACAATACTGATTTTGAATCTTCCAACGCAGGTTGAGGGCGCCACAGGCAGTGCTGGCCGACCCGTCGCCAGGGGCCTCGCAGATGTGGCTACAAGCATTGAAAAGGGCGCAAACGACGTCGCAGAAGGTGTGAAACGTGCTGGCGAAGGAAAATAGATTGATGGGCTTGACAATGCGGAGAGGGGGAGGGGGGAAAAGCGAAGGCTGGGGAATGATCCCACCGAGTGGACCGTAACACCAGATTAATTCTTCTTTCTTTGGTTGGCATAAATTGAGACTAATATTCGATACCTCAAACGGTCCGTAGTGTGTCCATTGGGACGGCGCAGTCATCGCGCGTTTAACCTAGAGGTGTTGGTGTGACACCGGCGTGATATGCTAACGTGCCAATATACTAAACCGTAGTCAGTTCCATGAATACTCAGTATACTCAACGCAAAAGTCTGCTCTGGATTGCTGCTATGCGCCATGACTTGCTATGCTGCGGTTCGAAGCCCCTGCAAAGTCTACTTTGAGACGTTGCGATAATGCGATTCGGGCGGTCTACATAATGTGAAAATGACTTCGCGCATTTGTGATCAACAGACGATTACATAGTATCGGCACGGTCTGAAGTACTTCTCACAGCTCATGAGAGAGATAACTGAATGGCACTGGGCGGCACTTTTTACCGCCTGGTGGGGTGCGGAAAGCTAGCAGTAGGATACGAGGCCCTGCAGTCACTACCAAGTGAGGCATTAGTTGGCGCGTCACTAGAACACTCTATGGCCCAACCCAGGGTCCATCAAGAGCCTGCAGCCGAGGCCGAAAAGCCTCACAGTGAGGGATTGCTATTTTAGCTGAAGATTTTCGCAGTTGTTCGAACGTGCCATGTAACGTTTGCATGTTTGTGGAAGGGAGGAGGGGCAAATGGTCAGATGCGCGTCTCCTGTCTGTTATCCATCTGAAGCCTCAGTAACACTGCTTGCTGCGACGACTGCAATGGGACCGGATACCAACGTTGAACTGTCTAAGTGGGTGTAGTCGCTTAGTGCTGCGTGTGTTGAGGGACAAAGCTCTCTCTGCTAGTAAGTCAGAAGGAAATACCGTATGACGTCAAGTTTACCATCTGGCGTGCGCGTCCACCAGCCATTGTCAGCGACGGTAATGTTTGCGTAGCCACACCCAGCCACTCCACGTGTAGAGTAAGTGTTTGCAAAATACATAGTAATTTGTGGGGGTTTTTCTTTGGTGTCATCGTTTCAAAAACTTGACGAATCTCAACTCCACAAACACTCCAAGGAGCGTTCTAGAGTCAAAATATGCAAGCAGTAAGTTGTGTTCGTTCGCCTTCCGCAAGCAGCGCCCCATCGATATGCAAGCCAATACACTACACAGCAGCCTCCCCCCACTTCCCCAGCCCGTCTCAAGCGTTCCCAAGCAACGGCACGACGAGTGAGAGGCTAGAGACCAGTCTCGCATGATCAACGCCAGCCACACCCACTGCACAAGCGTAGCGCTAGTCAGCGTAAGCGTCATACTCGATTGGGCACAGATCTCTGACCTCGCCCGGGTATCCGAGGCCCTCGAGACCAATCCGAATAGCCCGGATCATTGTGAATCTTTTTCCTTCCAATAGTTGAACTGAGCCGAGCTAATACCTCTTGCATTTTCACACTGCTGCCCCCACCCTGCAAATGGGCTGGCATGTCGACGAAATAACCTTTGGTGGGGTTGGAGAAATAACAACGCCCTACCATATGCGAGGCTGCAAGGAAGCCGGAACACACGCATAACTGCCCGGGGCAAAGATGCGAGTGATAGAATCCTTTGCAAGAGAGAGAGACAGAATCTGGTTCGCCATCTGACCCAAGCAATGTCAACCGCGGAGTGCACCCAGCCCTTTTTTTGTGGCTCAAGCTTGACAGACGGCTGTTGACGGCATCGAGTTAAGGCTGTCAAGGATTGACTGAGGGGCCGGGTGAATGCAAGCCCTCCTCTTCAGCCATCTCTTTCCTGCAGCGGAAGCGTCGACGCTAGCAGACGCGTAGAATCGAGCAATGACTTGCTGGTCTGACGTGGAGACCGTTGATCATATCATTACTGGATCAGACATGGTCGATGGTGTGCATTTGGATTTGACCAGAACGGCTATATAACTGCTTTGTCTCGCTGTATCTCCTTTGTCTTTCAAATCATCACACCTTCGTTCTCATAGTGACTGGTACCTCGTTCAATCAGTCTACTCTGTTATCGTTACTTCACTCTCGCTATTGATACTAGCAGTAGTATTCGGACTTGTTCTTTTTGAAAATGAAGTCATTTATCGTTGCTGGCCTTGTGGTTGCGGCCACTGCCCTTCCCCAGGCCGCTTCTGGCTCTGAGTGTGCAGCTTCGGTTGATGGAACATTCACCATTACCACCGTCAAGGCCCCCGAGGCAGAGAAGAAGCGTGCCCTCGCCCGCCGCCAGCTTGATGGTATCCTCACGATGACCCTCAAGGATGGTGTATTGAAGGACCAGGCCGGTCGTGAAGGATACATTGCTTCCAACTACCAGTACGTCTCGACAAACATCCTACTCGTTACTCCTTCACAACCACTAACGAAATCCACAGATTCCAGTTCGACGGCCCAGTCCAAGACGGTGCCCTCGAAGTCGACGGCTTTGGCCTCTGCAGCAACAACTCGTTGTCGCTAAAGGGCTCCACGCTCTTCTACCAGTGCCTCTCCGGCGAATTCTACAACCTCTACAGCCAATCCATCGGCGAACAGTGCCTCCCCATCAACATCATGGCCGTCATGGCCACCGACAACGACGGAGAAAGTGAAACCAAAGACCCCGAAGTCACCCAAATCTCCGACGGCCAACCCCAAGCCTCGGAGCCAGCAGTAACTCAGATCTCCGATGGCCAACCCCAGGCCTCTGCCCCAGGCTCTGCTCCCCCACCACCGCCACCCGTCACTCAGATTTCCGATGGCCAGCCTCAAGCTTCCGCCCCAGGATCTCTTCCACCCCCACCACCCCCAGTTACACAAATCTCAGACGGCCAACCCCAAGCTTCTGCCCCAGCTTCCGAGTTCCCAACCCCCATCGTCACCCCAGAGCCCGAGCCCGAACCCGAGACTTCTCTTCCCGCCGTAACCCAGATCTCGGACGGCCAGCCCCAAATCACTGCTCCCCCCAGCAACCACAGTGCCACATACACCACCCCTCCCCTTCCTGACTTCACCGGTGCCGCGGCTACACCGTCGTCGTCGGTGGCTGGCCTAGGTGCGCTTTTGGGTGGTGTTTTCGCCGTGTTTTTGGCCTTGTGAATGACCTGTGAAATGATGGGAATGACAGGGATGACCATGAGATATGTGGGGTGTTAACTTAATGGCTTTATGAAGCGTCAGGGAGAGGAGGGAAGAAAGATGCATAGTTTCGGGTTTTTATTTTTTCACTTTGGTTATGTATAACGACACTCCTTTTATGAGATAATGTGTTTATGATGATGGAGATAAATGGGAAAAGGGCGGTTTAATGAGGAAGAGAGAGAGAGAGAGAGAGAAAATGGTGTAGATGGCAATGAAAGGAAATGGAAATGACATGAGTAAAGATCATTCTTTTAAACCACAAAAAAAGAATTGTTCAACATTGAAATCTCTCTGATACGACCTGATGCATCTACTCTGTTTCTACCACCCCATCCAGACTCGAAAATTTTACCGTAGAAACTTTCAAAAATCCCACTATCAGCATTTCTCCACTTTCCATCGCTAGCCCTACAAACTGAATTCCATATCTAACCCCACACCAGCCTATCTAGTTGCCTGCGCAAAGCGTAGCTAAGGAGTTGAATCAGAACAAAAAAAAAACACCCGCTATCCCCAACCCCCCTTCTTTCGCGACATGGAGATGGGTGGAGGTAGGCAAAATTACAAACCGCTAGATATACAGAATTGCAATGAGATACTGTTACAGTGCACGGGATAAGTAAGCCAGTGAGTGGTCTGTTGAATATTGGATATGAAAGCCCAGTTACACATAGACATTTGTCTCGAATCCCGATACCAACGAAATTAAGCTTCGAATAGCCTACAACACTAGTGCTATTTGGATGGTGTGAATGCATGCATTGATGTGCTTGGTTTCCAAACACGATAACAGAATGCCCTTTTTTTCGCTCGTCCTTCCGAGCATAGAACATTTGAATAACCTTCAGGTCCATGCATTCGGAACTGATCGTAACTTCAATTTTGAAGTACCCATGCTTGCGTCTGGCATGACCCTTTTACTCAATTGTGCATATTGCATGACTCTAATCACTTTATTTGTGTTGAGCTTTAATTTCTGCTCACAAGGTTGGGGGGAAAGTGCTGGTTGGGGGCAACCAGTTTCTGGGCGATTTTGACATGAGCTCGAGTGCCAATTTCAGTCACAGGGGATAGGTCATGAGGAATGATTCGGTTGGAGAAAGGTAAATAAGTTGGACAAAGTTCCATCATATCTTTTGTGTCATTAGCATATTGCAGGGGCCGTGCACGTATACAAGTCCCAATACATGTGATCAGAATCTAGATTGCATTTCCACTCTCTGGAACTATTCACAAATACGTAGGTAATACAACCCAGATCGGGTACACTTAGACTACAGGGAAAGAAGATATTTAGAGGACGGACAGATCGCCAAACTTCTCCTGTGGGGGTGTTAGTATTTATGCATTGGTCAAGGCAATTGCTCCAAAAACGTGCCTTGTAGCCAGGAACAGCCCAGCGACCCTTGGAGACGAGCTGCTCGGTGCGCTTGTCAATCTCGGGCTGGGCAGCGGCAACCTCGTCCTGCGATATTCGTCAGCACACACATAGTCCACCCCGCTCATCCATAGCCAAGTCCACATACAACAGTGAGGTCAGAGAATGGCCTGGCCTCCTCGATGTTCTTGAGGGTCTTTTGGAGATCGCTCAACTCCTTGTCGACGACGGACTTGGTCTGCTCTGCGCTCTGGACGGCCTGGGCCTCGAAAGCCTCAATGGCCTTGATCTGCCTTCCTACATCGTACGTCTGGGGCTTGAATGCGTTGAACTGCTTCTCGATGTCGTCGACGACGGCCTGGTTCTTGAGGACACTGCGGTAGTAGGCGAAGTCAACGGACTGCGACTGCTCCGAAAGGACGGCAATCTTGCGGCGCGCATCGTCGTTGCGCTTCTTGAAGGCTTGGAGGGAGGCGGCAGTTTGACCCTTGAGACCAAGCTGCGTGGCGAGCTTGGTCCAGTCGAGCTTGAGGGCAGCGCTGCGCTGTGAGGGGGACAAGTTAGTTTTCTTGATATTCACTTCGGGGCTGCCATTGCGGGCGGGGCTTCGCTGGCGGCGCAGCAATTGGGCTGGTAACAGCTTCGACGGAATTCTGGGAGGGGATATGACGTACTCCGACGGCCATTGTGATGGATTTAGACGGGAATGCGGTGGTTTCTGTTTCGTGAGGGTGCAAGTCCAAGTTCTTCGCGAGAGCTCGGAACAGAGCCGCCAAGAAACCGGCGCCCGGACCACCGCTTACTTCCGCCCTCAATGGTGGCCATCTTCCCCAAGTTTACTTCTCCCATCCACACCCGACGCCACCCTGCTGCACTTTCTACTCATAGTCTCCGCCTAAGTCTATATTGCAACCATGTGGATTATTGATTGGTGAGTGGCTATGCTGTCGCTCCATCTACCCCTGCTGACCATGCGCCAGGTGTAAGTTTACTATTTGTCTCTCCCGTTACGGATGAAGCCCGACGAGAGCCATGCCTACATATGCAGCATCAACGGCGAAGATACAGCGCCAGGGATTTACAAGGAGCCTGCTTTCTTCGCGCTGTTCGCCTGAGAGCCTCCAAAGTTGCCCATGGCATGGCTACATTGGCCTTGTCACATGCGCATCGATACCTTACCCCCGCATACGACACATACGCCTCTCTATACACAATTCGCTCGTCGAGGACCCAAATGAACAGAAGCTGACATGGCACGATAGTTTGGGATGTTCTGTCCTCGCTTGGACTTATGAACAAGGTAGGCATGAGCGTTGTGCACACAATCATCAGACTGAGGCTAACATCTGTACAGCATGCCAAGCTCCTCTTCCTCGGACTGTACGCATTTCCGCACACATTCGAATTCAGATGCCCATAGCTAACTCTGATGCAGTGACAATGCCGGAAAGACCACGTATGGTAACCGAACCGGGCGCGCGCGATTCGACTAACGCATATAGGCTGCTGCATATGCTCAAGAACGACAGGGTTGCTGTTCTGTACGTGAACCACGGTCCTTCTCTCGTCACTAACTAACGTTCCTCTAGCCAGCCAACCCTGCACCCCACCTCCGAGGAACTTTCGATAGGAAACGTCAAGTTCACAACCTTTGACCTTGGAGGCCACGCGCAAGCCCGACGATTGTGGCGCGACTACTGTACGCCTACCAGATTTTACATTCCTTGCACACCGCATTGACTTGTCTTTAGTTCCCGAAGTCTCCGGTATCGTCTTCCTCGTCGATGCCAAGGACCATGAGCGTCTTACCGAGTCGAAAGCCGAGCTCGATGCTCTCCTCGCCATGGAGGAGCTCAAGAACACTCCTTTCGTCATTCTTGGTAACAAGATTGATCACCCCGACGCCGTCTCCGAGGACCAGCTCCGCTCTGTGCTCGGTCTATATCAGACAACCGGCAAGGGCAAGGTGCCTCTCGAGGGTATCCGACCCGTTGAGGTCTTCATGTGCAGTGTCGTCATGAGGCAGGGATACGGCGAGGGTATCCGATGGTTGAGCCAATATGTCTAAGCACACTAATACGACAAGAATGAGGTTGCCAGAGGATGGGGAAGAAGCATGTACAAGGCATGTGGCATATTTGCCCTTGCCATGGGGGTTGACTGAATACGGACATGAAAGCATGATGGTCACACGCGTGTTAGATTTAATCTTCCGGGCGTTGGCGTTAGCTCTTGAAATAATATTACATTTTGCATACCACTTTCCGCGGCATACTTAAATGGCTCGATGCTGCATCGTCAATCTGCTCAGGATGGCGCTCATTGAAATATAGGAAAAGAAATGCTCCTGTGCAAGCGCCCAAAACGCCACCCAATGCTCATGTTTGCCAGTCCGCCAAGCCCTATCCATTGTCCCCTTCATCCTCCTCCGTGTCCTTGTCCTTCACCCGATTTAGTCGTCATACTCTGCATCCCTCACTCCACAAAAATCACTTCCAAAGCAACTATCCACCGCGTACCACATTCGCCAGTACAAACTCGCCCCATTTGCATCAAAGCTACCATCTTCTTTCCTCGGCACCTGATCCCCAATAATGCCTTGGCCAGACCCAAACACCCACCCAATCATCGGCAGCGAACCCACAGTCTGCTGCCAGCGCGGTTTCGCCGGCAAAAATGCCTTTTCCTGCGGCAGAAAGATGGCAGGCTTGACGTTTGCGCCTTTAAGACGCAGTGTCGCGCGTTGAGAGCGGGGATTCAAGGCGGTCGTTATACTGCGTGCGGGAATTGTATTTGGATCGAGGGCTCGGTGTTCTTCTTTTTGCTCGGGTTCCACAGGCATGTCGTCAAGATGCGAGGGGAAGGAGCCGGCTGTGCTGCGCATGAAGGCTGGGATATCGTTTGGACCCCGATATCCGTTTGGTGCCAGTAATGCTGCGGGTTGCGAGGCGGTTGCTGTGGCGGACGAGGCGGTAGCAGAGGACTGCGATGTGCTGATACCGCGGGGGCCAATGGTTCCTGAGGAGATGGTGTTTGGAGAGGTGGCTTGCGAAAAGTTTCCTGCTTCTGCGCGAATGGGGCGATCGCCGCCTTGCGGGCCGGTCCCCCTGTACATTTCAGCGTAGACAGTGTAGCCCTGGATGTTTTTGGGGCTGTAGTGGCATGCGCGCTCTGCTGCTTCGGCGCTGTCGAATGTGACTTTGATCCAGTGGTCGCCACCGACAAATTCATTAATTTTTCTCAGCGATGCCTTGCTTAGCGACCGGTAATGTGACGCCCGTTGCGAAGTAAACGTGTATCCGAACTTTGGATTGTAGGGCTCCCGATCGTATTCTTCGTAGATGAGGCCGTTGGAGACCTTTTCGTAATGTGAAATTGCTGCCCATTGTGCATCGCTGCCATAGCCATAGAGTATTACTTCCTTTGGTTCTTGTATGAAGGCCGAGCTTGTCGATGGACCGGCGGCAAAGGAATTGTTAAGTCCATTGCTTGCATCTATCAAGTTGGGTACTGAGCCGGATGGGGGAAGCGCCGGAATCGGACGCGATGATATTGAGCGCCTCTTGTCCTCTTCTGCTTTGTACCTACCAAATATGTCGTCGATTGCGCGTTGGTTGAGTAGTTTCGCTTCGTCAGCCGCTTGGTTGGCGCCCAAGGGTGTCTTTGCCCGTGAAGTTCCGCGTTTCCGTGCTTTTCCAAAGGGGCCTTTTTCTTCGGGGAGACGACGTTGATTTTGGTCTGAGCTGTTGAGGTCTGGTGTCAGCCGCGTGCGCTTAATTGCAGCATCTTCCCGTTCCAGGTCTTCCATAATGCGAACATGGCGAAGAAAAGTAGACTGTTACGACTAAAGCTCTTCGATGACGCGCTCGCCGGTATTAAACGATCCACTGAACAAAGACTGCGAAAGAAAGACTTACTCTGCAAACTCATACGCCCAGGGCAGCTTCCTCCCTGTCGAATCAAACGCGCGCTCCGAATCCGGTACAGCGTGAACCTGCATTTTTTCCGACTCTTTTCCCTAAATCGTCTGCTTCTCTTCCGATCGGGAGCGCTGCGAGGGCGCGTATCGTGGCTATGCTGTGTTGGACGTCTTTTGTTTATGCGACAGGAAGAACAGCGGAAACACGATCCACGCTAGCCAGGAACAACGCCGCGGCAAAGCCACACCAGTGCACGAGCCAGGTGAGGCGCACCACCTATAGTTTTGGTCGCAGCGGACCTTTCCCAATCCATCCACTCCATGCAGGCCGATATGCTGGTGCCTACTGGTGATGCGGCGCGTACAAAAAGACCAATGGATCTCACACCCATCATCGTTCGCGGCAAGAAACGCAAGCATCTCCCCGCAGCACTTATACAGGCATCCTCCGCACGCTCTACTACTACTTGTCAACCAAAACGACCCAAGAAACAACAAACAAAAAGCAAAGTTAGAGTCGCAACGCCCGCCATGCCAACGCTTCAAGGCCTTCCCGTCGAATTGCTGGAAATGATATTTCTGCACAGCATGAACATTGCTCTCACCCAATGCTCTCCTTCTCTAGGCAAAAAACTCTCCTCACGTGCAATCACCATGGAATTTACTATGCGCTCTTTCTGCCATACAGTTGATCACCGCACCATCTATCGGGACCGGAAAGTCACCAGCGACCCAGCACTGCAATCGAACCTTCTATCCTGTCGCTTCTTCACCTATGAGTTCTTCCTAGCCTACGTGCAGCGCGCGCACGAGGCCATGGTCAAGTTGCGCGGGGAAGCGTGGGCAGCCACTGGCGTTACTATGCCCGATGTATCGTATTTTGACGGGCTGTGGCCGTACATGTTTACCAAAATTCCGTATTTGGGGTTTGCACGCGGTTTCAATATTCCTGAGAAACTGCTGCATGGGCCGTGGACAGAGGACAAGGCGTCGTTGCTGTATGTCCTGGTGAGTTTGAACGGTGAGATTGATTGGGAGGGTAGCATGGCTGGTGAGGTGGCGAAAGTGGGTATCAGAGAAGCTATCAGAGAGGGAAACGAGTATGCGGTTGCTGCTTTGGCAGTTCTCTTGGGCGTGCCAAAGGGTATTACCACAGAGATGCTGCAGTATGCGGTCATAGAATGTGGCTGTGACTTGAATACTCTTAGGCACCTGTTGTTCAATGCACAGATCCTTGCAACAGAGTCGCCAGGTACCCTCGATTTCTATAATCCCTCTCTTTGGGCATGGGCAGACATCAACGGTCACAAGGGGGAAGTGCTCAAAGACATGCTCAAGAGAGCAGACGCATTCGATTTGGAATTCTACTTCGAGGACAATGCCGACTGGAGGAAAATTGTAGCGTTTCCATATAGTGGAAGCAAGTTTGACGCAAGAACAGTCTTCCATCCTGTGGTGAGAGAGCTGTTGATGAATCTCTACCGCAACTATGGGAGAAAGATCACACGGAGAAGAGGTGGAACACCTGAACAGAGGATGATTGAGGGAAACGTAATTGATGGATGAGCTATTTACTATAATTCTAGCTAACTGATGAATATGAATGACCGATCCAAGGTCAAACTTGCGCCTACCTTGTAGTTTACTATTGGCACACGTACATAGAGACATCCCGGGATGGGGAAAATCTCAAATCTACAACGAACATGTCACATTGCTCCACATGATTTGATATGGAACTGTTGACAGTATCGGTAGATGATATCCCGCGAAGGTAATCAATGAGCCAAGCCTCGCGTTTGAGAAATCTGCAAGCTTGTTAGCTATTGGTACAGAGATAAAGCCATGTCAAGCAAAAGCGTGATTGAAGTCTTCCTCAGTGATCTTGGTGATAAAGTAGTAATCATCGTAATCATCTACTATCTATTGCATGTTGTAATCATTGGAAGGGGCGCGCGTGATGATGCAAGGAAAGCCGGGCTGAACTGACCTTGGGTGGAATACTGATGGCTCCAGAGTACGTGAGCAGACCTTTATGCCACATCACAATGGAGAATCAAGCTATAGACCCATGAGCTATGAGTGGGAATGTGCCTAAAATCTTTTCACAGTTAGCAAAGGTCCTGCGCAGAGCATCGACTTGACAAGCTAGGTGTGTGTGAAGTAAACTCAGAATATGTAAGAAATTGAATATCATAAACCCGCCGCCGTTAAGAGACCCCGGCGAGGGTCTCCGACGACGGGCTCAATCGCAAATTATGTCATCCTTGGAGGGTGAGGAAAATTGCGGAGGATGGAGACGTACCAGTGGAACTATCGAGCTAAGCTGCAGCTGCAGTCAGTTTGCAGAGGAATGAGCAGATGTATCCGTAGCCGGGGAGGCGCATCAACCCTCATCCGCCAGAAACACTCTGTCTATGCGCGTAGCGCAGGCGCAGCGAGTGCATCGCACAAGACTGCAGCGGGATGTTGATGTTGCTGGTGTTGGTGAGGCCAAGATGTAAAGAATAAGTTGCGGTCGCGGTTGCGTTTTTCTGCTAGCGCCAAGCCGGGCTTCGCTTGTGCACGGCCCCGGCACCGCACTTGGATTTTCGATCGCATTGTCTCTACATTCCGAACAGAACACCACCAACGACCTAATTTCCGACCAGTACGCCTCTCGACGCTGCACCATACTCGCTTCATTGTCTAACATTCATTCGCAGCACAACCGACGAAATGGGTGACGCCGAAATCACAACGAGTGCCTGGAGGCTGGTCGAGGTCGGCCGTGTGGTCCTCTTCAACGAGGGCCAGTACGAGGGTCGCCTGGCTGCCATTGTCGAGATCATTGACCACAAGCGTGTACGGAAACCCGCGGACTAGGTGACTATTCAGCCGCTCACAGAAGCATAGGTTCTCGTCGATGGTCCTTCCGAGAAGGCCCCCGTTCCCCGCCAGGAGATCGCCCTTGCCAAACTCTCCCTCACACCCATCGTCATCCCCAAGCTTCCCCGCGCCAGCGGTGTTGGTCACGTCGCAAAGAAGTGGGAAGAGCACAAGGTCCAGCAAAAGTTTGACGAGAGCGCATGGGCAAAGAAGCGTGCGGCCATGCAGAAGAGGCGGGGACTGAACGACTTTGAGCGCTTCAAGGTCATGAAGATGAGGAAGCAGGTACGTTGCGTCTGGCGTTGCCCCCCTGTGACCGGTTGTAATTTGGATTGTGTCCTGAGGAATTGGCGCAATTTGGAAACATCCTAACTAACAGACACACAGGCCCGCTTCGAGGTCCAGAAGACCTTCGCCAAGATCCGCGCCAGCGCAAAGGCATAGGTATTCTAGATGCTGTCGGGAGACAG